TACCGCATGGACCAACATTCCTGTCGTCGGCAGCCAACAGCCGCCTAGATGCTGACATGCCAGTCATCACACCACGCCTCACCGGCCTCCCCGCCGTCAGCCCTACCAGCAAACACTTGACTGTGACGCAGCAGGACGTGGCACGCTGTCAGTGCCCGGCTGACTCATTCGTACACACTGGAGACGATCCGAGGGCTCGGGACACAGAGAGACACCAGGGATCCCATCGCCCTGCCAGGCCAGTGGGAGGTGATGGAAGTCATCGAGAGCCGCTGTCCGAGGTGGTTTCAATGGCTGCCATCCACCAACCCCAGCGGTTTACACATGGTGGCTGACGCAAAATGCAGTGCGGATTCAGCCTTGGTTGTCGAAAACTTCTAGAGCTGCGCCAAATCGCCATGTGGTCGGGGCATTGCGAGTTTGTCCTACGCCATCTGGGGTTGTCATCCGCCACACATGCTACACCAAGCCTCTTGCGAGTTGTTCCAGAAGATGCATGGAAAATATGTCCGCATCTAGCATCTAGGAACCAGCCTCCGCTGGTTGTTTTGGCACTACGTATGCCCATGTCCATAAACCGTCATCTCACAACATGCCCCCTACCTAGCACCGCCATAATAGCACGACTTGATGGCCTTCTCCGACCACTAGCTGTGGTTTGCTGCGGAGAACATGAAATGGGATCAATGCACAGCCCTTGTGGGAGGAGGGAAATTGGCAAGTCGTATCACTTCTGCCAGTCGTGGGCGTGATGAGCAGGCTTCTGGCTTCTCGGACGGCTATTAGTCTGCTCCAAGGCTGTTTGGTTCATGGCGTTCTTGGGCTCGCGCGTCCGAGATGCATGGCGGTCCTGCCGTCTGACGGCTGCCTTGGATTAAAGTCATGTCAGTCGGCTTGCTTCGACTACATGCGTGGAACGACAAGAGACCCTCGGTGCCGTTGCCATCCCGCCCGGGACTTGCACCCGAGGGTACTAGTGATCCTCATGGACGCAAGTATAACGGCCATGTAGGGGCACTGCAGGCCGGCCGTACAGAGGGACAACGGGGCCATGTCCTCCGAGCTGGGGCGCCGAAGATGCCACGAGGATATCATGCCGCCCCCACCGTTCTTGTCATTGTACCGCATCACGGAGTGCCGGAGGAGGGCAGCGAGCGGCCTTGGGGGTTGTTCTCAGCCCTGCGTGCCAATCTCAGCCCAGCGTTCGTCCAGCCGGTTACCAGAACCGGATGGCGGTTTCAAACTCGCGTCGCCAAGGGCATAATCTCATTGACAACAACAGCAATGTCGGTTGTAGCGCAGACCCAAGGCAAGGTACCAAAGGCAGTTGAGGCAGATATGCACCGTTTCCATGTGGTCAGGCACGTGGCGCGGTTACGTTGCGTGTTTGACTGCGTCACCGAGCAAGACAGCCCGCCGCATTTGGTGGTCGAGAACCAATGCTTATTCGCTTGTTCCTCGGTCTATATCACGAACTGTGCATTGCTGATGGGGACGGGGCGTGTGTGTTTCTGGCTGCAAGGGGGCTGATTATAACGTTGAATCTTTCGTACCGAACGGTCCGCTGGCGAAGTCTGCATACGTGGAACTTGTATCCCAATGTACGAGTACCTCGATTCTTCAACGTGTTTTTACAGAGAGCTGACGGGGCGTAAGACGACGAGGAGAAGCAGAGTGCGAGAGTGCGCACACATACGCACACACACCATCACAAACCGAATACATGCGTGTAATGGGAACACGGCGCCCCGGGCCTGTTCCATGAATCATCAGTTCCAACTACCCTTCGAGATGCAATGGAGGACCATCTTCGTTAATCCTAGACCCTGTCCCTTTCCGCTGCCGCTGCCGCTGCATGTCAGTGGGAACGAGAGCGTGAGCCAAAAGTGCTGAGCGAATGCAACCCAACCCGCCCTGCCACCACCTTCAATGTTCGCACCACAATCCACACTCGAGTGCCACTTTGGTCCAGGCGCATTTTTCCGCATGGGGAAGAAAAAAAAGTTCACATAGTGCCAAATGTCCTATCTGCAATGCAACGCTGTCATGTGGTCATTGCCTGGATTCTTTCACGAATGTCTCTTCTCGCGAGTTCGTCTGGTGGGAGGGGGGTGTACGCACTTGCGCACAGGACAGGTCGAAGCAAAAGAGAACAGCTGCCAAGGCCACCTCATCAATAGTTGACGCCTTGGAAAACGGCGCTGGTGAGCTCGCTCCGGTGGCGGTTTGTTGAGGTTGTCGTCAGTCGGTTGTATCGGGGTCCGTCGGCGGTGTTAACATTTTCCTCTTTTTTTTCAGCTGCGGCCGACGGGAGCGTAGGGTAACTTGGGTCGCGGGATAGGCCCTTTTTCTACTTTATTATTTTTCCGGGTTCATGTTGGAGTACGAGGTTGAGGCCGGGCGTGGAGTTTGAGTTGGGTCAGGATGTTGCAGAAGGCAGCTGTTTGCGGAGGCTGCATCTGTTAGTGGGTGGGTTTGGATCTTGGTTCCTGGGAGAAAAGGGAACTGCTAGTGAGACTGCTTGTTTAGGGTTGCACTGTATCGCAGAGGGACGTGCTGTGCCTGTGAGAGTTTGCCCATGCAAGCTTGTACGAGGCCGTGTCTGTTTTTGAGTTTGGAAAAGGGAATGGGCGTGGCAAAGAGTCTGAAGACGCTGGATTCTTTGGAACTTTGCTGTTCATGGTCCTGTCTTGGACTCTTTTGACGTTGGGTGCGTTGGATTTGCTTTTGATAGTCTCTTGTATGGATGTATTTGGCAGACTGGGCAACATCATTCATTGGTGTAGGGTATGGTCACGGCATTGGATATATTCGCTAACAGGTAACAGATCCTTGGACGCGAAGCTAATCTGCATCTACCTAGGAGAAGAATGTCCGTTTCATATGCCAGTAGATGTTTGTTCAATTGGACGGGGATTGTAATGTCATGATATTTGACAAGTTGCTTCATTGTAGCTCAACTTGCGACAATACTTTCCACCATCTTTCACTTTGCGTGATATCTGTCAAGAGGTTGGTACATTACAGTCAAACTCGAGCTAATACTTGCCACTCTCTGATTGTACGACGCGTGACATCTCTCGAGATATAGTTTATACAGCCAAGTTTGCACTAATGCCTCGCAGCGTCTTACAATAGAGCGCGGTATCTACATGGACTTGCTTTTTCTCATCAACTACGTGATTGCCTCTGGCTGCCGCTCAGTTCCTCCCTTTGTGTCCATTGAGATAGAACATACCGACGAAATTATACACTGCGCTTGTAATGCGAAGACGATACTTGCCGTGGCTTCCACCCGCACAGGATTGTGAACTGCGCAATCCACCGAGATTGAGCCTCCTCGTACAATTATCTCTTGACATATTCTTAAATCCGTAGAGGGCAAGCCATCTGCACCTGCGCTAAGAAAAATGCCGCCAGATTCGACCGCCATGACGACCGTTGTTCTCGACGCCCTGGCTCAAGAGTCAACGCCATAGCCAGGCTCGTCATGTTTCCGCTCCATAGAGCCTGACGAGCGACGAATTGATGACAGACACCTGGACAGCAGCTCATTATAGCAACGGCGACGACATTGCCACGTCCTCGGATAGACAAACAGCACCAATCACCCCCACGGGACGAAGGGCGTCACGCACACTAGCAACACGCCCGGCTCAGATGAGAAATAGTTCCGTCAAATTTTATAGGTGTCGCTCACGAGCACCCGCAGCTAAATTAGGAAACCACTGTACGCCGTGTACTATACATGCATTTTTTAATAAAAATACCACAAAAAGAATTGTGCGCTTCACCAGCCGTAGCCGGTGACTTGATGGCTTCAAGCGGACGTGTCACTTCCCCTCCAACGGCCAACTCTGGCCAACCTGTCGCTGGCATTCCTTGCCGCAACATTGAACCTTCAGCCATGGCAGCCAGCGGCTCAACCCCCTGTCCCCGAGTGGATTCTGCAACGACGGGACGCTGGCAAAACTTTTTTCTCCTTTCTTTCTTTCCTTCTCAGCGGCGCCGTTTCAAAGGTCTACTGTGCTATCCGGGTCGGTCTATGCGAACATGCGGGACAGGGCCTCGAATAGCAGGCCGCCGAAGACGATGAAACCGAGGACACCTAGCGCCGTTAGTTGAAATGCCCACTGTCCAAAGGTACATAGCTGCCAAGGGGGGATGTGTCCATCTCAATGTGACAAGACTAAGTATCCATGCGGCAGGGCCATGGAAAGGGGATGGCACTCGGCGCAATGCGACGAGACGTGTTCGTTCCCGATGAGGAGCCATGCGCAACTGGTGGGAAACAAGAGCGGGAGAAAAAGGGAGACTCACCGATCCAGACGGGCGAGATGGGAGACTTGGGCGTCTCCTTGGCGCGCTTCTTGATCTGGTCGTCTGACTTGCCCATGCGAGCCTCCTGCTCCTTGGCGAACTTTGCGTTTCGGCGGCGCTGCTCGAGAGTTTGGGCCTGCAAGGCGGGTGGTCAGTACGTGGCGTGTTGAGAGACGAGGTAGACGGGCGTCGAGGGGAATCGGATGTGTTGGACGAACCATTGTGCCGGAGGATATTATTCGTACGAAAGGGGGTGGACGATGCGGGCGGCGTGGGAGCTTGCAACAGATGAAAGCGCAGACGGCAGAAAACACTTTATGTATTTGTGTTTGTTGGCGGGATGCGCGGGGACGGCTGCGTTTTCACAAAAAGATTGAAGAAGGCGACAAGATGCCAAAGTGCGTGATGGTATTCGGAGAGCGGGTGGGTGTTGATGCGAAATTGTCGACAGAGTTGAACCCGTGTCCTTGTCCGAGGCCGCGTTCCGGCCATGTGTCGTCAAGGAACCCTCGAAAAAGGGTCCCGCCACAAGCCGGACGTGTGGCTTGGGCCGCAGGTCGGGGCGGGCTTGCGGGGGAACTATGTGGCTCGCCCTGGCACCGCCACACACACTCACGTTTTAATGCTACATCATTGAGAGCTTGCTCAAAGCCAAGCTCGACTTCATGCTGTCGACAAGCATGCGCGTCAACACATCTGCTGCGCCGGCACGAGCGAGGACCATGGCCCTGGAGAGGATATCGCGACCAGTTGCAATGGCTGCGTCGCGGCGATTGCCGCTTGCGGCTCGGCCGAGGGGGAGATGGTACGCGACGGCCAAGGAGCCTGGCCCAACTGTAGGTTGCGCGCAAGCACCCTGCGCCGGGTGCAGCTCGAGCTGACACGTTGACACGATGACGCTACAGTCCCAGTTCTACAAGACGTTTACGCGACCGATTGCAAAGGTGCTCGTTGTCGCCGTCTTCTCGTACCAGCTCATCTACTGGGGATGGGTGAAGCTCGAGGCGGACGAGCACCGACAAAAGACAGACGGTACGATGGGACAGGGCTCTTTGTTGCGGCACCTTTGCTGACGGTTTCTTTGCAGCCGAGATTGCCGACCTGGAAGCAAAGGTTGGCACCCTGGACAAGGCACTAAAGGACGATGCGGAGGCCAAAGAGGCAGAGACGCCAAAGAAGAAGAAGGGGGGCTGGTGGTGATGCCGTCAACACGCGACTCGGAGCTCGAATATACCCCACTGTCGAAGCCGAGACGAACACGTAATGGAAGGAATCAACTTGCAGTCACTGCTGGAAGACGAAGCCGACAACGAGCAGACTGCACGAGGCGGACCCCTATATATCAACGTAGGATGTCGTGTATAATACAAAGTGTACAACACAAACAGCGGTTATACGTGTATATAAAAACCCCAACGCTAGTAGCGTCCATTGCTCTTCATAATGAACGGCGCCGCGATCCTGCTCGGCGTCTCGGCACGCCCTCTCTCCATCCGTCCAGGCACCACAATCGACGCAGTGGACCGAATATCGCGGCTGCTCGCCCCGACAAATACCCCGTACTCTCCGCGCTGCACCACCCACCGCTGCCTTGCGACCTGCCACTCGCTCAGATCCCGCCTGGTAAGGCCAAACTCGACCGTCGCCGACTGCCCCGGCGCCAGCCGCGCCTTTTCAAACCCGCGGAGCTGCTTCGGCGGAGCGCCAGGAATCCCCAAGTACAGCTGGGCGACTTCCTCGCCCGCCACGGAACCAGTATTGGTCACCGTGGTGCTCACCCTAGCGACAACATCCCACAAATCACCAGCATCGCCGGCAGACTCGACAAGTCCCTCGTCCTGCCAGAGCTCGACACCGCCATAGGAAAAGGTGGTGTAGCTCAGCCCGTAGCCAAACTCGTACCGGGGCGTGACGTTGCCCTCGTCAAACGCCCTGTAGTCGAGGTACACGCCCTCGGTAAAGTCGCACTGCGGGCTGGTGGTGTTGTCGGGCCCCCGGCCGCAGGGCGCATACACGGCGTAGTCGGACTCGTTCTTGGCCAGGGTATACGGCAGCTTGCCGGAGAAGTTGGCCTCTCCGTACAGCAGCTTGACGAGGGCCGCGCCGCCATCCTGCCCGGGCAAGTGGGCGATGATGGCGGCCGTCACGTTGGGGTGCTCGATCCACCGGTCCACGAGGCGGATCCCGGCCGCGTGGACGACGGCAATCGTGTTGGCGCATTTGGAGGCGACATTGTTCACGAGGGCGTCGCTCGGGTCGTCGTGGAGGCCGTCGCGGTCCCAGCCTTCTGTAGCCATGGCGTTGATGAAGACGAGGCAGGCTTCCGAGGCGCCGTTGACGTCGGGGTTGTCGGATGCCAGGTCCCAGTTCACCCAGGTGTTGTCCTTTTGGGCTCTTTGCTGAATAGCGCTCAGCGGCTAGACAATCTAGTTAGCTTTTTTCTTCGCCGTCACCGGTTTCCTCCGAGGTTACAGTTGAACGCACGTCGCTGATATACGCTGGAGCGTTGGAGCCAGCGCGCCCCCCGGAGATAATCGTGCCTCCCCTGGCCGCCTGGTCGAAGTGGTAGTCCTTTCCGAGGACAGCCTGCCCCATCTCCTTGGAGGAGTAGTAGCCCAGCTGAAAAAGCACGTCTGTGTTCTTTGTCGCGGGGACGGCGGCGTCGTACCCGTACACGGACACCATCCGCAGAGGCTTGGTGAACGGGAGCGCGTGGTTGTCATTCTTGACGAGCACGTGTCCCGAAATAGCGCCCTCCAAGAGGACAGGCTTCGACCGGGCGTCGCGGGCGTCAACCGGCTCGTGGGGCTCGGTGAGCTTCTTCATGCCGATTCCTGGCGTCGGGAAGCCCTCGTCCTGCCCGACGAGGTACCACGCCGCGAGAATCCTGCCGCGTGTCAGCCGGCAACGGCAAAGCGAGGCACCTGGCAGTGTGGGGAGACGAACCTTGTAGCCATGTCGGTGACCCTCGCCTCCTTGACTGTGTTGTTGCGCACCGCCTCGGTCAGGTTGTCCCCCCAGGAGCCACCCAGGGGCATGAGCATATCCAAGCCCGCGTTTGCGCTGTTCAAATTGTGCTGCGCGTTCCAATCGAGCATGACGAATCCCTGATAGCCCAATTCACCCTTGAGAATGCCATTCATGAGTTTGCTGTTCTCGCAGCCGTACGTGTTGTTGATCCTGTTGTAGGAGCACATGACGGACGCGGCGCCGGCTTTGACGCCATCCATAAAAGGCCAGAGGTAGTACTCGTGGAGCGTCTTGTCATCGATATTGGACGAAACTGCCTCCACGCCGAAATAGGGGCGGCGATATGTTTCTTGCTCGTTGGCGATGAAGTGCTAAACAGCAGGGTTAGCCTTAGGGGGAGAATGTACATTGGTCATGGCGAGAACCGTGACAGAATTACCTTGAGGTTCGCCATGACACCGGCCTCCTGCATGCCCGTGATGGTCTCGGCGCCCAACGCCCCCGCGAGATAGGGATCGACCGAGAAGCCCTCCCAGTTTCTGCCGCCGAGAGGAGTTCTGCCCAGGGGACCGGCGTTGGGACCAAGCGCGATATTCACTGGGCACGATTAGCCTCGCCCGTGTCGTTGAGAGCCGAGCACCCCCGTCCCGAGTTGACGGCAGGGGACTGGACCTACCGCCCTTGGCCTTGAACTCCCTCGCCATCCACAGCCCCCTCTCGTAGGTGAGGTTCCTGTCCCAGCTGGCGCCGACGTGAAGGCCCGAGGCCCAGGCGCTCACCATGTCTGTCGCGCGGACGCCGTTGCCCGCGTCCATGAGACACAGGCCATGCCAGTTGAGGCGCGGCACGGATCCGGTGTTGCCGGCACAGGTGTTGCTCGGGTCGGCGAAGCCGCGCGTGATGTTGACCTTTTCTCCGAGGCTCATCAGGGCTACGAATGCGCGGGCCTGGACGTAGGCGTCTGCCCATTGGCCGTGGCCCCTTGCTTGTGCTGCGACGAGCTCAGCACATGCTCAAGGTAGCAGAGATGTATGTTGTATAAACTCACGGGTTGGATATACAGGAGGCGAGACAGCAAGCGCCGCGGCTCCCATGGGCGCAAGCGCAAGCAAGACTGATTTCATCGTGGAAGTGTACGCCCCTGAGAAGGCGCCCGTAGAGTCTGGAAATAAGGAAATGAAAATGAAAATGAAAATGATGATCAACAAAAAAAAAAAAATTAAAAAATTGCAGAATGTCGACAAACTCGCTGACGTTAATATTCACGACCCCCAACGCGGGGAGCAAATGTCATGCCAAGCCACCAGACATGCACCGGCACTTTGCTGAGTGGACAGGAAATCTAATGACGTTCCAACCGGGGAGACTCGCCCGAGAAAAATGCAACCGAGGAAAGGCAGAGGATTTGCAAAACGGCGCAAATCAACCAAGGGAACCCCCACGCATGACGGAAGAATTAAAAAAATCATGGTGCACGGATTCCAGGGGCGGTCTAATCGGGTTGGTTTCCGGGCGCCACGGGTGGGCGTTGGGCTGCTGCGCCGGCAGATGGCGTCTGTCATTGGGTTTGTTCTTTGGATAATTCACTTGCTGCTGCACGCCGTTGGACGAGCGGCCTGGTCGTGGCTACAGGATTCCCATGCACAGAATTATGGGATTGTGCAACGGGACATTGATGTTCAACTTGATAATGGCAGGTAGTGCTACGTTGAATCCAAGCACGCGACCCTACAAAACATGGCACCTGAGGTCCTGGCTTTCTAATGTAGGCAAGCTTGGTCCATGCGCCGGGTTTCCATTGGCTGATGCAGCAGCGGCCACTGTCACGGCAACATTGAACCTTGCGTACTTTACCATTGTGACAAAAGTTTTACCGGTGCCTACTTAAGTACACTACAAAAAAGCGGACATTACTCCTTGTAGTGTAAGGGCTTTATTTTGCATTTTATACATCATCACATATGAGATACGACGGACTTGTATTTACTCTCGATAGATCGGATCGTAATGATGTAGATAGCACGCTAACCGTATTTATCCTCGCCCTGAAAAGTCTATTAAATTGGATACTAAATAGAAGAAGCTTAAGAGCCTCGTAAAACTATTGGCGACTCATGAGCATAAGCTACAAATTCACGTTTCTATGAACCGCGAAGAGAGTGCAGATACACCTTAGGTAGTTGACATCTTGCATTGTGCCAAGGCTGGAGGAGGGCCCTTCCCCCCACACAACATTGAAGGCCCAGGACCGCCTGGTATAGTTGGCTCAGCGAATTAAGTATCAACTTAATAGTATGGCTTTAAATATGAGCTTAAGTTTAAGTATTCATTTCTTTCCATTATTTTTCACGTAAATTTCAAGTACGTATTTTCCCCTTCATCTCCAATTCGTTTCTAGCCCCTGTTACAAGCCCTTGCACAACCTTGAAAGATGATACACAAGTTCTAGTCACAACCTGCTAATGCACGGTCAGAGGTGGGATAACGCACTTGTGGTCAAAGGGTTCTTTTCAGATGCTAAATACTCGATATCAGCTTCAAACAATATAATTCAAGCTGTAATAAATTTGCATGTCGTTACGCATTGATTGCCGCAGAGCCTTGCCTACATCATCATCTTCCCAATACTGTGACAGCCAAAGTTGCATGTACAGCACGCAAGTGCGGGCTGCTCGAGAATATTGACCTTGTGACTTCTTGTGGCTCACATCAATGCCTGGTTGCTTGGCGTTACCTGCAATTTCCTACACGTTGACAATAGTTTGCATGAATCAGAAACCCGCCAGTCACAGTAAAACATACTTGCCAAGGCCCTGTTTGTATTGCCAGCCGTCTCAACAAAGAAGCCGACTCCATCTACGCATAGTTGGGTGTGGTTTCACAAGTCGACTGAAAACAGCTAGACGACGTGACTCATTACGTCTGTTTGCCATCGTGAATGTCGGCACAGACTTCTGGGTGGTGCCCGATGCGATGCCCGTCAACATGCCATTTTTGGGTCGGATTGTGGCGGCGACGAACCACCGTGTTGATGGCGGTCAAGTTTGTTGACTATGGAATTTGCTTGACGGGCTTCATTTGCCGTGCTGTTTTTAGCTTGGCCTTCTAAGCCATTGGCAAGGCATCGAGATGGCCGAGCGCATCGATGCTCTGGCAGTGGTGAGTTGGGCGCCGTCGGCCCGTCGCTGGCCGTCACAAGACTCTGAGATACCCTGAGAGACATGCATGATGTTGGCATTATGATATAGAAATTTCCCAACGGGTTGGAGATCGTGTTTGTGGCTGGCTGCCCGTTCCTTTTTGGGTGAATGACTGCATACGCCAGACTGCTGTTCCTGGAAAGCGTCTGCAAGTGATGCTGCTGCTTACACCGACTTGGCCCAATGAAGAGCGCAGCGATCTGTGATTCTCACCACGTCACGGCAGACGCATTTGGCCTACTGGCCACGATATCTCTTGGCACTATCGTTCAGCTGCCATCGTGCCGTGCTCAGCAATCCGTTTTGAATCAAGAGTGGTGGACAAGACGTCCTTATTTGCGGTGACGGGTGCAATGTCACCTCGGGATGAGAAGATGACTGCAGGCACTGGAGTCGTATCGCATGCCAATAAGTCTGTAGCTCGGCAGTTGACTCAAGCCCAACGCGGTCGAGACCGGAGCATCTTGTATATAAATATCATGGGCTTGATCTCTTTTGCCCGCTCTGTCTCCAACATATCTGCCCAAGTCTCAAGTCTTCCCCGTCGCTGCCAATAACAAAACCGCCAAAAAAACATCATATAACCATACAAGATTGTAAGTAAAGGGCAATATTTTACAGCTCTCCCGCCTAACTGGTCCTAGGCAAGATGAAGCTGTCCATCAACATGGCCACCGTGACTGCCCTGCTCGCGGCCGCGTCTGTCAGGGCCACATACTGTGTTTCCGAAGGTAGCTCGGACCCCGAGGGGTTGACCAGATCCATCTGCAGGGAGCTTAATGGCTCGGAAACATTTTCTTGTTGGATAGGGATCTGGCGTTACAGCTATTGTTGCGATACGGGCGATAGGGAGACGCAGTTTAGAAACATTTGCACTCGTTGGGGGAGGAATGCTTCTTGCGGATGATCTCTCAAGAGACATAGGGTGGACATTGGTCCTCATCCGAAGGGTGTAAATTGCCCGACGTGACGGGTTTCTCTCTCTTTTAGATGGAATTGTTTGTCGCGAGTCGATGGTTTGACCTGGAAGCCAAGTTGCATCACCGTGAGGAAATGAAACACCGGTGAGAGAGTTGGCAGACCTAGCTTAGCTCGATTCAAGCCTGATTACAGGCAGTTGACATGATGGTGACGTCTAGGTGAAGGTTAGACATGCGTGACAGGAGGCAGGCCGTTTATACGCGTGCTCTTCGAACTTTACATTGCTGCAGTTGCGATGTAAGCCATGACACTTACAGCACCCATGCCACCATTTGCCATCCGATCGCACGTTTCGACCAGGCATGGCTGGTTTCTGCGCTGATGTATCCATGCGGCGGGACCATGCCGAACCAGAAAAAGTGAGGTGGGACATGTTGCAGGTCAACCTGAAGCCGTCGTTTGCCATGACACCTACAGCTCCTGGCATAAAACATAGAAGCAGCCCGTCCCTGCCTTCTCCATGTCCAATCCTCGGGATAATATCCTGGCGCAGTTTGACCTCATGGTAATTTGAGTTGGCGTTTGGTGTTTAAGCAGGCTTGGGAAGAGCAGCATGCGCCGTGTTTAGCCTAGGTGCCTCCCTCCTCGAATTCACCCGCCATGTAGTCGATTGAATTTCAGCAGGAAAGGCCAGTCCGATAGTGCTTTCTGGTGTTCCAGAGAGGTCGATGGTATCATCAGCCTGGTCATTGGAAGCAGCAAATGCAGCGGGTTGTGCCTGTCCGACGCCGCATGAATTGAGGATCAATGTGTTCCCCCCATTAAACGAATGTAAAAGAACCTTTCAATAAGTATGAGAGCGATAGAACCCCCCCTTGGCGTCGTGATGCCGGGAGCTTGGATGCAGCATTGATTTGCACCGTCAGTCAGTCATGAATCACGATCCACGTCGTCGCGTGTAGTTGCCAAGCTTTCTTTCTCACTTGGCCCAATCTTGCCCCACATTGGCTGCTTCGTCCGGCAGGAGCCAGTCAGATCCGCCAGTCTTTCAAGTTGCAGTTCGTCACTCTCGGCCTCTTAAGCTTCACATTGACGAGGCTGCAACTTTTTTTTGGCCCTTGTGGCGCGCACCAACTTGGCTGACGTCTCTTTAGCTTCGAGCATCTTTTCCTGCGCTGCCGCGCGCAGCACCGCCTTACTCCATGGCCGCTGGTCTCCCCTGCTCCCATTCAATACGCGATAATATTTGAATCTACCCCGTTCATCGACCCCCCATCGACAACTTCGCCATGGACCAACTCACTGGCTCCGGTCCCGAGCGCGCATTGCGTGATTCGATGGAATACTGGACGAAGTTTGTCGACAAATCCATATTCAAGCGCCTTGACACGGAGACATTTGAGGAATTCGTCCCGCTTGTCCAAAATCAGCATCCTCTCCCGCCGTTCGTGATCGCCCTTTTATTCCTTCAACCGCAGCCTTACAACGTCATAAGCCTCGATCCGCGGATACCTCCATATATACAGATTCTTACAAAACTGGGATACGTTGATGCGCCGTCCATTTTAAGGGTTCTGTACAAGTTTTCGTCGCTGCACACGCAGCTCAAAACATCGCAAAATGAAACCCAGTCCGCGAGTAAGGGCAACAACCCTTACCAGCGCTCAAAAGAGAAGAGAAAGAAACCGCAGCGGTGGAATAGTTCGGCCTGGGTGGAGGAGTTCATGTTCTATCATGTCATCAAGATCATTGTGGAGGGAACCGCCTTTCGAGAATCACGCGTCGTTCTGGAGCTGGTCCAGGTCATTTCCAAATGGATGGAGCTTTTCACCTCAGTATCCAGCGTCTTCGCGACAGATGTCATGGGCGAGTTGCAGAGTTCACAGGCCCGTATCGACATGGAGACTGCACGAGCTGCCTTTGTCCCGCTCCTGTTGCGACTGGTCGAGGTTCCTGCGCTTGTAAAGGCCATCAGTAGCCCACATGCCAAAGGTACGGTTTCCCGATCTCTGGCGTCAGGTTGGCAGGCTAACGTCTTTAGCTATTCGAAAAAGCCTCGCAAACAGCATGGCTGGCTTTATTCAGACACTGCAGCCGGCCCCGGGCTTTGTCGAACGGCTAGAGATCTTCCGCACGGAAACTTTGGCCAGACTAGACCCGATTGATAAGAAGGACCAGGCGGCCACTAATGCCGCTATGGACGAGCTTTTGGGGACGACTGTTGGTTTAGACAGTTTTGTCATTCCGGACCTGCTAATCTCCAACACCAGATCAGCGGTATATGTCTTTTTGAATGCATCAGTATGTTGCCAGATAGAGAGAGGCATGGCAATCACCGCTGACACAGACTAGCTTGTAGGACGTCCTTTGATCGACGACAATGTATTGATATCATATTTACAAAACCGATATCAGGTAGGTCTACACCTCCCCAGCCTGAGATGGCTGCCTGGCTGATCGACTTTGAAAGGGTGCAACACAGTCGAGCGCCATTGAATTGATAGTGGCATCGTTTGATATCCTCGCCAATGCCGTATTCCGCAACGAAGGGCCCAAAGACGCACATTTGTTGAAATCTTTTCTCGTCAACAAAGTACCCCTTCTCCTATGCCTCCTTTTTCTCCGGGAACCAACGTTTGACACCAACGCTTCCGAGTTTTGCATTACCGAGGCTCTGAGCCAAGTAGATACCAGCGTATTTCCCACCGCCTCGCTTATGTTTGACGAATCCAGAAGTAATAATCCGTACACTGAGAGTGTGCGCGAGGAATTCTGCACAGCCTGTGCCCTTCACGGCCTCGTGCAAAGGGAGCACGTTGAACGAATTTTGGGCGAGCTATCCATGTCATATGAGCCTTCACTAGAAAAGTACTCCAAGGAAAAGCTTGTTCAGGATTGTTTGGCCGACGCCGAAAAGGTCCAGGGATTAATACGAGAACTTGAGAAGATGGACGGCAACGTTGGTGCGGTCTGCCAAGCATTGGTAGAGGTATGAAATCTGCCAGCCGTGCCCTTCAAGAAGCTTCGCTGCTAACTTGGCCAACAGGTGATGCGTCAACTCTGTAACAATAAAGAAACCATGTCGTTGAAGCTTTTGTGCAGCCAACTGGCGCAGAAGCCTCGAATCCTCGACATTCTGTTGCTCTTTGAGAAGCTGCCCTCTATTCTGGACCCATTATGTCAACTCCTGGATAACTGGCGATACGAGGAGGATCAAGGCGAATACCAGCCCATATACGAAGAATTCGGCTCCATTCTCCTCCTTGTGCTAGCCTTTGCATATCGGTATAACTTGACTGCAGCTGATATTGGCATCACGTCGCCAGACTCTTGTATTGCCAAAATCCTTGGCAGAGCACATATTAGCCGTGACAGAGATGAGCTGACTGAGCAAGAAAAGGGTCATCTGAGCGGCTGGATTCATGGTCTCTTTGCTGACTCTGGAGGCTTGGGCGATGATCTAATGTCTTCGTGTCCGCCACAGGATTTTTATCTGCTCGTAGCGTCTCTGTTTCAGAATATTGTCGTGGCGTACACATATGGCTATCTCAGTGACGAAACTCTGAAAGGAGGTATAGAATGTAAGTTGTTTTTTGTTCCTGTTGTTTTGCCAGTGTGGAGTGTTACACCAACTAACTGACTTGCTCAGACTTGGTGGATACGTTTTTGCTGCCTTCACTTGTACCGGCACTGCGTTTCCTCGCAGACTACCTGTGGGTAGAGCAGAAAGAGCAAAAGGCAATTATCAAAATCTTGCAACTCATCCTGCTACCCAGCTCTATTTCCGGGGAGGCAAGCACCATGTTATCATCAGTTCGAAATCTAGTAGCAAAACCACTGGAGCACTCGCTGCGGACATATCAGCGCCAGGACCCCAAGAACCAGGATATCCAGCCACTGTTGAGAGCTCTCAAGGACAGCCTGCCGCTGTCGCGGCGAACCGGTGGCGCAGATCACAATGAACTCCAATCGTGGACGAACAGCTCCAGCGCGGGACTTGCTGGCGCCTTGAGACACACAGTACAGGGTCTCGTGCAATGGAGCATGCATCCGAGTGTTAATAGCATGCCCACATCTTACACACACAGACAGTTAATCGCTGCGCAAAAAATCATGGGAGCCAAGCGGACGCTCCGACTTCTTCTGGAGGAAGTCCGCACGCAATCCGAGACGGGCAGCGCAAACATTGTGTACGACGCCGTCGCGGCAATTGTTTGCGCTCCCAACGTCACCAATGAGCCTCCGCCAAACAACCAAATGATGGACGCATCGGGCAATGTTCCGCCCGCCGTTCAACGGCCCCTGACGCTCCGTGAAGTCCTGCGCCTCGAAGCCGAAGGGTGTAACAAGCTACAAAAGGCGGACCCTGTCCTGGCCGAGATTGTGGTCCGCCTCTATCGCCGCGTTGAAGCACACATGGCGATGCCCCAGAACCAGGCTATTCTCGAGGCACCAGGTATCCAGCTCGATCTTGGCTCTGGGGCAGGTGGTCTCGGGGATGTTGATGCCATGGCGGCTGTTGGTGTTGGCGCAGACGGCATGACGGTTGACGGGCTGGACATGGGTATTGGCGGCCCGGGAAGCGCAGGCGGATTGGATGCCACTAGCGACGGCGATTTGTTTGGCGGCCTGGATACGAATGGCATGGATATGTTTGGCTGGGGAGACAGCATGGACTTGAGTGGGAATTGAAGCGTGATGGTATCATTATTGAGGGGAACATGTAACAGTATATGGGCTGTGGCGATATGGGCTGTAGCGATATCCTCAAAGCGATGGGTCTAGACGTGTATTAAAACCAACATGCCGATTCTGGGACTTGGAGTTTCATAAAGGTCCGTCTGCGGTTTCTTTTTCCCGAGTAGGTTGTGTGCATACCTAATTGTCGGACTTGTATGATTCGAAAGGGTTTACCTCGCGCGTCTCTGTGGCATCTGTCTGCCCGGGTTGGTGTTGGGATCACTCGCCACGGAGAATATGACGCCCCTGCAGACCCTTGCTTCTCGTCGTGACAGGAATTCGAGGGCCGAGTGTATGAGCGATCTATCCTAGTCACTCTATCCTTTTGTGTTGGAAAGCGTTTGGGTGCTTGTGGATGTGCTGCCGCCCGTCGCCAGCGCAGCAGCCTCACGTACGCACGTGCGGTGGTCTGATTTCTGCCCAAGCATGCTGAAAATGAGGTGGTTTTTTCATGGATTCCTTATAGTTTGGTTGTAGAAGCCAATGGCTAGATTCAAATTCTGGCACTTGCACTGTTGACTCGTATTTGTCGAACCTAGTTGCAAACTTGTTACATGTACGTTGGGAGCCTGCGAGTCAAGGAGGAAAGGTGCTTCTGACGACGCAATTTTTCTCGAGTGATCCTCATTGGATTGCTTGTCACCAAGTTGAAATTATAAACAGGGTGCAAATTGAAGGCGGCAGACGTATGCTTTCAAAATCTAGACCCGAGGGTGAGTCGTTAAAGGAAACCGGCCATTGGCCTTGGCGAGAGAGTGGAGGAGTGAAGACAGGGCGAGATGCTATTGTTTGTTTACTTTACCTATTCACGGGCCACAGTCAATGTTGTATTTTCATTCAAGGTTTGCAAATAGCCGAGGACAATACCCAACAACGCAAACGAGCATCTCGGGATTCGGACAGGGGGCCCTTCTCGACTGGAAGCCTTCGTGAGGCAGCACGAGTGAAAGCAAGAATTGCTGCTGCTCCGTTTGCTCTATCCATATTCACAGGCTCTTATACCGGTTCCCTACCCTCTGTGAAGCTATTGACGAGTCCTTGTTGTAGTAGTGAACGTGTCGAGATCCTGCCTCAACGGGTATAAATTGGCACGGCTTGCCCATGTCCATTGAACGCACCGCTATTTTCCGCATAAATCTTTTACCCTCAATTTCACCGAATCTCTAAACACATCGATTCATCCCTTCACAACGATCCCTCGGCCAGCTGCCAGCTCGACATCCACAATGCCGCGCGGGACTCGAGCCTGGTCACTGTTCCCAGAACACCACGGCTCGGTGGAAGATCTCCTGCAAGAGGAGGGGCTCGATTTCGATTTTCAACACACCGACAGGGAGTCTGGCCATATCAAAGAGTATGATACCAATGTCATGGGCCGCTTCGCCTGCCCCAACGCAAACTGCACCCAGCAAGGCTGGTCCAGCAAGAAGATCGCCGTCTGGATCCGGCTGTACTCTGGCTCGCGATACAATGCGAGGGTTTACAATCAGCGGTGCAAGTCCTGCAACTCGCTTAGCCGACCAACTTTAGATGACTCGTACGCGGAACGAATTGCGTACCGTCTAAAGAAGTGGTCCAACATTGAGGTTAAACCACCTCCCTCTTCTGGTGGGAATGGAAAACCGCACGAGAGGGATCTGTGTGAGGGGTGCAAGAATGGTCATTGTGCAGACGGAGAGCTGAAGGAGAGGATGAGATCGTTTTGTTTTTAGCTTTTTTCTCTGGGGATGTGTAATCAAGAGTTGTCTCATGTCGTGGACTTGTGGCTAGGATTGGTCAATTGGGAATTGGTGCCTTTGTCGGTTGGGACCCCAACACAACTCTGTTTTCTTACCTTTTCATTCTCACTCGACTTGGGCAATACGCCAAAAGGAAGACGAGAACAAAACCACCACATTTACTCCTCTTCTATTCTAGAGATGAATGAATTTCGTTTTTAATCTTGTAATCTCTGCGCCTCCAACCATCGCGCGTCGCATACGCATCGCACCCATGTGACAGTACCGCTGCAATATTAGCCTTGGCCACACGTCGTCATCAAACACCCAGGCTGCAATGGGGACGTTTATCCGGGTTCTGGGATGGGCGACACTAGTTTCCATCGCGATTTCGGTGAATACTGATACATCCGACTTTGACTGGAATGCCGTCGAGCCCTCGTGGCATCTTCACTATTCACCATGCTACGACGGGTTTCAATGTGCTCGCCTTCTCATGCCATTGGATTGGCTTAATACCGAACCGTCAAACGAAACGGTAGCTCTGTCCATGATCAAATTACCAGCTGCCGTGGACTGCAGCGATGCCTCCTTTGGCGGCACTGTCATCACAAACCCCGGAGGTCCGGGCAGTTCTGGTGTTCGCCACGTCCTTAAAAACGGCCGCTACATGCAAACCATGATGGATGGCGAGAAGCACTTTGAGATCATGTCCTTTGACCCAAGGGGCGTGGCACATAGCAAACCAGCCGCAGATTGCTACGCCAGCGAGCCCGCGCGAACAGCCGCCGCCTGGCAGAGTCGAGGCTTCACCAATTTCGACGCCTCTGCCGAGAATCTCAAGTACCAAAAGGCATTCGCGGCTGCGCGAGGCCTTCAATGTGCAAAGCCCGGCCCCCACGGCTACGCCATTCAAGAGTACATGGCTACGGCGTCGGTTGCTCGCGACATGGTCCGCATCATCGATGAGATTGAAAGCCTACGTCAGAAAACACTGGCACAAAAGCTCCAACACGAAGCTCAAAAGCCCGTGACCAGCAAGCCTGCTAATGTGGCGAGACTGCAATACTACGGGACTTCGTATGGCACCTTTCTCGGAAACACCTTCATGTCCATGTTTCCAGGGCGCGTGAAGCGCATGGTTCTCGATGGGGTGATAGTTCCAGAGGACTGGGTTGCGGCGGTAGGTATCTCACCACGACCTATACTGAGTTGGAACAAGACCGTCTAATTATCAAGCACGTTAGGACTGGCACAATTCCCTTCTGGATAGCGAGAAAGCGCTCGAATACTTCTACCGCTCGTGCTTTGAAGCCACGGCCAAGTGTCCCTTGACCAAGTCATCCGACCATTCTTGGCATTCAATACGGGACAGAGTGCGTACATTGCTTGGCGAGCTGGAGGCCAGCCCGAGACCGGTCCTGACACAAGGGGGAACAGAAGCCATCATCACAGCTGGCATGGTTCGCTCGTCCATCTTCAACGCGCTCTACCAACCCGTCGACAAGTTTGAACCGCTGGCCGAGTCACTGGCGAGTGCATTACAAGGCAACTACACCTTACTTGTTCAAAACACGGGCCTCGGCCACCCGGCGGATGGATGTACCCCCAAGAAGCCAGGTGAATACAACTGGCTTGGTCTCTCGTCCTCGGCGGTAGTATGCGGTGACGCTCAAGACGTGACGCATCACGATGAGCGCTACTGGCAGGGCTACTTCGAAAAGCTGGGAGACCGATCTCCGGAATTCGGACACCATGTTGCCAAAATACCCTTCACGTGCTCCGGATGGAAGAGCAGGCCGAAATACAGATTCACCGGGCCATTTTCGTCCCCGCAAGCAGATACCAGCGACAAACAGGAACGACCCTCCGCGCCGGCTCTGTTGTTATCTAGCTGGATCGACCCTATCACGCCGCTCCAGAACGCGCACAGGGTGTCAAAGAGCCACCCGGGGTCCAGGGTCTTGTCACAAAGGTCCGTGGGGCATTGCGCCTTGTATTCGGCGCCGAGCAAATGTACTAACAGGGTGGTGCGGACGTACATGGCCACTGGTGCACTTCCGGATGAAGGCGCGCAGTGCGAGCCGGATTGTGTGCCCTGGGAGCAGTGTGATGACGAGAGAACGTCGCTGCCGCGGTGAACGGGAGTGCGTACACTGGGAAGCAAGGGTGTTGAAACCAAACAACGTATTTGTATGCAGCCGTGCCCATCCTAATATGGATACGTTTCTTCAGAGAGGTTGTAGACTCTCTCTAATTATCCGCGGATACAGAGACTTGTACTTGCAGAGTAAACCTGCAGCCGTTGAGACTGGAGCTTCTCCATTCATTCACACGCTCTCTCTCTTTGAAGTCGTGGCGGAAACCCAACATGCTTTTACACCTACCTAGCTCCTCGGGCCATGTGTGAAATCGCCCGAATCAACTAGGCACAACTACAATCACCTCGTAGTAACCCCGTGACAGTATACCGGAATTTCTCACGGCGTAACAATATCAAAGTTCCTATCCCCCGGATCCAGCAGCCCCCCGAGCCTCGCCAGCACCGAGACATCCCCGTCAATCTCGATCCCAGCCGCCCTCAAAGCATCCGGACCGCGTCCCAAACCCACCAGGGCACAAAGCTGCCTCCGCGTCGCCGAGAGCGTCACGTCCGGGCTCGCCTCCCGCCTCGCCGCCGAATACACCAACACCCCGTTGGACAGCCACAGCCTGTACCGCTCGCCGGCGTCCACCAGCACCACGTCAATCGCCAGGCTCTGCCCCCACGCCCTCGGCCCGTCGACCCTGACGGCCAGCGAGTCAAACACCATCTCGGGCGTGAGCTGGCCGACCACGTCCCCGGAAGCAGTCGACGTCGGGGCGCCAAACTTGCCGCCGCGCAGCTCCGCCGCCCCCGACATGTAAAAGTTCCGCCACGGCCCGTTCTCGCTCCCGTAGCCCAGCTGCTCGTACGTGTCCGCCAGCAGGGCCCTCGCCTCGGCGTGCTCGGGCTCCGCAAACACGACGTGGTTGAGTATCTCGGCCGCCCAGCGGAAGTCGCCCTCGCCAAGGGCCTCCCTCGCGCGGTCGACGACCTGGCCCGCGCCCCCCGCGAGCTTCAAGTACCGCCGGGCGCGGTCGGCGGGCGGATGCTCCCACAGATGGGACGGGTTGCCGTCGAACCAGCCCATGTAGCGCTGGTAGATGGCCTTGACGTTGTGGCTCAGGGAGCCGTAGTACCCGCGGGCGGCCCAGGCGCCCTCGAGCGCCGGCGGGAGCGCCATGGCCTCCGCGATCTCGGGCCCCGTGAGCCCCCTGTTGAGCAGGCGGAGCGTCTGGTCGTGCAGGTAGCCGTACAGGTCGCGCTGCGAGGCGAGGAAGTCGACGGCGCTGCGCTGGCCCCAGGTCGGCCAGTGGTGCGAGGCAAACACCACGTCGGCGCGGCCGCCAAACAGGTCAATCGTCTCGGTGAGAAGGCGGCTCCAGCGGTGGGCGTCGCGGACGACGGCGCCGCGCGGCGTCAGGATGTTGTGCAGGGTGTGCGTCGCGTCCTCGGCGGCGCAGAGCGCCCGGAACTGCGGCAGGTACACGAGCATCTCGGCCGGGGCCTCGGTGTCGGGCGCCATCTGGAACACCATCCGCACGCCGGCGGCGATGCGCTCCTCGCCCGTGGTCCGGACGGTGTCGTTGGGCGCGATGAGCGTCAGCGTGCCCCCCGTCGGCGCCGTACATGTAGCCCGCCCGGCGGCTCATGGCCGTCCCGGCAAACACGTTCTCCGACACGGCGTGCTCGAGGAACCCCTCTGGCGCGATGATCTTGATGTCGTCCCGGTGGACCTGGTCCTCTGTGACGAAGCCCTTGACGCCGCCAAAGTGGTCGGCGTGGCAGTGCGTGTAGACAATGGCCCTGATGCGCCGGTGCTTGCCGCGATGCTGCTGGTACAGCTGGAGCGCTGCGGCCGCCGTCTCCGAGCACGTCAGCGCGTCGATGATGACGAGGCCCTCGTCGCCTTCGACGAAGGTCGTGTTGGACAAGTCTAGGCCGCGCACTTGGTAGATGCCCTCTGTGACCTGGAACAGACCGTCCAGCCGGCAGAGCTGCGCCTGTCGCCAGAGACTGGGGTGTACGGTGTCCGGGGCCTCGTTTTCGAGGAACTTGTACGAGTCATTGTCCCATATCACGGCGCCGGCGGCATTCGTGATGACGTTGGGCTGGCGCGTCCCGATGCGGCCTTTTGTCGCATTTTGAAAATCTGTCTCGTCATCGAAAGGGAGGGATTGGCGGGCCTGTTGGTTGTGAGCGCGGATTACTTCTGCTGCTGCCTTGGACGCCATGGTGTTGCGTAAAGAGCTATTCATCTGACATGGCGGGCTGAGGATGGGAAGCGTGTACAAGGTTTGGGGCCCAGGGTACCCTTTTTATGTGAATATGGGCGTTTGATTCTCTGCAGCCAGGATGTGACATTCATCATGTTGGCGTGATGCTCGTGTAATTGGGGAGCTGAATTGGCCAGTGTTGGGTATTAGACTTTAGCCACATACGCCAACATGTCTTTTGGACAGACGGCAAGCCAAGATGGCAAGTCGTCGTTCTCGTAAAATGGGTAGCTTCCTCGTTGTATGTTTTTTGCAGCTGTTTGCTTTCGGGACGTTTGATTCAAGGCCCTGCCCAGGAGGCAAGTCGTGCATTTCGGTCATGGTCCAACGATCAAGGCCCCATGCCCCAGGACAGATAATGGTAGCCATGACGAGCATCGCGCTGGCTTTCCGAAGCCTCCGAATTTACCTGCGTGCCGAAAAGACGGCCATTCTCGACTCGTCGACGACGCCGGAGTAAAAAAACGCCATTCTGCGGATTCCGCGGTGCCAGAAGGGAACACGGGCTGGCTGAAATGGGGCGTCGCGGAGCTCAACTTGTAAACTGCTGTACTGGAACTCAGACTTACAGCCACAAGCTGGAAACGAGTCGTTCCATTTATACACGGCGGTATACAGTGTATGTATTAGTGAGAACAACCCACGCAGTAAAGAGTCTTCCTTTGACTTCAGTAGCGATACTTGTATAAGCCGACGCCGAAGCAATCACAAGTTCTCAGTCACCCCAGCCTCAATCCCCTCCATTATATTCAACAACTCAACTCAGACCCTGGTACTGAGTGCCTCTCCCTCCTCGCCAAGCATTGTGCTCGGCCAAATCTCCGCCTCACGGTTGGACATGAACTTGCCGTGCGTCTCGGGCGCAAACACACCAGCCATCAGAGTGCGCGACCCCATCTTGCTGCTTCTCGCAACAGCAAGGTGAGAAGCAAAGTTGACACAACGTGCACTGTCGTCGTGGTCTCGTGTCCATCGTGAAGCCCATGGTGCATGATTACAATGCCTGCATTGTTGAGCAGCACGTCGAGGCAAACTCCTCGCTTTGGAACGAGCATAAATCGAGCTTCCATACTTCCATCACACCGTGTCGCGGCGTCGCTCTCATTGTCTACCCTGGCCGCGGCTCCTAGCTACGTTGCGACAGGCAATGATTACTTTTGTCGCGTTGAGACGGATAAAGTGACGGGCTGCTTCAGGCCAAAAATTCCTGCGTATGCAAGCGCGTTAGATGGAAATGACGCCCTTCCGCTGTAAACATGTGATGAACTGAGTTGGGGGAGGGAAGGAAACGACTTGCCGGTGTTTGCGCCGGTGATGATGACCGGCACAATCCTCGTCAGGGCATGGCAGGGCCTTGAATTGCGCTACGAGGGTGCTGATGACTGCCATTTGACGAGTTTGCGCGCCATGTTTGGCTGGAGTTGCGAATTGCGATGCTGGACCACGGTTTTTTGTTGATGAAAATGGATGATGAAGGATGGTGAAGTTGCTGGCTGGGGCACAGGGTGTGTTCATTCAATGTTGGGACATCGAGTCATTCTGCAGCTGCACGAGACACCATGTGCAGACCTTCCATATATACACCAGTCTGTTGCCAAGTGCCAACACATTCCATAAAAGTTAAACACATCAATGGTCTATTTCGGGCCATATTTGGTCATTTCATAGCCGACTAACAATATATATATTATGGTGCTACGTGCTATTCAGGCAGATTAAAAACCGATGCAACTTGAATTATAGTCTCATCGACTCCATAATCTTCGCTTTATTGCAGTTTTTATTACTCAGAAATTAGCCCCAAGTTGGTCAATTTGTACTACCAAAATACTAGACTCTTTAATGCTCAAAGTAGACAGTATGGATATTATCCTAGACTCCTACTCATGGCAGTTGAAAAAATGATACTAGACCAGACTTATGTCCAAGGACAAGAATGTTATTCCATCGCGCCGCACATGTGGCCCTGTAATCTGGCGGAAGACACAAAAGATTATGTCCATCTCGAGCTATCCAATCTTCAGTACTGGATATAACATCCGCTGAGCCTTCGGCCTCGGTAGGTTTGGCATTATATTTGGAAAGTGACTCAGGAAACTTGTCCGATCCCCATTTGCAGACGTCGAGCTGGCTGACAAGTTCTCTACAAATATTATCCGATGATCTCGTCCGATGGCCATCTTCACTCAAAGCCCACCTGACAAGATCATGATATTGGGCGGAAACAGGGCCGACGTAGAGTTTAGACTCTAGCTTCTCGGCAGCTGATGCGGCATTGATAACGGCGGATAAGCCTGCTTTTCGTAGATGAGTCTCGAACTTTGAAAGTAAAGGAGCCAGACCATCTGGCATGCGGGAGAGCAAATTGACCGTACGAGCCATATCTTCTTCTCTTCCGGTGTCGAGTAAGGACTGAAAGTTGTTTCGAAGAATTTCAGAATGCTCGGCAATGAGAACTTGGATACAAATCTGCCTCAACGGATCTGCAGTGTTGTGATGGAGACAAGCCCGCACTAATTCATCCTCTTCATCCAGGCGTAGCTCGGCCCTCCTCATATACTCGACAACACCATTCTCCGCGAGATAGTGCTTGCTTTCCGCACGGTAATACAGCCTCGTTGCTTCCAAGAACGGTGTCTCGAAATAGTATCGATATGTCGTTAACGGGTCATCGTGGTCAATATCCAGCGAAACAAAGGATTCAACAACCCGCTTGATTATGCCATTCTCGATGATCTCGCCGTTTCGCTTCCTTTCAACCAACCCCAGGACACCCTCTATGATGTTCTCGGAAATACTGCCGATTATCACGCTCCTCCATTGGACAAGGTGGAGGGTGTAGACATCGTAGATGCTGGTGGTGCCTTCCTCAGTCGCTTGTCCAACGAAACGATCGAGATACTGGAACATATGATTGATATACTTGGCGGCTTCGGTATAGCGGGGCCATTCTCGATTGTAGAAGGTGAGCAGCCCTTCACCAGTATGAGCCTTGGTTTCGTCAATAACTTGTTCGAGATAATTCTTCAAGTAGTCTGCCAACTTTGTGAAGAGATAGTCAGCGCCATTGAATACTAGAAACGGTTAGCTGAGCAATGTATAAATTATATCGGGACCCATACTTATGCGTATGGAGAGTGGTTTGTTCCCAGCGGACACATATTGAATTGCGCAGAGGTTGTGGACAGCACTGCAAAAAGTCAATAACGGGCAACTGATAGAGGCGCAGAGTGATGGAATGCTGACTCATAGATATCCATATACTATTGGTGGAAAGTTATTGTTATCCTTGAGTCGCAGAATTGTATTGTGAGAAGTAATACGCACTGTCGCCATGTCTATGACCTTCTGCGCCTCCCGGTTGAAAATAAATTTTGAAATGGATTCTTGTATGTACTTCCACCTTGGATGAGTTAGCCTTGTTTTGCCTCGATCTCCACCCGTAGATGAGCAACTCACACAGACTCTTCGTTGTATTTATTATATTGGGGAGGCGTTCTCGATAGATTTCTCCTAGGCTCGCGTGAATTTCTAGGTATAGTCTTCAAGTGACTCATTGTCTCCAAAACCGTACCGTCCAGTGAGAATGCGACGGCCAAGAAGTCATGTGTCCTTATGCTATTCACTTTGTTGAGGTCTAAAAGCGATACCGTCCCGTCGGTCAAAGTCGACGCGAGAACCTTGCCGTCCGGGGAGAAGACGACGGCTCTGACCCAATCCTGGTCATGGGTCCTTCTATCGGCGTCACAATACCGTTCCCTTAAAATGCTCGAAGCTGAATCCTCGTAGATCGACGTTTCGTCATTCCTTTTCTCGACATCCCAGAGACACAGCGTCCCGTCGGTCGAAGCCGACGCGAGCAACTTACCGTCTGTTGAAAAGGCAACAGCTCTTACCCAATTACGGTGGCCTTCAAGCGTCGTTAAGGGAACACTTTCATCAATGCGCCAAAGCCGTACCCTCCAATCACTTGAACCTGAAGCAATTACCTTGCCATTAGGTGAGAAGGCGATGGCCAAGACGTAACGGCTGTGGTCTTCAGTGGTTCCTTCGTCTCTTATAATGTGGTTCCGGTATGCAAGTGTTTTTATGAGAGTGCCTTCATCAACATCCCAAAATCGCACCCTCTAATCGCTCAAACCTAACGCAAGTATCTTGCCATCAGGTGAGAAAGTGATAGACAAGATATAGCGGCTATGGTCGTTAATTGTCTGTTGGTCTTTTGTGGTGTGGTTCTGGTGTTCAAGTGTCTTTACGCAAGTGCCTTCATGTGTATTCCAGATCCGTACGGTCCTATCGCTAGAAGCTGACGCGAGCCACGTTCCGTCGGGAGAGAAGGCGACAGCGTTAACAGAGCCATCATGACCTTCGCGCATCTGTTCAGAACCCCCCATGATGCCGTCCCACATTCGCAGTGTCCGATCGCTCGAAGCTGCTACGAGTATATTACGATCAGCTAAGAAGGCAGTAGAATTGAACCAGCCACCAGGGCCCTCAAACTTCTGCGTATTATCAGTGGTGATGTTCCACAACCGTAGTGTCCGATCGCTTGAAGCTGTTGCCAGTGTAATGTTGTTTATGAAAGTTACAGAATTGACCCAGTCGCCATGGAACTCTAGCATCCTTATTTGAGAGCCTGTATCTGCGTCCCAGAGTCTCACGGCCTTATCACTCGAGGCCGATGCAAGGAAACGACCGTCTGTCGCGAAGGAAAGGGCAGTAACAGAACCATCGTGGTCCAGTGATGTCATTATGGGGGTTCCCTCTGCGATGTTCCAGATGCGGACTGTGCGATCAGATGAGCCTGATGCGAGCACTTTGCCATTGCGCGAGGAGGCCAACGCATTCACTGAACCACTGTGAGACTTTAAAACCGTCTTGCAAATGCCGTGGTTAATGTCCCAGAGATTTATGGTCCAATCACTTGAAGCTGACGCGATTGTACTGTTACTTAAGAAGACGACAGAGTTGACCCAGTTTCTGTGACCCTCGAGCGTCCTTATATGATTGCCTTCATTAACACCCCAGACCCATACTTGACAATCGCTGGAAGCGGACACGAGTGTATTACCGTCCGGAGAGAACGCTATATCCAACACATAACCGCGGTGGCCCTGGAGCGTGCGTTTGTGAGCCCCTGTAACATCATCCCAGAGCCTTACAGTTCTGTCGCTTGAGGCAGATGCCAGTATTTTACGGCTCGATGAGGAGGCGATGGCATTAACCGAACCACCATGACCCTTGAGCGTGTACAAACAATGATCCCAGCCAATTCTAGCACCTCTTAAGGTCGGGATATCTGGGTACCTCTCGACTCCTAGTCTCCTACTAACCTGGCTGTCTGTCGGGCAGAACGTAAGCGCGGCGCCGTAAGTCTGCAAGGGAAACCGCTCGATCATAAAACCGTAGCTCAGAGCAAATCTTTCGGCGTCTCTCAGGAATGCATCGAAGTTGGAGGCGGCATCGTATCTTGACTGCTACACTTTCGCTCTGGGGAGCAAATACAAGCAAGCGCAACAAACATACCAGTAGTATAGTCCGAAGCTGTTTGATGGATGATATGCCATCTGAAAGTCTGCCCAGTAGAGATAGAGTCTCAATCCAGTGAAGTAAATGCTCGTCAAGCAATGTCTTGACCTCCTTCAACAGAGCAGGCATCTCTTGCAGTAAAGCCTCATTCCTGTCTTCGTCGATGATCTGTCCCAAGTCCTGTTGAAAGCTTTGAAGGTGGTTTACCCAATTCAGACAGGCGTACTCAAGATCTGGCGGAATAAAATTGTTGATGGCGTGCCCAATATCGTTCGTTGTTGTGCTGTAGTCCCCATTACCGTACATGTCTCTATGCAGCCCATGGGAAGGCCCCTTGCCGTTCCTTTTCATCCGGTCCATACAGTTCCTTGTTAGCATCATATGTGTTTCTAGGGCATCCACCCGAAATGCGCCTTCTTGGTCTAGAAGGTAGTCTCTGAATGACTCGTGTAGTATCTTGACGGGGCCCCCATGTTGAATGTCGAGGACTGCATGGAGATTCGGGAGCAAACAATCGACATCGCGGTCGTTCTTGCCAAGAAGGGCCGCTAGGCACTTGGAAGAAAGCGGGGTAAAGAGAAGGAAAATGGAGCGAAGTACGTCCTCGAGGAGCTGTTTCTCATGTCTATCAAGGCCGACCGCTGCCTCGTCAAGGACTTCCTTGTACATGTGGTTGAATTTCTGGTCAAGCTTGGATGCGTTTTTGACATTGTCCAACCAGTGCCTCAAACGTGAGACTGGGTTTGTTGATATCATCACATTGTCGACATACCGACAGACCGTTGCGGCGTAGATTGTTACACGGAAATCGCAGGTTACACAAGGGCTACGGTCACGGGATTAGGGCAGAAGGTCCTCACCGACTTCTTGTATAAATAGACGGCTTTGGTCCCTCAAGGCCTTGAGGAAAACCAAGGACCTTTGATACCAAAGACTGTTATTCGATAAATTGAGCTATTGACTCCGAGCCCTCTATCGAGCTCTTGTCACAGTATCGCTCTGGACTGCCGTCTAAGAAAGCCCAACATTGAATCTCAACTAGCTCGACTTTGAATATGGACGTGTCTCCAGGCCATCACAAATGAGGCACACTTGTCGACAAGGACGGCCAGGAGGTTAAGAAGACGACCCGCGGCTGGATTTACACCTGCTCTGAGCTAGACTTTCTCCGGACGGTACCGTATCATTACAATGCCTGGTCAAACTCTGTTCTTGAGCGGTATCTTTTCCACCCGTGCGTCATCTCCCTCCGTTATCAAGGCCTCGGCTCACAGTTCAGCAGATTTTACAGCCATCTGGCTCTCCATGTACCCCGTACGGTGCCTCCAGCTTTACTGAGTGTCCTCGGCCTGGTATGTTCATGTATTGCAGCTGCCACTACCATATGGCATACCTCGACTCCGTCTGGCCTGGTACCCTCATGGGTCTTTTACTTGGATGCCGCATGCGTAATGTATTGCATTCCGAAGCTCAGTATTGCTCATCAGCGTCTCTAACCACATGTATCAAGGTTGTACCACGCTTTCGATGCCTTGGACGGCAAACAATCATACAGGACCCAAAATTCCGAGATTGAGGAATGCTACGACCATGGATGCGATTCCATCACCAGTGTGCTCCAGACAATAGTTTTGCTAACTGCCCTCAACATGACGAGCCGCGCAACAGAACAGCTATCCCTGGTCATGATATTATTACAGATTGCATTCTTTATGAAACACTACGAAGCCAGCGTCACGCATACTGTGGTCTTTTTAGACATCGATGTGACCGAGGTGCAGTGCATCGTGGCAACATTGCTGCTCCTTACCGGCATGTACGGGCAGGGGTTTTGGTCAGAGACTGCTGAATGGGCTCCTGGCCTCCATGTATATCGAGCATCACTCGTTCGTACTCGCAATAACCCCCATGTTTACCATACATGCACTAACTTGTCTAGCCGGTTGGCATCGCTGTTGCCGGCTTCTCCGCAAGCATACTTCACTCCATGCTCGTCGTGTTTTGCGGCTACAAAACCCGACTGGAACAGGTTGGCATCGCGATTCCAAGGCGACCCTACTCGTACAAGCCGTTGGGCCAGGCCGCAATAACGACATGCTGCGCAGTTTTTGCTCACGTTTTCGGTGCGGCAAAGCTAGACGTGACGCTCTTTGTGCTTGCGTACGGATTGGCCTTTGCCAAGATCAGCATAAAGCTCAATGTTCTCAGCAAGGCACGAGCTGATGTCCCATGCATCGATACCGCTTTGGTCTTGACCATGTCGTTGACTCTTTGCTACGTGCTCGCCTTGGGCAGGGCGTCCCGCACAACGGCAACATGCTTGATTGCGTGTATTGTCGCGGTGGGCGTGGTCGACATTTTGGTGTTTTCAGTTCTGGCAACGTGGGACTTTGAAGAGGCGAGGGGGATCAAGGCATTCAAAATTTGTCATGGTGGCAAATATATCAAGCCGCCCTGCGATGGCTTCTACATCAATTCATCAAACCTGGACGATATGAGACAACAGTGGCTAGAGCTCCAAGAGAGGGAGCCCGACCTCCTTCACGCCTTGTACTGTCAGTAGGACGACGCCGGGCCTGCGCTATTGGGACAAGGGCTTGTGTTGAAGATATTTCTGGGCACGAATATCCCCAGGTCTTGCATGGCCCTCGAAGAATTCGGCGCGAGCGGCCAAGCAAGCCACTTGTCTTTGGAATCCGCACCTCGTGGTAGGTTGCCGTTCTCAAGCCGGTACTTTCCGACCCATAAACCACCTGTGTAACGGACTGCTCCTCGTGTAGGCAGCACGTGGTGATTAGGACGGGCCGGTGAGTCAGGTCCGTGTTCTGCCTGAGAGAGGAAGTCTGTGGCAACTATGAAGGGATCTGCTGTCTCGTCGGCGACAAAGGCGTTGCCGGGCCCAGCAATAAAGTCGACTCTCTCGACCGTCTCTGTATACCTCCCATCATGTAGATTTCGGCGGCGCCGGCGAAATGAAGCGCAGCCACGGTCGTGCTTGGAATACAGCCTCCAATCGGCCGAGTACATACAATCGCACGCCGAACACCAGCGACTTTACCTTGTTGCCCCGTGATATATTTTACGCGCTATGTGAGCTCTTCTATGTGAATAAAACAGATTGAAGTTCGCAGAATCGGTCATATGGCTTAAATTTGACCTGTTATTCTTTACTAGGTCCTCGGTTCACAAAGGGATCCAGCGCAATGCTCTGACTCATATCTTCAAGATGAACCTCACAATTGAAAATGTCAAACTCTCAAGATGAAACGCAAATGCCATCTTCAGACTGGCCTGTATTCAGCTAACCCACCACAACTGCCACCACCCATGCCCAGCATGCAAAATGCTACTCCTCAAACGTTGCCGACATGGTAGTTCCGGCCGCGTTAATACCAGGGGCCTTGTCCGTGCCCAGAAACCGGCCCTTGAACAGCCAGATGAGCCAGCTAAAGACCTTCATGTTACCCATCTGGCCGGTTGCCTTGCTCTGGCCGAACGTAATGCCATACATGGTCTTGCCGTTGACTTTGTACTCTGGCAAGCTCCCGCCCTCAAAGTATGCCGGAAGGGCCTTGATGAGATGCCGCCTGGGCATCAGCCGCGAGAGCTCTATTATCCTCAAGATTTCCCGCATCGCCAACGACAAAAATGTTCTTGTAGCCGTCTGCCCGAAGAAAGGGCGTCTGCCTATTGTATCCGTTCTTGTCGGGCATGGCCTTCGGCACAAATGAAGTATTGGGCGTCGTGCCCGTAGTCGGCAGGTAAGACTGCGCATAAGCGTCTCGGTGGTGTCGTCGGCGTGCCGCAGTTCAAGAATGGTGTCTCTGCCCCTGGTCGTCGCCTTTGTCACGGTCGTCTTGGGCACGAGCTTGACCTTTATCCTCTCCAGCTCAACCTTGGTCTGCCTGCTCACACTCTCCGTGACGGCCAGCGAGAACGGCAGCTCATTGTTGTAAATAAAGTAAACCCCCTTATTGCCCTTCCTGCCATACTGATAGCCAATCTTGCCTGCTGTCTCGGCTCCAGTCATCGGCACGCTCGACCTGGCCTACGTAGATGATGTTGGACAAGATCTGACTGATAAGAAACGGCAGCTATCAATATATTTATAACTTCTGCATCTCAGAAACTAACCCGGAATCATGGAACAATTATTCATTGCTTGATCTAAGATACATTAATTGATTCCACTTCCCGTGCGTACCCCCGATCCAATAGCCAATAATTCGACGTCGGTATCCCAATCAGGAAATATGGTCGGGGCCGCCGGCTACCACGCGGCGGAGACGGGCATAAATCCCCACTTCAATCTCCGCGACACCTATCGCAAGTCTTAGCGCCGAGTCCCGATCATTGCTGGGATAGATACAATCCAACTTGACCCTGGTGAGTTGAGCATGAGTAACCTCTTTACTTCAACTGCCTTCCATGGAATCTACTATACGTTGCCATGTAGCTGTGGAAGTTCCGATAATTCAACGTCGTCCGGTCGCTGTGTGTGGTAAGATGCTCCCTGTACCTTTGGAGCGAAATCCCACCAAGACCCGCTGGTGACGGACGCGCCGGTTAGGCACTGTTTGCTCTATTTGCCTTTAGCGGTCTAACTTATTTTGAAAATGATAACGCGTGCCAGGGAAAGGGGGACACTCTTGAGGCGTCAGTCGTGTGCCAGTAGCACCACTGATGCAGACATGACAATCTGTGGTGACACATTACGTCAGTCACGGCTGCACTTTTTCATGGCCTTTTTACTTCTTAAACCTAAGATGCCGCCAGCTCAAGCGCAGTCTTCTCATACCGGGAGGAGCAGCGGGGCAGGATAACTAAGAGAGCAGCTTACCACATAAAGCAGCAGAAACAGGTCGCACAGCCTTGATGTTCTACTCGAAGAAAGTAAAACCGGCGGTGGGTGTACAGTTGTTCAAGATAAGATGCTGCATCTAAATGTCTCCTTCATCTTACACCTCGCTGGCCATGATCATGATCATGACCTTGGGGTTGCTAGAAAAAGGAAGAACTCGTCAGCCTGTCATATTTGCCGAAAACTTTACGTGTCAGAGGCTGTGACAAGGGCAAGTGATATTGGGCTTGGAATAATGTTCGACATTCAGCTAATAATTCGCTTTAATATCAAAGGTCCTTAGTTTTTCTTAAGGCCTCGAAGGGCAGATGACCCTTATTTATATCAAGAGGCGGTCAAAGGGCTGTCTTAGGTGCCTGAGGCCTCCGTTAGGTCTTGAGCCCTTGTGTAACTATCGTCATGTTCAAGTTCCGGCCCGTGCCTTTATGGCAACGTGACATCCATGTAACAGAGGCTCGGAGAAGAGGAAATGGAGATGAAGAAAACCACGTACTCGTCGTCCTCAAAGTAGAATACCGACGCAACCAGCTGAGACCATATTTCTCCCACGGTCGTGTTTCCCGGGTCAATGGTGAAGGTGCTTGTCAGAATGTAGGAGCCCGCCGCACCGAACAGGATCTTGCCCTGGCTGCTGTGCAGCGCGGTCTGGAGAGCGGCTGTGTCGTCCATTGTCCCGTTTCGCGAGCGCCAAAGGCCCTGACGTGTATAATGTCGGCCACACCGGCGTCTTCATACTGTGGGTTTGCTCGCTCAATCGGGGCGCCCCCGGAGTCGAGCATGGCGGTTTGTCTCTGGAATCCTGCCTCGGCGAGGAGGCGGAGACCAACATTGATGTTCCTCGTGGTGATGGACTTCCACACCCAGCCCCAGTCCCAGATGGCCTGGACGCCGGTGACGCGGCCGTCGAACGACGGGCGCGACGACGACAGTGGCCGGTTTCCTGCCTGTTTGTGCTTGTTGGCACGGAATTATTTCTTGTTTCCTCTCTTTCTGTCGGTGAAGCCGGCTGGGCAACACTAACATGACCAATCACTTACGTGCCAAAGGGCAGGGGAATGATGCTGGACACGCGATACTTGTCTGGTGGGAAGTAAACAATACAAAATACCTAGATAATCCAGAAACTTTCGCGCTGCGACGAGATTAATGCTCGAAGATTGGTTTATCTTGTAGCTTGGGTCGTCACCACACGGCACCGTACCCCTGCGGCTGATTTTGTAGGATAGTAGTAGTAACTTTGCTAACCACTTTGTAATTTAGAATAGATGCAAGATTTAGAGGAGGAGCGTATAAGATTGTGCGAGCAGCAACGAGAGGTCGATCTGTAAGACTTGAAAATGTAACTATTGTTTCGACCCAGTCAAGACAAGCAAACCGCGTGACAATAACGCCTTATAAATGCCAAGTCTGATAGCAAAAGAAGATTTACTTGACCCATCGAAAAATACACGACTTGACATTAATACTGCTAATTCACCACCCAACACGCCACTGCAAATCCGTTAGCAGTCAGATCCATCCAACCTCACATCTACGGTCATATAGGCAGTGCTTTCTTTCTTCTAGTGTATTAGTGTATTTCTGACATACTAGTAGAAAATACTCCCGGTGGGTCGGATTACTGTTAACCCTTGTTAATATAGACGAGAATTGCCAAAACTCCAAGACTCTATTCGCGCCTAGCAGCGGCTATAATAATTTCGCTTCTCATGCTTCGACTACAACTTGCCCTAGTCGTTACAGCCTGCTACATATGTACCGGTGCAGGCGGGGGCGGGCATACTTACTCGTACAACTATCGTAAACAGCCCATGCGATCTGTAACGCTTCGACAATTAACCTATTGCTCTACCGCGTTATGCCGTTGGGTGGCTCACGCAGCCGGCATGACCAGCAGCCTACGTACAGCCTATTGGCTGGGTCGTAAGTTCGGAACATGCCATCCCTACCAGAGGGCGACGAAGCCCACTTTTGAGAGTGTAGTTAACTCGACTCATGGTCATGTCAGGTCAGGTCTGGTCAGAGTCAGGTCAGGTTAACTGCGCGAGCAACAATCAGGCGGTACGGATGCTGAGACGCGTAATTTCGACCCGCTATGGCAATGGGTGGATATAAGTGATTTTTGCCGTGCTTGTTATTAATGTATTAATCAGCAAGCAGTGGTCTCAGGTGCTGTTTGGTACCGGATTTATGCGACGCGCCTTGCGTCTGGTCCGATGCCCGGTCAATTCCCGCATAATACATACTTGACATGTCAAGTCCTAAGCCCAGAACCCGCTTCTCAGGTGGCCCACGCCTGACTCGTAAGCGCCTTACTATAACTACCTAGGTAGATTTATCTATGTAGTTATTGTATGCTAGTTCTAGATGGCACTTGATACTATGCTACTAGAACTGCTGCTCCGAATTGTCTTACAGAGAGAAGTTGTACTATATTGCTGGAAATTCCAGCTAGTCGCCCAGTTACACTTCAACATATTATATAGAGCTCACTTGATAATGATATTTATTTTCCAGTACCCGTAAGCAATTAAGTGGACTAGCCACTTTATGTTCGGTTGTTTTATCCGTTAATTAATTATTTATGCAACCCACATCTCCACCTACTATCCCAACCTAATAGCGAACCTGATATTTACGTGGCTAGGGATCACGGAGTTAACTCACTTCTAGACCGAAAGCTTGTAGTAAGAAAGGAATAATATAAATATACACATCTATTAGCCCTCCGAAAATGCAAATATCAGCAAACAATCTTACATATATTGAATTGGCTCAACCTACATAAAATCACAACCAAGTCGGCTACTCGTCAAAGCATTATGCTTTATCACTTGACTGTAGCTTCGTTGTCGCTCCTAGCAAGGGCTTCCCTTGCGACGACGATTCCTACCAATGCCTTGATACCTGCACTGGGTAAGGAATTTATTGACTTGAGTCAGCCCTCGGATGAGCTGCTCTCGATACACCAGCAGCTAAACAGGGAGAAATTTTCGTCTCGCTCTGAATTTCCACTCACTGTCGATGTGTACCTGAACATTATTACAAGTACAAATGAGGGTCAAGACGCTGTCAAGGTAAGTTGGTATATACTCGCAACATGTCGGTAACTTTCTCAAATCTAACATGTACGATCAGAATACAACCATTACCTGGATGTTGGACACGCTGAATAATGCGTACAAGGCCGGCCAGATCACGTTCCAGCTTCAGGATACGGCTCGCATTATCAACTCAACGTGGGCGGCTAATGAAGATGACGAGAATATGCGGAGCATCCTTCATAAAGGTGATAAGAGCACACTCAACCTATACTTGGTAGAGGCTCTTATAGACTGGATTGGAGGAGGCAATCGTGACACCATAATCATCGGAAGCACTACTTCCCCGGATGAGCTGCGATTCAAGAACAGGCTAAGCCAAGACGGCGTACTACTTAACATTGGCACACTCCCTGGAGGCAGCTTTGCAGATAAGACCACGACTTTGATTCATGAAGTTGGCCATTGGTTTGGCCTCCTGCACACATTTCAGGGTGGCTGCACGGGAGGTGACGGCGTAGACGATACTCCTGCCCAGGCAAATCCGTCTTATGATTGTAATACGCCGCGCAACAGCTGCCCTAACGATCCTGACATGGATCCTATCAAGAATTTCATGGATTACGGGTCCGAGTAAGTGCCCTGCTAAGAATTGCTATTTGTTCCTGTATCCAGCTCATCACTAACCACTGGGATTATAGTGCGTGCCGCTCCGAGTTTACCGATGGCCAGATGAAACGTATTAAAGAAATGTGGAACAAGTTCCGCGATCCTGCGGTAACACTGGTCCTGGAAGAGGATTTCTTGTACCAGATTCGGCGAATTTTCAATCGCATTCGTTTCCTTCCTAGCCTTCAGCTTGCTTTTACAGACGACGCGACTCTCAAGTGGCAGCTACTCACTCAGCTTCTAGCTGCTCAGAAGGATCTCACTGACAATATTGGCAAGCCAGATTTCGGAACACGGGTTAAGCAGCATTTTGCTGGATTTCGCGCGATCCGAAATGTCCAGTTTTCTATGGATAAGGATAAGACTCTGAAACTCGAGTTGCCTTTGCAGTTTAAGGAAGCCGAGGAAGGCTTGCTTAAGATGGCTTAGTGGGCTGGTATAAAAGTAATACCGGACTCGACTCTTCGTATTAGTACGGGCTATACCTAGTGCCATGTAAACGTGCTTCCCCTAGACCGCTAAAGAGCAGCCTATATATGTTACACGGAAAAGGCCCAACAGATCGTGAGGCCCAACAAAGGGGCCTCGCCGATACAGGACTTGTTAGTTACACAGCTGGAACACGTGCCCGGGCAAGGACCATAGGCCCGGGCGTTCCTTTCATGTATATAAGGCGGTCACCCTTCTCTTCCTTTCTCGTAGCAACTCAGGACCTTTGACATCCTACGAGATTATTATTGAATTGAACCCTTTATCGCTCCAAGCCTTCATAATTGAACCCTTGTCACAATATACGAATACAAGTCAAGCCTTGAGCTTTCTCTCCCTATATTTTCCTTTCCTTCTTAGTTTTAAAGAGACAATAAAATGTAGCTATATATCAAACACATGTAACGGCCAGGGTTGCCAGAGATGAACTCACCTGACCTCTACTTAAAAGCTCAGATAGTTGGAGCTCGTAGCAGTCCACCACCAGTTTCTGGCCTGCTGGTGCCTCGTCCCACACATTGGCAGCAGAGGAGACGACTTCAGAGTGCTCCATGGCCGCCGGAATGGTCTTCAAAGCCTTACAAGTTACGACCCGTTTACATCACGGGGGTTACTAGCCAACAGAATTGCAATGATGCAACTATGTGAGGGACCACGCGAGAGGTCTACGATGAAGGCGCAAGAGCTCGTGATGTAGCTTGACAAGCGTGTATTGCAAGAGAAAAACTTGAACATGATGCAAGAAGAAAAGAGCCGAGTAGCAACAGTGATGTCCCTGCCACCTGGCCTCACACGTGACTCCGTCTCGGCGACCGGCAGATTCAGCCAACGACCAACCATCTCACGACGTGCGTTTTCAGGAGAACAGTCATGTTCAATGTTTCAACACAAAGTCTCACTCAGCCTTCTGCAACCTTGTGGCACCCTCTGAGCTAACGACGCCCTGTTTTGTTTCTTCACAAGCCAGCCAACGCAGGATAAGATGACTTTTGGGCCGCACAAGGCTGTCGCTCCCCCTCGCATTCGAAGACTGCTGGCTGCCAGCCAAAGTCCATCTCAATTCTACTCGGCAAGTCACACGCGCCTTTTATTCCATACGCCCTTCAGACCACTCGTCTCGTCTATCCTTGGGAGGAGAAACTCTTCTTCAGTGTCGCATTCAATTCGAGTACCGGAGACACTTCCCGTGGACGTCCCCGTTGATGAGGAGAAAGTTCCACGTTACAATCCAGAGGCTTTCTACCCTGCAAACCCGGGAGACGTTCTGGATAGCAGATTTGAACTGCTGGCCAAACTCGGCTGGGGAACGTCATCCACTGTCTGGCTTGCCCGTGATAATGAATGGTAACTTGGCATTTCCCATGCATCTTTCCTTCATCCCCCTCCCCCATTCGATTTTATTTTATTCAATTCTCATCTGCGCTTACGCTCAATTGGTAGCTAACACTATGGCTGCTAGGAACCGTTGGACAAAGTCCAACAAGTTTGTCGCTATCAAGATCTGCACTTGTAATGTCGTGCAAAACGAGAGCCCGCACGAGTTGGATATTTCCATTCACCTCTCCTCATTCAAATCACAACACCGAGGACGAGCCATTTTAGGGACAGCTATTGAGAGCTTCGGGTTAGATTCACCCACTGGCTCTTCGCACCTGGCCTTGGTTTTTGAACCTATGAGGGAACCGCTTTGGTTATTCAGGAGGCGCATCATGGGCCAAGATAAGGCCACGCGTTCATGGATGCCTCTAGTAAAGGGATATATCCAGATTCTCCTCGAGGGGCTTGATTTTTTACACCAAGAGGGCCACATCATCCATACCGGTACGCTGTCACCTCTCATATCTTACCCTTGCAAACACTTGGTTTATTCACTCCGCCCCCAGATCTAAAACTCGACAATATCATGGTCACCTTTGAAGATCAGTCTGTTATTGAAGAATTTGTCCAAGGACAGATACATAACCCAATGGCCCGAAAGACAGTCGGGAATCGGACAGTATACAGGTGCCATAATAACTTTGGAGATATTGATGGCAAGGAGGGATTGAAGAATATGTACCCAAAGATCACCGACTTTGGCCTGGCACAGCGAATGGACAACCCCGGACCCCATATCCATCCGATACAACCTGACGATTGCCACGCCCCAGAGGTGATTCTTGGGGTGGGATGGTCTTATAGCGCCGATATATGGAACTTTGGCATCATGGTAAGTGCCTCCCGAGTTGAAGTGCTTCACTTTGTTCTTAACCACCCAAGGGACTGGACCATGCACCTCACGGGGCAGTCGTTGACTAGAATAGGTTTGGGACTTTCTCGCGGGCCAAGGGCTTTTCCAGCAGAGCAACTCCCGTCCATATTCCCCAGTAGAGCACCTGGCGGAGATGATGGCCTTACTTGGCCCTGTGCCGCCGATACTGATACAACGCGAGAGAAGCATGCGGCAATGGCAGTGGAGTCCTAGGGTACGCAATGCTCGCGGCGAATTGTCTAGCAACGCTGCCGAATTTTACGGAGGCCCATTCTTCACTGATAAAGGTAACATTGTGTTGACTACTGGCCACCTCCTTTGCTAGCACTCTGACTAAAGAGCCTTTAGGTGAATTTATACGCAACGATTTGGTCCCCTATACAAGAAGTTTGCAAAGTGAAATGCCCGATTGCATTCCAGAGGACGAAGCAGACCGCTTTCTTAAATTTATGAGAAGGATGCTGTGCTGGCTTCCCGAGGAACGCGCAACGGCTGGGGAGCTGAAGAACGACCCTTGGCTAAACGATTATATTTAAGGAAAATAACAGGGTGGCATGGATGGTAGCCTCGTAATGCCGGTATGTACGCAATGGAACTTGATGGACAAGGGGCAGATTCTTCCTCAGGCTTACACAACAACAAAGAAAGGTATCGCGAGAGCACGGAGATAAACTATTAGCGAGGGCTATCTCAGTCACTAACCCTTATTAACTTCTTATATTTATAAAGACCTCTTAGAAAACCAAGGCCCTTTAATACCTTAAAGCTAATTATTAAATGTCCATCTCGCACCCCTCATACTCTCCCATGAAAGAATTCAGTCTGAAAACCGCTCCCTCTTTTACCCCACTCCCACAAGAACCCGAGGGTATTCAGACCATGACGGGAAGAAGTGGCTAGTGTGCAGCGCGGCATTCTTCGACACTGGAAAACCCGTACCGTTTCTTCAACTCGGGCAACTCTGCTGCGAGGGGAGATCCCGGGCCGAATAAGTCGCAGAAGCGTTGCGACCCGCAATTCTCCTCCATGACGATGCGAGGGAAATAGACTTTTCGTTCAATGTAAGAAGTACAGGCCCGATCGGAGCCCTGCCTAGCCCATGGCAACTTTCCAGTGCCCGAGCCTGACGGGAGCTCGTGGGCATCGATACATTCCTGTGTCGTCTGGTACTTTTTATCGTTTGGGATTTCCGGGTCCCTGAAGGAATCGCAGTATTTATGCGTACCACACTCGGCGTCGCTGTACCATCCGAACGGCCCGCATTCGTGGGAAAAGGGGCCTGCCGGCAACCAAGGGAGCAGGTTTCTCTCCGCGGAACCGGCGGGCGTGGACTGGGGCAAGGCGCCGACCAGAGCGGCGGTGCTGGCGAGAACAAGAGCGAACTTCATTGTGTATGGTGATGGCGTAAAAGCGAGTTGTAAGACGAAAGAGTGGTGTTAGACTGGTTGACTAGACAATTGAGCGTGAGGATTGTGTTTGGGCAAGTCGGTAACGATGCGAGTGAAGCCCAGCTACTTATAGAGAAATGGCTAATGACTTCGTCGTGGTTTTGTTGGAGCATAATGGCAGTGCTCGGTCCATGAGTCTGATAATCATGCTATTACTACCATTTCCATAGTAGACATCTCGCGATGGGGGCTATGCTCTGTGGAGGCGGCGCTATGGCCGAGTACAGCTCAAGGATCAGAGACGTTTTTAAATGGCAAATTATGCGTCGTGGTCAGGCCAACTATAGACATGTTGCATGACGCGGCTGGTTTATAACATCTATATCGGCTGGGGTTCACAACTTCCCAAGTGATAAACCAGGCTGGGTGTCAGACAACTGCGGGTCACAAAAGATGCAGTATAATAGCGCTGAAGGCGCTAATTGCGGTCAATACGAATTACTATACATGGCCGTGATTCAAAGGTACGTGGGCTAAATGAATACGTCAAGTCTGCCTCTTGTATAAATAGAGGCAGCCTTACCCGAGAGTTGATGTGACACACTTATCCGCACTACTAGGAGGAAAAAGCAAAAGAGCGAATGCCGTCCCAGTACTTGCTCGAGGCAAAGGGGCAGGGAATTCATCGAGTACGAATAACCAATCGCCTTTCACCTCGTAAAACCACCGAACCTTGATGGTAGACCCATAATCGCGGGATGTCGCATGTGCGACTCATGCTCTTATATGCTTCAATCTATCATATCATTTTGAACTAATGCTCACCTAATTGGCCAACACACTAAACCAAGGTTGTATTCGACGCGCCAACTCGGCCCGATGGTGGTGTTATATTTTGCGTACTATAGCGTTGGACATATATTCGTACATGAACACTCGCTCCCTCAATTATATGCTTTCGTAATTGAAGCTATCGCTTACTATATTACGCAAAAGGAACGGAAAAGTTTGCATGTTCGTACTTGTATGTACAATTTCATAGAACTACGGTACTATGACTACAATACAATACATACATGCGTACGTGTACCAGTTACAAGGCCTCGTTGCCAGTCCGCCCTGACTACATGGCAGACCAGTATTTAGAAATAACATTCCAAACGCAATAGTCATTGCGGCTTTGTCGTCGGCCAGGTCCACTCCTGGCGTGATGTATCGGGTGATGATGCAGGTGTTGAGGCGTCAAGTCAACTTGTCTACCTGGAGCATAACGGACATTGTATCGCTTCGCTCTTGATGCATCAAATTGCATTACGTTACATGACAAACTGCAGGAGTCTGACAAATTCCGTTGTATATGAGAGCTCGTATCCGACTCAATAAGTAGCCCAAGCTCAGCAATCAAGCCAAAGCATCTTTCCTATCAGACTATTCTAACCTTACACTTGATTTATTTGCCAAGAATCCAGTCATCATGAAGTATACGGTGCTTGTGTCCGCAACCTTTCTAGGTCTGGCTCTGGCCGCCCCGTGGAGTAACCCGACGCTTGACGAGATCGACGGAGCTCCTATGGTACGGAGATTCTCTCGTCAGCCACAGCAACTGGGCAGATTTTTTTTTAATAGCAGAAAGCTAACTCTTGGACGACGTAGACGCAGCAACGCGTTTTGGAGATATTCGGGCACCGGGATATCTTTTGCAAAGAAAAAAAGGCAAGTCCGCCCATTGTAGCGCCTTTCGCCGAGAGTTCCTGTGGCTAATGCGATGGTTGAAAAAGATGTGGAAGAGAATTGATTGCGAAGTTCAACAGGGCTCGGTAAGCAGTCTCCAGACTACAACTATTTTTTATCGTGTGCTGGACTAATAATTAAGGTACGGCAGTCAGAACCACCGGTAAGAGATTCTGAACTATTTTCCAAGCAGGCGGGTTCTCGGCGGTTCACTAATGCAAACCCTACCCAAGACGGATGAACTTAGTCTGATCTGCCAGCAAAAGGGCGGTGTGAGTACAACTCCCATGCAAGCTCGCGGAGCAAGTTTGCTAATGCCGTGTGCAACCATAGTGCGAAGGATGCGAGCTAGGAATTTATGACGCAGTTGTGAGTCTCTGTACTGCCACGAATCTTGGAATGATTCTCTAATCGGTGCATTGAGCAATAGATGCGCTTCAGCTGCCAATATAAAGATGTTGCAGCTCAGCCCAACCCAGCCGCAGAAGACTAGCAAGCCCCAAGAGATGGTACGTAAATAAGCAATCTCCTTGACATGCAGAATCGAGTGCTGACCTTGCCAAGACACCTCCCTCGACTGCAGCATCGAATGGAAAAGACGAACCCAAGCAGTATTTGAGCATGGAGGCATGTCTGGCTAACCGTTTGCCTGGGGCAACAAATTGATAGACGGGGGGTTGGCGAATGTGGCAAAGGCCTAGCTTGGAGCAATTACTCAATTCATCTAATAACAGTCTTTGGTATTAAAGGTCCTTGGTTTTCCTCAAGGCCTTGAGGGACCGAAGCCGTCTATTTATACAAGAAGTCGGTGAGGACCTTCTGCCCTAATCCCGTGACCGTAGCCCTTGTGTAACCAACGCCATTTCCGTGTAACAGCGAAAGAAACATCCACAATGTCTTGTTCTGATCAGCAAAACAAGCCATATTTTGACTGTGGGCAGTAACGGTAGCTTTAGCTTACTTGAGCTGGCCTTTTCGTGCTTAGTTTGAGATAGAAAAATGACACTTGTTGAAAAAAAAATGCACAGTAGACCACGGGAACTCGACGAAAATCATTTCTGACTGCTCTGGTTAACGCTGGAGCGCAACCAGCCTTGCATTTCCCGATAGCTGTAAGAGGGAATATCTCCAACGGCACTGGTTCTGGCACAGCCTCATCGGAGGAGGAATGGTTCTAGCAGAATTCATGGTTGGCCACTGTTACCGTGGCCGCATTTGGCTGGATACATATGTGATTCATCGCCATCTTCCCACAAAAAATGAGGACTTGACGAAACATTTCTGGTGTTCTTTACAGAGAAACACCCGACCTCGCGAGCCTTCTTCACAGGCGGGCTGTGATTTTGATCTCATGGCGGTTTGAGTTTGCGTGAGGATGTTCCTGGGCTTCCAGCGAGAGTCGATGACGAAGGGGGCGTCAGAGCCGTAAGCACCGACGGCGCGGCTGTCATGGCAAACGAGCTGCTTGATCAAAGTTGACTGTTGTCGACCACATAGTGATGATAGAGCCATAGAAATGTGGTAGGAGAGGGAGGTAGAAGTCAAGGCCTCACGGCTCCCGGCCGGTCTCGGCCGAGAGTCTAAATGACCCGATGTTGCTCTTACTGTCTTGGGTCTAGTATAGTGGGGTTGTAGTGGGCACGCTATTTTCAGGACGATGCAGGGTTAGGGTTGTTGGTAGGGTTGGGGTTAAATCTAGGATGCTGCGTAGTAGATAACCCAATATTTGCCAGTAATAGCAAGGTCAGGTCGACTGGAATAGTCGCACCAGGTTAGGTAGTTGAGTACTAGTCAGGCGGTGTGCATTCTCGATGCCGCCGGTAAGGAGCGGCCTCATCGAATGATATGCAGTCAGCCTCATTCTTGTCTCACCGAGATGGCAAACGCTGTAGCTGAACGACAGAGCTGAGCCACCACGGCAGGTGATAAAACCACTACCATTTGGGTAAGACGGACCAGTAGCTACCGTTCAGCTCTTCCCCTGTCACAATCAGCCTCGTTTGGGGGGTCGTGTCAACACCAGAAACGGCCGAGGTGACACCACATTGATCAACAACCCTTCTCTATGCCGATGCTGCATGGCCCAGCAGTTGGCAGCCTCAGAATGCGGCAAAGTCTACTAGAGATAGTACTACCCAAGAGTAGTGCCGTCCTGCCGTCCCGGTCGGTTGGGCAACTTGTCAGGCAGAGAGCTCAGCCGCAAGCTCCATCAAGACCGCCAACTCCAAGTTATTCTCCTCTCCCAGCCTATCCAACTACCTACAAGTTGTAGGATCAACGTTCACACCAGGCACAATGACTATCGCACCGTCGACCGCACCCTTCGCCGCGGAGCATCAACTATCGCGGGATCTAGACGACGGCTCATCCCGCCGCCCCGTGCTGCCGTCTCACCCCGACGTCTCTCTCCACGACAGAGGCCAGCTCCGGGACCATCTGACGAGCGAGTTCTGCTCCGACGACCTAGACCGCGTCGCCGACAAGCTATGGTGGATGTCCAAGCAAGACAGCCGGAACATCTCCCCCCTGCATCGACAGCTGGTGAAGCGTCGCAGGATTGTCATCACCGAAGACCCAAAGCTCCACCTCGTCTGGATCAACGACCGCATCTTCATCAAGCCGCTGCCCAGATACCTGACCTCGCACGCCTTCTGGACAGACTACCTGGCGGACAAGGACGTGCAGCGCATCCGCCGAGCCGCGCTGGGATATCTACGCACGTACAGCCATCTCGTGCGGCACGAGTCCGACTTTCGCATCGCCCAGGACGCCGCCTTGTGCCTCGTCTCGCGGGACGTCACCTGGGAGCAGTTTTGCGCATTCGCCTCGCGGCTGCGTCGTATCCCCGACCGCGACGTCTCGCCTCGCTATGCCTACGGCGAGATCCGACTGACGCGGCTCAACTTTTACGCGCCGTTCCTCCTGGGCAAGTCGCATTTTCAGCGCGTTGACTACCAGTACGGGGACTACTTTGCCAGGTTCTTCACGCCGGTGGTGTTTGTGTTTGCCATAGTGTCCGTGATCCTGAGTGCGCTGCAAGTCGTCGTGTCGGTTGGGGACAATGCGTCGAGTGTTTCGGCACGCATGGCGCTGTTGGGTAGCGTGGCTGCGATTCTGGTGGCGTCTTGTCTGCTCGTCACTCTGGGCTGTCTGCTCGTGTATAAAATTGCAAAGGAGTGGCGGTATGCGCTCCGCGATCGTTATCGTCGGGTAAAAGGAGGAGGCGAGCAGGTTTGAGGATTGACGAGTTGTTGAGGGTCTCACGTGATCACATCAAGGCAAACAGCCTCGCGTACGGATGAAAACCTATCCGCACTTTCTTCCTCTGGCCTTTTTCTTAGACCTGTCAAGATTATCAGAAGAGAGCATGATTTTGCGATCCTTGCCTTTGCATCTAGTCTTTCTATATAAGTCATGCAATAACATTTCTGTTTGAACCTCATCATTTCGTGATTTCACCATCTTGGAGCGTTGATAAATAAATCCATATTGCTAACAGATGGTACGAAACCCCTACTATATTTGTTTGTGCTCGCCAGCTTTCATTATAGGCATTCAGATGAAGGCATTCTTTCGGCTTGCCACAAATAAACACCACTGTCCGAGGCCATTTCAATCATACATGGCCCAAGATCCGTGCAACACAAAGGCTGCCCAGTGGTACGGCTGGATCGTGTCCATGTCTTGACGCAACGCCAACGCCGCTCCCTGTGTTATTTCCGCCAGATCTATCAAGCCAGCTTTCCCGCCATTGGCTCTATGGCGAAGAATACGACGGTACAGCTGGGTCGTGAAGCGACGACCTGCGCGCGTCGCCGTCGGCCAGATGGTGCCCAAGACCGAACCCGCGCCGGCGCAGAGCAGCGCCGTGACGATTCCGAGAGGCTCGTCACCCGCCGCGATGCCTTGAGACGCCGAGTCGCATGCCACGAGCGTCACATGCGGCGCGTGAAGCTTCATGTCAAACATGTCCCGCACCGTCAGCCGTCCGTCCGCGAGCTGAAGTCCCTGAGCAGCCAAGTCCTCGCGCTCCAGACGGCAGTGACCGTAGAACGTGAATAGTGCCGAGTCCTCCAGCGATTCTCGGACATGTTGCTTTGTTACCGTGGCGCCAGTAGCCGATGCTGCCTTCAGCGTGGCCGCGGTTTCCGCAATCAGCGAGTAAACGCGGTCTTGTTCCTTGGGATTGAACGATTCGTCTGGCACCGGCTCAAAGACGCCGGCAAAAGTCCAGTTCCCAGACGTGATCCGGCCGTTTTCCATCTCGTCTGATGCCGGTGCCAATCTTCTGGCGCTTCTCGCCCGGTCGCAGCATTGCCAAAAGGTTGTCAGGCTGACGCTGTAGACTATCGGATTCCGCTCGAGGATGAGCGTTTTGGACGCAACCCAGAGTGCGTGTAGCGGTATCGAGTGCAAAATACCAGTCGGGCAGAAGACCAAGAGGTCGCGTGGCTGCGTCAGATTCTCCAACGGCGCGACGAGGCCGTCAAGGGCGCGCAAGCTGAATTCCGGATCGTCCTCGGGGTACAAGTCGCCTTCTTCTAGAGCTGAAACTTGTCCTGGGTCTGCATCCATCCACTGCTGCTTCCAGGAAACCACATCATCGACAGACGGCGAGCACCGGACAACGGTAGGTTGCTCAGAGGCGCCCCTGAGAAGCACGACCCAAAAGTGGCCCAGGTATTCCACCCAGTCGACAAAGACAATATCCCGTCGTGGGTCATCTCTCTTCATGCCAAGGGCCAGCTGCTGAATCTGTTCCAACTTGACGGGTGTTCCGTTTTTGATGTCGAGAATGGTGTTGAGCAGCGGATCTGCACGCATCTGTGTATGCACGGCATCCAACTCGCCGCGAAGTCTGAGACGTGCGATATTCGTACCACTACTGATTTGATTCGACAGTTGCTCCGACTTCTGAATCAAGTCCTTCCTTTTGGGACAGTCCAAGGCTTGTTTCCGCAAGTCGGCGGGGATGATGCCATCCACGCCAAGCTGGTCCGACAAACTGCGAGCTTTGCCTCGTTGTGTCCATTCCCACAGTTCCCTCAGTTTCCCCGACTCGAGACAAACCGAGAAGGCGAGCTGATACACGTCTCGCAGGTCCTTGATTGACGTCAGCTGCTGTCTGCGAGAGACTGCCTCGAGGCTAGCAAACACAGTCATGTCCGCTCGTTGCCGTGCCCAAGCTTCCTCTGCGTCTCTCAGCGCGGCAAGAACAGCCTCGGCGCTCACCCACCCGCACTTCCAGCCGGTGTAGATGGAAGATCGGTATTGATTGGCCAAGGTGATGAACGCGACGTTGTCTACCGTCTTGAACAGATCGAGCGATATATCCATGAGCTCCAAGGAGCGCTGGAGCAGTTCCATCAAAGGTGAAAGCTGAAAGTGGCGGAAAACAGCCCGGCTTTGCATCATTCGCGTGTTGGCAGCCTCTAAAAGCCGTTTGTGCTTCATATACAGGGATACTGCATCCTCAAAGACGGCCATGCAAGGTTCCCACGCCTCGGCTTGTGTGCTCTGGATGTTTGCTCCAAGCTGAGTCGCTCGTAACTGGTGAAGAGCCGCTCTGCGGACATCCGACTCTTCTAAACTCGACGCGGCGTCGTTCTTCATCCATTGCTCCGCCCTATCCATCCATTGGCATCTTTCGTCGGAGCGCAGCCGTGTAAGCTGCCCAATAATCATCTCCGCCTTCTGCTGCGCATGCGTCATGAAGCCGTTGTTGACGTCCGACTCGATCTCGGCTTCGGCAAACGAAATGACGTCTTTCATTGCTTCCGTGTTTTCTGCACCGGGTCCAATTTTTGCGTGTAAAAGAATATTCGTGGCATCCGTCCTGAGATGAGGGAATCCCCTCCCCCACAGAGAAGCTGCACGTTCTGCCCATGATTGCGCCCGGGCGTGGTCTTGAAGTTGAAAGTAAGCTTGCGATGCGCAGTGCGCTGCCATGCCTTGGAAGTAGACGCAGTCGCCGTCCTGGAGAGCTGCGTAGACGGCCTCGGATGCCTCTACCGCACGAGGGGCGGCGCCCGATCGTGTAAGCCACTGTGCTATGAGACGGAAGCGAACGGCCTGGCTTATGAGAAGGGCCCCGGATAGCCTGGCTAGCTCATCATTGATGTGAGAGAGCTGCAGTTGCACGTCGAAGCCAAGCCAGTGCGGGATATGAGCAAGCATTGCGTGGACAGCGGTTTGGTACGAAACCAGCGATTCGGTGGCCTCGTATTTCTCAAAGTATCCCTTCATTTCTTCAAGAATCTCATCACTAAGACTGGTGTGATCCCTCTTGATGGCGCGGCTTATCTGCTGACACCGGACATCCATGGCGCCCACCAAATGACCCTCGGCATTATAAATCTTGATGGCATCCTCCTCCAGCTTGGTGATTTGTTCACCGTCAAGCTCGTCATCAGCTCTCATGGCGAGCTGTGCCATTACATCAGCTTTGATAAGCGGCGGGGCGTCGGGCACAGAGAGCACTGATTCTATCATCCGATTCCAGGACTGAAAGTCGACATTGGTAACCCCCAGCTTGGGAGCGGAGGCTAGAAACACGCCATAGGCGTAGATTATTTTCCGTGATTCGCGGTAGCGGCAAGCCGAAATGAGGTCGTCAAAAGTCGGCAATAGCCAGGAGATGATCGCCTCGAGCTCTGTATGTGCGACTGGACTGTGATACTCGCAGGACAGGAAGCGTAGTTTTGCATACGTCAACGCTGTCTCGATCTAGAACCGGGGTATGTTAGATGGAGCTTGCAGGTTATTAGTTATTCGGATAACACATTACCATTGCTGAGTCAAGATCCTTGGTTGCTGCAAAATTCGAGGTTTGACTTCGCAAGATCTCTGCTTCTTCAATGGCCATTTTGAAGGAAGTTGTTACGAGAGGTCTCAGCAGACACGCCTCCATCTTCATTTGAGTGCTTAGACACGTCTCTTCGGGGGTCAGATTATTGTTAAGCGTTCCTACATCTTCCGTTAGAGTCTCCAGAGCATCACGTTTGTATCCCTGCGCCCCAAGGATGCTAGCAATTTCGAGGAGGATTCGCAATCGATCGGCCCCAGAGAAACGACCAACCGAGTTCCGGAGGGTCGCCAACGCCTTGGAATATTCTGCTCGCTCGGAATTCTGGCGGCTTCTAGCAACGAGTCCCTGGCAGTCCAGTGAAAACTCGTCGCCGTTGCAGGTTAGCCCATCCATATTCCCTGGTCCGCCTTTGATGAGCACGTTCACTATAGTTATCGAATCGGGAGGGTTTTAGCAGACAGACTCGTTTCGTTCTCCGGGCTCTCCGCGTTTGGACAAGGCAGTATGACAATGGCTCGGCCGTTTCGTCTTCCTAGTCCATTCCGATTTAATGTGAGTGTTCTTGGGCTGGACGAACGGCACCCTGGCTCGTATTTGAGGGCTGAGCTTCAGACAAGGCAGCCAATGCCCGCTGGCCATGATTAACCAATCCGAACTATTGGGGGCTGCAGGTCGCTTCTGTTCGAGGCCACCAACCAAGTCATCTATTTCTCTCACCTGACTTGCTCAGGCGGGCGGGAACTTCGTCTCTCCTCCCAGCAGCAGTGGTCTGAGAATTTAACGTTCGACAAGAGATGGCGTCCAGCCTGGATACCCGATATTGCGTATTCGAGGAGGATGGTGGCTCCGGAAACTTGGGCCAGCGCAACACCAATGATACAGATACGAGAACCAAGGCAACCCATGTCGAGTTTCTCAGTTGCGGCATTATTGCCACCGTCTCCTGCTTGGCATACGGCACCTGGGATGGGAAAAAGGCAGCCATGCTGGTCCTGCAGTTCAGGCTGCGCGCCCCAGAAGGTAATTTTCGATTCAAACGGGCTGAACTGTCGCTCAAGTTCGAGTCGCAAGCATCGGACCAAGCTCATCCGGTCATTCGAAGAGTACGCCCAAAGAATAACCGTACGACAATCTCGTCACTTCCATCGCAAGCATCGCTGCGTTCCCCATCACCGTCAACCCAGCTTCCATCCTCCGGAACGCAGACGCCGAATTCATTCGTGCTTTGGCCCGCCGCTCGTTATTCCATTTCGAACACTGAGTGGCTCGGAAAATCTGAGGACGAGCCAAACCAAGTTGGCTGGAGACTGATGGAACCTCGGCAGAGCAAATTGGGCATCTGCGATGCGATTCCTCTGGGCGTTATCGTGACATTCTCCGGGCCCTTCCGGGCTGAGGTCCGAGCTAATGCAACCAGCTTCTTAGGAGCCAAACTTGACAATTGGCCGTGGTCACGAGACGATCCTTTATTATTCGATGGGGTGACGACCAAGGGATGGCAGCTTGCTGCGACTGACTTTCTAGAAATGAGCGACCAAGATCTAGACACATTCCTGATTGAAGAAGGGCGGGGTGGACCATTGTCATGTAATAATACATTGAGTCCTTCGAAACCGATCGAAGCACAGGCGCACATGGTTGGGGAGCAGTCGACCAAGGTGTATCGGGCTCAGGGTATCCCGAGCGACATGACCTATGAGGACTTCATCCAGACTGTTTCAAATATTCTGAAACTGCCGAAAGACTCTGTCGAGGTCAAAGCTTTCTCCTCCAAAGAAAAAACAGCCATTATGTCTTTGAGTTGCGTGTCACCGGAAATGCATGCGTGCGCGTTCGATAAATCATGGCAAATTCAAATTCCCACAATAGATACATCCGATAACAAACTCCATGCATTCACTAGTACGATCAAATTCGACAGGGACTTTCTGGGCTTCACAAGTCTAGGTCACAGCAATGATTCGCTGAAAGCCAATGTTGAGTAAGTCTTCATCCGGCATTGTGGTGCAACCGTATTGGTCCATTCGTTCTAACTTGAATGAACCCGGTAAAGCATCATTGCCGTTCATGGTCTTGGAGGCCATGCCTACGGGTCCTTCAAGCAGCGAGGAAACAATTTCATGTGGCTGTCGGATGCTCTTGCGCATGACCTTTCCCAGATGACAATCGCAAACAGGCCGATACGACCGAGAATTCTCATCTACGGATACAATGCCCGTGTAGACGATAGCAACTCATTCCAGAGCATCAAAGATTTGAGCATACAACTGAGACGGCTACTCAGAGAGATACGTCGAGACGATCCAACCAGGCCCATAATATTCATCGGCCACAGCCTAGGCGGACTTTTGATCAAAGAACTACTCATCCAACAGTGTCAATCAGAGAACGATATAGACGGGTCCAGCTTCGCGTCGTGTATAGAATGCTTGTTCTTTGGTGTCCCGAATCGGGGGATGGATATCAGTGCGCTCCTCGCCATTATCGGATCTCGACCAAACACAGACTTCTTGACCTCTTTGAGCATCGACTCAGCTTTTCTCCAAGACCAAGCTACTTTGTTTCCTGAAACCTTTCGTTCTCGTGACGCGGTTGTGTATTCTTTCTATGAGACGTGTGTGTCCAACACGGCCAAGATGGTATGTTTCATTCCATAATGCGTATTATGAGAGACGAGCGCGAGCTAATGTTGCGTGATATCAGGTTGATGGCAAACTGGCCATGACAGGGGATCCAGTGGTGCTGGTAGATGAGGATTCGGCCACACACAGCCGCCCGTGGGAGATGGAAGGGACGGATCATCGGATTCCAATCCGACGCTCGCATGCCGACTTGGTCAAGTTTGAGCAGTATAGCCCAGACTACGTCATGGTTCAGGGCTGTATCAGAGATGTTCTGAATCGTCACTATTCTATATAATGCTTGGCTTTTAGCGGACAACTCTTATTTTTATGCTTACCGCTAGCTTTTCTTATATCTTGAGATTATACAAGTATTCGTACTTGGCATGAGTCATGTTCCGCCAGGGTGGTCATCGGGTTTGACTACTCCGTACCGAGTCATGGAACAAAATATCCAGCCCGGCAACAGCCGTGAGGACCCATCAACGAGGCCCTTGTCATAACAGCCGAGCTATACATAGGAGCACAATGTCCACTTTGTCGGCAGATTCAAGCAGCACTTGGCCCTGAATCAAGCCATCTATCCAACTTTGTGTAGCTGGGCAGCATTCGTCACATATCAAATCCTGTACTTGGCTGCGAAATCGCCCGGCGGGGGCCATCGATAAATGTCATCGGTTCCTAGGGACCCTGCGCCTCGGGTATTCCCTCTAGTTCCGGCTCGGAAGCTCGAGATACCGAGGACGGCCAGCTCCGTGACGCGATGCCCCAAGGGAGGCCGGTGTGTAGGTGGTCTTGCCAGAACTCCTGAGCCAGCCGAGCCAGGCCTTGGATTGCGATAGGCTTTTCTTTTTACAGTAAGCCAGCATAATGCTGCCGAGGAAAATACACTAGAGAAACGGATCAGGGGCCGATGCTTTTCTCCTGGAATCGTAGAGCGGGTTGCAAGTCTTTGTATGCTCCAAGTTGCTGGTGTAGTCTCCTAGTTTAACCAATTGTTATTAATGCTGTGCCTGGTCTCATTCTTTCTCTTTCTCTTTCCCTTCCTCTCGTACTACATCTTGTCTTTGAGTGTCTTCCGGAAGAGTCCCTGAAGGTAGTCGGGAAACCCATTCGTATTCCGACCAGCCACGCTGCCAATCTGCTCGGCCGCTTCCGGCGTCCCCGTCACTACTTTCATGGCCGTGCATTGATTGCAGCCGTGTCGTTATAAAGTCGTACCCCTCGACGTCGCCCAACTAGAGTGCTGCTAGGATGTATAGAGGACGCCCAGGAGCTGGTGTCATCCACTCCGTCTGTGCTTCCCCATCTACAACAAGCATCTATCGTCGTGATTGAATCTATAAGCAAGTTAATCTTTGCACGGCTAGAATCTCGGTCTACTTCCCAGATCAAGGCTGCAACGTGTCATAGTTGATGTCATATTCGCCGGCCAAGACTGAATCTTACTACCGTAAGCTCAAGATGCGAATCGCAGGGCATGACAGTAGTTCCTCAATGTTTATTCACCACACGAGTCTTCTTGTCACGAGAGGTCCCTCAAGAATTCTGATTCAGTGGGGAATAATGATCCCGTGGTATCCGCCTCTTGTCCACATGTGCCCTTGCTCAAAATTGCTTGATTAACAGTGGGAAAATGGAGATGATTCTGAAACTCCTTTAATTCAGTTATTCACATTAGATTTTGTGCTACCCAAAGCCTTGAGCGCTAGAAGATGTCTCCTGGTCGGAAATCTATATAAACCCCTCGCCTTTCCCAACCCACTCTGTCGATTACTCCTTCTTTATCAACACCCAGTCCTCAGAGATATTGACTCAAGTCATCCAAAGAAGCTCTAGGCATGAGTCCAGCAAAAGAGAATCAACTTTCTTCCGAATTATCGTTTCATCATATCTTGTTTCTTCCATGCTGTTGCCTTTATCACCATTTCGGAACATTATGATAAGACGATATTATCCTATGCATTGTCTCATTGTTTCTAGCCTGAAAGGGCAGACAAAAAGGCAACTCTGTTCGAAAAGATGACCAACTTGATTCACCGACTACGACTCTCTATTGCCACCGAGAAAGCAACCACCCCACGCCGGCCCAGCTATAATTTGTAAAAATGACGAGACCGTCACGTATGGCCGCTTTGAGGCCGCTGACGGGGCTCCTCATTTTCACATTCGATATCCATGCTCGGATACGCGACCCAAGTCGAGCCCTACAACGATTCCGGAGATGTGCAAGTACATGCATCGACTACATGGCAGCTCGAACAAAAGCAAACCTTGCAGTTGACCAGAAGATGCACAATACGGAAGTTCATCTACTAAGCTTCGATAATACTAGAGGTCGGCGTGGAAGCAATATTGTTCCGGTCAAGCACCGCCCATGGGCATGCAAAGACCCCAAAGTAGGGGAGAAGTCGCATCCCACGAGACACAAGACAACACATGTTTTCGGCGAGGACCCCATATTACAAATCGACCTATAAAATGCCAATTCTGCCAAAATAAAGGACTGAAAATATCCAGGCAATATTGGCCATGGGCTCTTCGCAAGCCGCCCGAAGTGTCAGGCGAAAAGAGCCGAGAGACAGAAGATATCACAGACATTGATACTTCCTCTCGCCCCTTCAGGCCACGAGGTTTTCCGCAGTGTAAAGGGCTTTGACGCCGTTGGAGATGGCGCGACGGAATACTTGTTATCCATTGATACGAATCTACGTCCGTAAAAACAGGTTCTCATGACGACGTCACGACAGAGATCCAAATGAGGGAGCCTAACAGTCCGCCAACAACAGGATGATTACTCCGAAGCCTTGGCCAGGCGTGAATTCAACAACTATACTTTATCACAGATCCCTCGAAACCACGAACGACGTTTTATTTAACAATACACTAAAATTCGCCCGGAACCGGCATCGCCAGTTAAGCACGTTCAGCTTTCTACGGCCAAGCCCGTACGCTTAGCTCGATAATCCCACCTCGGCGACTCTATTCCATAAACTATTCCCCTCGGTGGTTAAAAGCTCTGACACATAGCCGAATAGAGGGAGATTTATAAAATATGTAATATGCTGATGACGGGCTTTTCATTTAAAAATCCCGAGACTTTTACTGTCGTGGCCGTTGGGTACGATTACACACTGAACAGCGGGCAAGATGGAAATACTAGGAGGATTCTAGACCGCAAGCCAAGCGTCCGTTAGCTTGAGCCGCTCGTCTACAGTGGGAGGCAAAAATATTTGACCAAATCAGGTACCTGGCCATCGCGCTCTATACTTTAACATGGTGTAGTATACTAGTGTATACTTCTCGGTGGGCAAATATATTCTGCCACAGAATGAAACTAATTACGGACCTTGCGCCGCATTGGGCTGTATCCTGCTTACTAGAGGAGATGAGTTATAATGGGTTATAGCGGTCGACTTGGTGGCCATAATAGGGAGGGATACCAAGACTACCTGAGCCTTTATTGTTAGAAGATGAAGTGATGAAGTTACTATATCGATTATCTACAACATGCGGCGTACGGAGTACGTAAATCAAGAATCAGAACAAGACATAAAGCACAGAATAAGAATATTATGCAGTGAGCAATTGAACGGGCCAAGATGAGTACTAGATATCATCAAGAGGTCATACCTTGAAACATAGTCTCATATTTCAATAGGGGATAGTACCGTCGGAAGTCACTAGTTATCTAGTACAAAGTACTCATACTACTCATATATTCTTACAACCCAGGTCGTAGTGGACACGAGCGTCACTGGGCCAACGCATATGACGATGGAACCACCACGCAGTCGGATCGTGAAAAGACTGGCCACAGAGGCGGGAATAGGGATATATCTATATCACGCAGTAGCATCACACCCGAAACTAGAAGTATCCTGTGCAGAACGTACTGCTATGCTGAGACAGGGATATCGATGCCCGCTTAGTCTCGTCAAAATAAAACACGGCCCACGTTATTGCGGCCACCGCGTGAGAGTGAACTGATAGTCGGTGAATATTAGCTCTGTTTTGAAAGGGCCGTTGGCATTCACAGAAATCATAGCCGACGTCGGGTGATGAACTTGACACGTATAATGTCAAAACCAAACCAGCAAATGAATAAAGGATCTAAACATCAGCGTCAAGCACACACGATACCCGAGGCCTTGTACATTCACTCTTTTTCTCACGAAGACGGCGAAGTCATTGTGTACGTCACAACCCTCTTGGGCTTCGGGACACAGCGGCAAACGTAACCCGGCGACATGGTATATAAATGAACACGAGCTCTTTGGTGTGGCTAGTTTTAACTTCTGGTTAGCTCCTAGTACAGATCCACCAAAGAGCAGAGTGAGCCCATTGAAAGAACAGAATATTGTTTCCAATTGAAGCGTTCTTTGAAACACCGGATCACTTACTTCAACAGACCCTGGCATACCGAGGTTGAACAGGTGAGTGAGATGCCGTAGGACCTGGGCCGCGGTGCTGCAAAACCTCGTCCCGAAACACATGGCGAAAGAGGGACAGGAAGAAAAGTAACAAGGAACCTGATATTAAAGAAGATCACGGTTAGTGAGCCTCGGAGGAGAAATAGGTGGGCTGGGTTTGATAGTATTAGATCCCTTTACATGAAGGCTGAATGCCCTCCTCTTGCCAGAGTACTTGCACATATTGCCTGCAGGAATTGCAGAACCGCATTGCGGGATGTAAACTTGCTACAGGCACCAGAGCATGACAAGTGGTTGTGTAGATGTACGGAAACATGTTGCCCATGTCAATTGTTTCTCATCAGTCCAACAGTACGACGTTATCAAGACGAATTGAAAGGCGTGCTACGCAAAAATGGGACGCGTGACTAAAACCTTGAGATGCCGCTTGCAGAGGTCTGTGCAAATTATTTTCAGAGCACAGTCTGGGTCATTGCCTACGTCATGTCTGAAAGCACAGAGGTGAGACTTGCAGCTTTACCTCCTACACCACTCCAGGCCAAGTATCATGTGCCTCACTTGCTGAGGATTCGGTAGTAGCTTCAACGCCACCAAGCTCATAATTCCTACCCTTTTCATCTCCCATTCATTCGATCATCGCGGCAGGATGACCTTGGTCGGTCAAGTTAACAGGTCCAAGATGGATGCATAACTGGAAGATATTTAGTACAATGGGTCGTGGCGATGGCAGAGCAACATCACATCATGCCACCCTGCAGAGTATCTCCGTAGCTCCTGAGAATCAATGTGGATGCATCCTTTACCAGCACCATCGAGACGATAGGATATTCGTCACTGTACCCAGAAATTATGTGAGGTTGATGTAAGTGCAGGTGGAAAGTGATGTCAATTTACCCACAGAAAGTTCCTTTGTACGCACGGAGCTTCCACTCCAGAAGACGGATCAAGAGGCTCCGAGCACACGGGACGGATCGAGCACGTCAACAACTTGTAAGACTGCTAGGCTTTGGTTGGCAGCTAGGTAGGTTGGTCGGTGATCCCAAGTGAGACAGACGTCAGTTCAATACCAACCAGGTTCCCCTGTTCCGCCTGGTGTGGCAAAAAGGGACGCCTCCTGGCATCAGTTGATCAGAAACGGAAACGGAAACGTGCAACTTCTCCGCAACGTTTCTAATATCCGAGATTCAAACCATTCGTCCCGTTCCAAACGTCAACTTAGAAGCCGTGGGACATCCAACTTGCCGCGAGTCCAAAGGGAGAGAATGAAGCGATGCCGGAGAGCGGCAAGACGGTTTGGTCGGGTCACATGGGGGTCAGGATTACCAGACCATCTTTCAGATGCCCAAATGCCCAGCCGTTTGCTCTGATCACTGGGCTCTGTTTGGCTCAAACCCTCGTTCGCTGTGGAGAAGAGTGGTCAACGTCGATCACTCTGAGTCTGTTCTGGCTTAAAGTATCACGGTAGTGGCACCATGAGAATACAATGCATCGACTGCCTCAAGCGGAATCCTTTACGGGACGGCAAAGTGAATCAAACACACGTTTTCTCCTATCGTAGGCGTAAATTATGATCCCCCAAAATTCTCAGTTTGGCCTTTTTTGAGGCTCCTAAACAGCACGATGAGCAACGTGTGTGTGTGTCTCACACGAGACGTGCCTGGCCAAGCATTGAGGCTCCAACGACGTGCGACCATCCGTTATTCCCAGCTTGAATCTTGCTGGGGGCGATGTCGCCACTGCTGCAAACGGTTTGATCAGAACGGCTCACCGTCGTCATCGCTCCGATCATGCGTCTTGGACGGAACCCAGGGTGTCTTGCATGATCCACCGTTTTCGTTAGCTGTGACATCACAGCGCACCAGGGGACGGCGGCCGAACCAACCAGTCTGTGGTGGCTTGTCAAGGCCGCTGACCTCACTCGTCCTCCCAAAATTAGTCGCCACACTGGACAATGGATGAGCAATTCACAATGGAATCCCAACATCCACTGACCTCACTCACCGTTTACGTGAGACGCTGTCCTCGAGACGAGGGCCGATTTTGCCTTTGAGTCATTATTTGCAGAGAGGCGAATCCTGCATATCATTAACTTGTTGAGCGGCGACCAATTGACGACAATTGGCTGAATTGTGTTGCTAGACTCGTCGAAAAGGGCTCGCTGTGCAACAAAAGGTTACTTCCTTACTAAAGGTTGTTCGTTTGCCAAGGTTGCCAGCCTAGTTTATTCACTCGGGTTTATCCCTCAACCCAACCAGGAAATCGCCCAAGCAATTACAGGAGAGACCATGAAGCAAGATGCGACCTCCACATGGGAAACTGGACGAAAACCGACATTGTGGTCCCGCGTATGGGAATGAGGCATAAACCCAGTTGAGAAACCGAGGCATCGTAAGAATGATCATTCTTTGTTGGTGTGAGTTGTTGGACCAAACAAAACCCAATCAACGCCCGTAACTTCACGATGAACTCCACTGCTGCTGGGCCTACTTGTCCTAGCTCAATGCTTGTTGGTTTTGTCATGCTGTCGACTCTCTGGGCTGCCCTGTTAGGTTAAAGAAGCCCCCCGCTTGTCCAATGGCCTCATGGAAAGTTGGCAAAGTTGGCAGTTCATCCCCGCCTCCAAGGGGTTCGCTATTTGAAGGTACTCCCACAACCTTGGCAACCAAGGAGGCCCTGTGGACTCAAAGCTCATTCACCCCCCCGGCCGACCCGCCAACGAACGCGAGCCACCCCGAAATGTCACGGCCTCGCGTCGCCGTACCATGGTGTCTATTGTAGTACGTACGTGGTTACGTCGATGTGCGGTGTCTGTCAGATGTGTCCTGTTGGGTGGGGTTTTCCTTTCAGCGAGGTGTGCCCGAAAACTCCAGCTCGGGAGTGAGTTGTAGGGTGTGAAAGCTGCTTTAGGCCATGGTACGATATTGCAGAGGAAGGAAAATCTGGGGATATGACACAAGCCATGACTTCACAGCCATCCATTAGCCGGGGCGTTCCTTAGTGCAACAGTCAATCTTGCCTCCACATACCAGCATCCAATGGAAAGCCAGTGACCGAGGTGAGAAAAGTGATACACCACTTTAATCTAGGCCAGAATTCTGAAAGGTCGGCTTTGCTCTGGTGGCGAGGACCCTGAGCTCAGAGCTGTGGGTATCTGCCTGGATTCTGTGCCACCCATGACCTCGCAAAATGGGCTAGCAGGTTGTTTAATCCTTCCCAGGTAGTCGGAAGATGCCAGAATCCGTTCGACCTGTTACGCCATAGATGCCCCAGGCCCCAGTGTTGCCGTCGATCACAGGGTCTGGAAGTGTCCAGCGCGCCGTCGCTGATGCAACGCGAAGTCAAAAATGGCAAGGATGTGGCCCTCGCAGGCGATAGATGCCTTGGCTGGTGGTACGGAGTAACCCACGAAGTACCTGGTTGGGTTTTGAGGGCAAGCAAGCAGTCAAGTGAGCGTGCGTGATGCATCGTTTAAATCGTCAAAGTGTGATCATTGAAGAAGTCGTGCTGTCGATATACGGCAGCGGTTTAGGCCGCCGGCTGAAGGGAAAATAGACCAAGAGGCGATCAGACAGCGCAAAGGTCGTGGTGCTCGTTTATCATTTCGCAGCCCAGGTGAATCTCGCTGGAGGTGTGAATGGGGTCAACAGGTGTCTGAGATGATGGTTGATGTTGGAAGTTGTTGCCTTTTGCCCATGCACGTAATATCAGGGAAGGTTCGGTACCAATGCTCGCTCCTTCCTTGCAATCTGCCTGCAGCAATCCGCCACGCCCCCTTTCCACACCCCCGGAGCCCCTGCATCTCAGCATGCCGGCAGGGTCAAAAACTGGTGGTGTGTTTGCGGCCCCGCTCGTCTTCAATGTTCTCAATTGCCCCCGGCTAAAGCAAAGCACTCAAGCTCCAAACCAGCAGCTTGAACCGACACAGACCAGCGCCCCTCCTGATTTATAAAGACCCTGAAAATCCACCCTTCCAACATCATTGTGTCTCTACTGATTCCTTTCATCTACCACAGGACTGCATCTTGCATCAGATCTCGGCAAGGCTGCTCCAAATAGGGCCAGTTCACGGACCACAACTACAACTTCATCATAGCCTCAGCTCCCAACGCAATCACCTACCCATCTACGCCGCTGTACTCCCCAATCACCACCACAATGCCTACCGTCCAAGGTTCATACACCATCTCCATCCCCAATTCTCCTCCGCCACCTCGCAACTTGTCAGCGTACTCCCGGTTCATACATGACCATACCAAGCGACAAATGGAGGCATCCGGTGCTTCTGCATCCACCCGCTCAAGTACGAGTAGCGCTTCGTCGACAAGCACAAACTTAACAAACGGCGTATACCCACATGATTATTAGCTACACAGAGCCAACTCCAAAGACTCATTATGGAGAGATAGCGCTTCGCGATGCGGTCGGTAGTTCTTGACCGACCACTGCCGGTTACTTCTACAAGAAAAAGATAAACTTTGCAACAAGTGGCGTTTTTGGGATTACAATCATGGAAATGACGGAGGCGTCTGGTCAGCTGGTGTATTGAGAAAGCGAAATTGGCAACATGGGACATTTGATTTGGGTTGTGTGATGATTGAGCGAATTTTACATCTCCCGGCAACAGGAAATACGGAGCATGCAGTGGTCTCAAATACGAATTAATACTTCACTCTCACTCATACAAATCCCAGTGAATGTCAACTTGATTCCAACAGCGAATGTTTGCTGAAGAATATTCACATAAACTGCTCCATGTCTGCCTTATGAAATAAGACTAATGTAATGCTCTCCAATTGTCGCAATACCTTACATGATTCTACCAGTTTCAAACCAGTGTAGGCTTCTTCTTGATACCCAACAGCGCAGAATGGTCCTTCTTCTTCTTCACTGTCCTCTTAAATGAAGGCGGTGGAACCAGGGGGCCTGTTGGATGGTCAACATCGACACTCGGTTGTCGCTGTGATATTCTGTCGCTGCTGGAAGAATCGTCCAATCCATCCACCCGCGTCTCCATCCGGGCCCGAGCATCTGCGAAAGCCTTCTTTGCTGCCTCCTCGTCCTCCTTCTCCTGCCTCGCCCGCTCCTCGTCCTCGGCCCGCACAATAGTATCGGCGTAATCTGTCCCCTCCTTTTCTGACCGGTGTATTCTTGCATTCCGTTGTCGAATCTCATCCAACATGTCTGCCGCAGCCATTTCCCTCCTGGCATCGGCATTCTTCGCCTCGAGATCCGCCATTGCATTCTTCTCCTCTTCCCCAGCAGCTTCAGCCTCTTCTAGTTCCAATCGATCTAGTCTCTCGTCTACCGATTCGTCCTCCGCGACTTTGTTTCTCCAGGGCTCCATGTTGCGCACAGCGCCCCTCACCATTGCGTAGTCATTGTTTTTCGGATCTGTTCGGAATATGATTTCTGCGCTGCACCTGGTGCATTTAATGTGAAACTGGAAGATCTGGATGTTCAGGTACTTGTGTTCTATGTTCGTCTCCTTCCGGGAGTTAAATTTTCGCCCCCTGTATATGAACTCTCCGCATGTCATGCACTTCATGCTGAATGGCGCCATGAGGCGCACCGTCTGGAAACGAGGTCCACTGCTTTCGGATTTTGGCACGCGGCGCCGAGCGATTTCGCGGGGATCGAAATCCGCGGGATAGTATTTCTGGATTGGGTCGTTAGCGAAGGCTTCGGGGGGGGGAATGGCTGTGAAGGCTTACCTGAAGAACTTTACGCTCCGACATTGTATCTTGAGAACGCGACCTGCGCTTCTCTCACTATTAGAGTTATTATAAGGCAGCTTCCAGGGCGTTATCGGGGCGACAGATGAAGACGATGGCTGTGACTCAACAGGGCGATATTCGTGGTTGGCCGCGAAATCAAGTCGAAATACGGTTTGATGTTGGAGAGAGTTCTATGTACCTAGGTAGTTATGTGGTCGCGAGGCCGAGTGACGTCCCGCTTAAGGCCTCTTGCAATAAACGGGGCGGCAGATAAGATAAGCCCCACATCTTGCATGCGAGGCTGATGCTTCTTCCAGTGACGGCATCTGCGACAAGTTTCATTCACCATAGACTCGGTAGCATCCGCTTGTGCATCGCAATGACAGAGTAGAGCTCGTCGCCGTCGACTATCTCAAAATCCCCTCTCTCAACACCTCATCGACATATACCGACATACCAACTCCTCCGTAATATTGCCTTAGAAGAAGCAACCCATCGCAACCATGCCAAAAGCTGAAGTGGGATCAACCAAGCATCTCTCCAACAAACTGAAGAGCAAAGGGCTCCAGCGTCTACGATGGTACTGCCAAGTCTGCGAGAAACAATGCCGTGACGCGAACGGATTCAAAATGCACACGCAGTCGGAGAGCCATGTCCGGCAAATGCTGGTGGTCGGCGAGGATCCTAAAAAGTTCATCAACCAATACAGCGACGAGTTTATGAAGGATTTTGTGCAGCTATTAAAAACCGGCCACGGCGAGAAACAAGTACACATTAACCAGTTCTACCAAGAGTACATTGCGAATAAGGAGCATATCCACATGAATGCGACAAAGTGGCCGTCATTGACAGAGTTTGCTAAACACCTCGGAAGAGAGGGCATTTGTCGCGTGGAGGAAACAGACAAGGGCATCCACATTTCATGGATTGATAACTCCCCCGAAGCCTTGAAACGACAGGAAGCATTAAGGAGGAAAGAGGCGCAGGATCAGGGTGATGAGGAGTTGGAGCAGAGGATCATCAAGGAGCAGATTCGAAGGGCGAGGGCTAATGCAGCGAGTCGCGAGGAACAACCCGAAGATAACAAGGATCGTGAGTTGAAACGCCAAGAAGGTGAGAAGATTACTCTATCGTTTGGTGCGAAGCCAACACAAGAAGAGTCGAAACCACCTGGCCAAGAATCACCGACAGAGCCTTCCCCGTCACTTGACACCAAGGGTGCAGAGAGCAAAGTAGATCCCAAACCATCTGGTTTCGGCGGTTTATCCATGAAACTCGGCAGCAAACCACAAACCAAGAACGTATTCGCAGAAGCAAAAAAGAACGCATTAGCAGGCGGATCCAAGAGCGCCAAAATCGAACAACCAAAGAAAATGAGAGAAGCAGAGAGGATCATGCGTGAAGAGATGGATAAGAAGAGATCACGAGCTTCAGCAGGGTTCGGATTCAGCATGTCATCCGGGAAGAAGCAGCGCAGTAGCTGAGCGGCCGGCACGACATTCTAAAAGAGATTCTTTATGTATTATATAACGCTTTTCCCCCATAGATACCGCGAATATCATGACTTTACACTTTTTTTTCCGTGTCTTTGATCCTTCTAACGCCAATCGCCCAGTTGTAAACGGTATTAAATCTTGCCCCAAAACGCCTATGCATCGGCCTCCGTCTCGGTACCATCACGTCTACCACCACGTTAGCATATACATTCACCGTGCACTTTCCCCTGGACTGCAACACGTACGGAATATACTGTATCCTATACTCCTCTTCCAGCGTGGAACGCATCTCATCCGGCAACTGCCCAGACACCTTAATGGCGTACACACCCGCCACGTAGCCATCCAACCGCTGCCATTTGGCAACCCATGATTTCGCCGGGTTCGCAAGCGTGATGAGCCCCTCAAAAACCTGTGAAGTGCAGCTCTCGATTTGGTCCTGCGAGCCGGCAAGGTGCAGGAATTCCTCGCAGTTGGGGCATCCCTCGTCACGGAAGCGCTGCCAAACTGTTAGCTAGCATTCGGCGTGGTTCAAAGACAGGTCGAGCGCACCGAGTAGGTCATGACGATGGAGCAGACCATGCACGCGCGCAGGTAGCGCTGCTGGCCGGGTGTGACAAAGTTCGACATTCTGGGTTTATGATGCGTTGCGACGAATCTGGCGGATGGTGGAAATGTCAACTTTCAACGAATCGAGGTTGATGCCGGGCTCGTATGCATGTATCCGATATGCAACTCTCGATGGCCCTGCAGCGCGCATCTACAAATTGGCATGAGCACAAAGCCCATCGAGTATTGATCACCACCGAATGGTCGCCAGAGAAATAACCCAATGGCCAAAAAATAATAAAAATAAACCACAAAATGTCGTCAACGCCGCCAACACCAAAGTCAGTCCAGCAACGGGACCAAAAGACCTCTCACGTGTTACAAACAAGGACGTTATCGTCGCCATTCTCTTACGCCCACATGGAACTTGCCACAGAGGGACCCCAAGAAATACAGCTTGATGACATTCTCGTTAAATCATATTGTACCGCAGCTCTAAAACAGTTTCTCGGACTGATGGGGCAAGCTATCCCGATTGACATACTCAAGACGCAAAATGAAGCATGTTGGCTTCGACTGCCCAGAGAAGATCTCCAGTCCTTCTGTGCTGCTATTACGGCGTACAGAGGTGTGACTGAGGGTGATACGAGATATATTTTGAGAACTAAACGGTGTTCGGACTGGTTGGGACTTCTTACTGATGATGGGGGAGAGCAAAGCCTCGAATGGCTGGAGTGAACATGCACCGTGTGGGAGGAATAGGTGGGTGAAGAATTAAGTACACGAGATTTCGATATACATATACGGGTATCTATGTACTGGATACTCTGTTTTTGTTCACCCGACCCAGAAACCAAGAACGAAGAGATGCAAAATTCACCCAGTAATGCCGCCATCTCCTGACTCCAAGTCAAATGCCAGCTTTTGACGCCACTGTCGAGACTTTTTGAATCCTGTTTTTTTACTTTATTCATCTTGTGATTCTACATCAGAGATGACATGAGAGAACTCTGGGCATATGCCTGGAAAGAAAAGTCAGATGGACGATGCGAAACACGAAAGAAGAGTGCAAGTGGCAAGCTTACCATGGGCTTGATATCCGGATGGGGCACAGCATCAAACTGCTCATACCGGAGCTTATAGTCGGACTTGATGTTGATGTAGGCTCCACGATTCTCTGTTGAGTCGCAGTACTTGGGCGCAGAGAAGACTAGTATTTTCACGTCAGCGCAATATAAGACACAGACATAGTTCCCGGTGCGAAACATACCGGTGATACATCTTCCATCATGCTGGACTTCGTAACCATCCATTCGCACTTCATGGCTTCGAATGACAGCCTCTAGACCGTTGTTCTCGCAGAATCTCTTAGTGATATCGGGCCCAAACTGCATGCCCACGCCTCTCTTGCTGGGTCCTCGGCCAGGTTCGTCTTGTGGGTCAGTCCACAGCATCTCCATCATGAGGCCAGCCTGTCCAGGTTGTCTTTGGTTGTGTCTGTTCAGCTTGCGGATATCATCCAAGGTGACTTTGTCGTCGGAAAATAGGCCACCGTGGAGCACGAGATACTTCTCGCCAACGAGTGTAGCGAGGGGCAGGGCAGAAAAGCTCTCCGAGAAAAGCTTGAAAACTCTATGGCAGAAACTTAGCATTACGGTGACAAAATTATGTCACATAGGCTCAGAGGAACGTACCTTTCATTGTACTTGGCCTTGCATTCTCCCTCGAAACCGTAAACGCGGTTCATGTCATCCGTCTCGTGGTTGCCACGATTGAGGAAGAAGCCATTGGGCCGCAACCACTTGAACGCATACAGAAGCAAGGCAATCTCGGTGGACCATGATCCTCGGTCGACAAAGTCACCGTTGAACAGGTACCAATGTTTGTCGTTGGGAGTTCCATTCCGGCGGAAGAGTTCCATGAGATCAAAGTATTGGCCTGGCACCAGTTAGTCAACGCTTCACCTCTTGAATCTAGAGAATACCAACCGTGGGTATCACCACAGACCGTCAGCTCAACATCATCAGGGATTTCCATCTCAACCATAGTAGCTTCGTCGTAGACGATGTTCTTGACCGCGATAATGATTTGGTAAACATATTTCCGGTGGATCTTCTTGCCATTCTTGAAGCGCTCCATCATATCGTCAATGAACTCCTGTGTCATTTCGTTTTCTAAACGCACACCGTCGTATTCGGGTTCAACGACCATAGAATCGAGGTCCAGGCCTTCGGCAGCTGAGGGCTCATCGCCAACCTCGATGGCAGCGAAAAAGGCGAGTTGGCGCACAATCTTCTTGCACTCCTCAAGCTTGAGTCTTGCATCTTTGTTATTAGGGTCTAGTCTAACACATTCCTTGAAATCATCAATCGCTTCTTTGGGTCGCAGGATAGCGGTTCGGGCGAGGCCACGTCGGTAGTACGCCTATGCAGGAGTCAGGCTGGAGTGTCCAAGAACAGGAATGACATGACGAGGGAACCACGAACCTTGATGAGCTTGGGATTTAGCTCTAGGGCCTTGCCGGCGTCTGCAATTGCATATCCGTACGCTTCGGTCTTGATGTAAGCCTGTATGTGGCCCAAGTAAGGGCGCCAAGGTCAGTCACAAGACCACGGTAGATGTCGCATCGGCGAGGGGCGAGGGGGCGGGAGCAAAGAACATGATGTGGCTTTGTACGCACTTGAGCTCGGTTAGTGAAAAAGGTTGGCTCTTTGTCGTTCAGTTTGATTGCCTTGGAGTAGAAGTCGACAGCGGCGGGATAGTCGCCAGAGGCAAAGGACTTGTTGCCCTTATTTTTGAGATCAACGGCTTCCTGAGACATTGCGAAGCGGCGGCCGAAGGCGGAGGGCGGGGGAAGAGGGCAGAAGCCGAGAGAACAGAGCTGGTGTAATATACACTGAGCCACCCAAGATAAGGTGAATGCAGATGTGTTAAAACAAAAAAATACAACTAGGACGCTTCTATAAGTCTATCGTCACCAAGGAAAGGCATATGCTAAGAGCGCAAGCAAATAGGCGCGGCGCTTACAAGAGAGAAGCAAAAAAAAAATGCCAGCCGGATGCAAGTCAAAGTTAACAATAGAGGGAGACGGCGTGGGATGGATGGGGCCGATGTAGTACGGTGGGGGCGGTCGAGGAAGTACATGCGGAGTACTTGGGTGCCCAGGTGTCTTGCCATCCTAAGTACTAGGTACTCAAGTAGCCAAGCACATGGGGCTTTGTGAGTACCGAAGTGCTTCAATGCTCCTAAACAGGGTATGGACAAGCGACGGGTTAGAGAACGTGGGAAGTTAACCCTACAGGGGCTGGCCTTGGAGCATCTCGCACGGCTGGGGCAACATTGAATGAACAAATTGAATTGATCAAGTGTGACGCTCGGAGAGGAACGAGTTGGACACGGAGCGCGGGACGAGCCTGCGATGCCTGAAAGCGGACTGTTCTAGGGCATGCATGCTTAACGCACAGGGCCTCATAAGTACTTAAGTAGCCAGGTATTAGGTAGGTACTTAGACCTAAACCTAACCCAGCTATGTACCTGGGAGGTACCCAGGTGTAGGCGGGTTGGTGCTCAAGTACTACCACAGAGTAGGCTTGAGCAGGAAGGGCCAAAATGTTTCAATACTCCGCATGATTCACTGCCGCGGGCATCAGACTGCATTAAAGTTGGGTGTCTGGTAAAATTCCCAGCCTCTTGCAGCTATTGTGAAGTGAGACGGCGCACTGGGAGCAACGAGGTAGCCAGCCAGAACATAGGGACCACTTAAACTAGCTCGATCGATTGATAACAGTTGCAAGTCTTGCAGGGCGCAGGCAAAGGCAAACCACAAACCCCCGTTTGACGCATAATGGTGGAGCCAGGTTGTCTGCTCGTCGTCTTTGAGGCTGCACATGTGACCTCCCATTTCACCTTCCGCCAAATCACTCTCTATATCCCAGCAATATCAGGCACCGCGACTCGAAGTCCTTCTACTTTGTCCGAATTATAACCATGCGCCCCAGTTTATAATTTCACTCCATCGGCTATTTTTGTCACCTCCAAAATGGACACTCAGTCAGACCAGGCCTCCCAGGCTCTTGTCAGGAAGCGAACAGATACCGAGTTGATGTCTGCACCACCGCCTGTCAAAAAGATCAAGAGACCCAAGAAGGTCCTCGATGAAGATTCATACACCGATGCTCTCTCGCAGATTATTGCGAGAGATTTCTTTCCCGGTCTGCTGGAAACTGAAATCCAACAAGAGTATCTCGATGCTCTCGAATCCAAGGATACCGCCTGGATATCGAGCGCAAGCCGGAGATTGCAGCACGTAATGACACCGGGACGGCACAAGGCACCATCAGCATCAACATCAGCAACCAAGCCATTCAACGATGGCGGTCGTACCCCCACCACCTTTGTAGGAGAAACGCCTGCCTCCATGGCATCCACGGTGGCGCATCAAGGCCCCAAGCTCGACACCAACATGAGTCTTTCCAAGTTCCAAGCAACATACACAAGTGAAGACAATGAAAGCTTTTACAAATTGGTCGACAAGCAGAACCAGAAAAAGGCCGACAAATATGCCTGGTTATGGCGAGGAAACAAACTCCCTTCCAAAATGATGATCAAGCAGAAGGAGGTTACAGACAGGCTGGCGGAAACTCATAGCCTGGTGGACGATGGCTTTAAACGCGACAGACTCGCCATCAAGGACCGTGAGGACCGACCAGCTAGACCAGATGCTTGGAATGCGGCACCCCAAAATGGGCTCATGTTTGAGCCGAAAGGCCTCGAAGACGGCGTAGTAAGCATGGCTCAGCAAGCCGACGATGCGTCTCGAATGCCCCCTAGGGCTATCGTTTACGCAAACACACGAGCCCCTCAACCCCATGTGCCTGAGCGACCGCCATCCCCCACCATGTCGTCTGTGAGGGATGCCATTGCAGGAAAGCCTCGCCCAGGCGACCAAGATTCAAGCGTTGTTGGTGGCGGCGAGACTCCAAAGGTTAATGGCTACTCTTTCGTCGACGACGAGGATGACAATGAGCCAGACACTTCTGCGGCACAGAATACCATCAATTTGGGTCCCGGCGACTCTCATAACCCATTCAAACTTCAAGAGCAAAGGAAGAGGGAGCTTCTCCATGAACGCATGGTAGATCGAATCTCCAAATCTAACAAGGAATCGTCTCGGCATGGCTTCACTGGTAAAGATGCGACGCCGACAGTTCCCAAATTTCCAAGCAGCCCGAGAGTTTCGGGAGACCTGACTCCTGCCGCTCAAAGATTATGGAGCAAGATGGCCACTCCACGCAACAAGACTCCAGGAAGTTCTTTTGGGGCGCCTACTCCTCTAAGACCAAGAGGATCACTGTTAAGAACCGCAACTCGACCCGGCACCAAACAGGACTAGGCAATCGCCGGACTACGAAGCGTCACCTTGACACTCATGATATAAGTATAATGATCTTTTTTGAGGCCCAATATTTCATACTAGCATCAGCATTTTACGGCGTTTACATCGGAAACGGAAAGACTCGGAGTGTTTCAACAAGGGCCAATTAGAAATGGGTTTGTAAATACACAGGATTTGGGATCCAATTAAGGATATTTAGTTTCATGGGGCAATATGGCGTTGGAATATTTCAGACTTGAAAATCAATTATTAACGCTAAAGTTGGCTTTGCAATTCTACGGCCATTTTTGTTTGACAGCGTAGGATGTGGTGGACATGTCAATGGTAATCGTACCCGCTTACCTGCATAGCCATGAGATCATGACCCAAAAAAGTTCCCTACCCACTTGCAAGCACCAGCTGTCTTTCACAATCGGGCTCGGTCAAAACAGCCATATCGCCAGCCACAGCCCAATTGTCAATGCTCCCTCAGCGACCCGGGGTTTCAAGCGGTCATGAGGTTCGTCGACCTGGCCATTGATGTTGCAGCATTGCTCAGCGCCTCGCGATCCGTAGCTGCCAAACATGTCGCCTTGAGATCACGACAGCTTGATGCATACGCCAAGACATCAATTATTACTGCGAAATGGCGAGATGCGAAGCCCACTGCGTCGGCTACGCAAAGCGAACCTGAGGACAACAGCAAATCGGAAGGAAAGCGCGACGCTACGAGTCAACAAACCGATCCTTTGAGCCAAAGCCCGCCTCGAGCCGGAAACGAAGGCCACCAACCACGGGCCAATGAGTCGAGGGAAACTGGCACTGCTGCCTCCGGATATGCAGAGGCCGTCAAGCAGAGACAGGAGGCTCTGAGGGCTGCCGCAGAACAAAAGGACCTTCCAGAAGGCGTCGATATCGACATCTTTCACACTACTCGAGGCTCAAGCGTTCTGAGCTCGGTTCGGAAGAAAAACGCTGCTTCAAGAAGGTCACAACCAGGCGGTCCAGCAAAGGAACACCCGTTGCGGCACTGGCCAAGCCCGCCGCCTGTACTACCAGAGGTTGAGGACCCAGTATCTAGAGAAACAAGGCCGGGAGAAAAGACTACCTCACACTCCAGTGCTACAGTTGCTGAACCACAATCAACTTCGGACATATCACCGGAGCCGGTCCATGAACCAAGCCAACCCGAGACAAAGAAGCTGGACAACGAGACAATAGAACTAGCCAAGGACCTGGCCGGTGTGGAGGCCCCAAGCACGCCAACTTATGCTCTCCGGGAGTCAAAAGTTCCGGCGACGCGATTCAGTCGACTCTGGAACTACGGCGGTCTAGCAGCCGGCATGCTCGGGGGGGCCATGACTGAGGGTGTAAGCAGAGCCTTTGGAGGGGGTGGCCAAGGGTCTGTCCTCTTGAGCGGGAAGAATATGGAAAGAATGGTGGCGAAGCTGTCGCGAATGCGGGGAGCTGCTCTGAAGCTTGGACAAATGATGAGTTTCCAAGACTCGAAAATGCTCCCCGGACCTATCCAGGAAGTTCTGCAGCGTGTGCAAGACAGAGCGGACTACATGCCCGCCTGGCAGCGTGACAAGGTCCTGGTGAGCAATCTGGGCGAGAACTGGCGAGACCTGTTTAGCGACTTTGAAGAGACGCCCATCGCCGCCGCATCCATCGGCCAGGTTCACAAAGCAACTCTGGAGTCGAGCGGCGAAAAAGTAGCCGTCAAGATCCAGTTCCCTGGCGTCGCAGACTCCATCAACTCGGACCTAGACAATCTGGGCATACTTTTAAACGCCACAAAGCTACTCCCCAAGGGCCTCTATCTCAACAAAACCATTGACAACGCCCGCCTTGAGCTCGGCTGGGAATGCGACTACGAGCGCGAGGCCCAGTGCGCCCTCCGTTACAGAGAGCTGCTCAGGGGTGAAGAAGACGTCTTCGTAGCACCAAACGTCCACCTGGAAGCCTGCGGCAAGCAAGTCCTCACCATGGACTTCATGGACGGCGTGGGCGTCACCCGCGTCAAGTCCTTCACCCAAGAGCAGCGCGACTGGATCGGCACGCAGATTATGCGCCTGTGCCTCCGCGAAATCACAGAGTTCAAGTTCATGCAGACGGACCCCAACTGGACAAACTTCCTATACAACGCCCAGCACAACAAGCTCGTGCTCCTGGATTTCGGCGCCTCCCGCGAGTACCCCGAGGCCTTTGTCAGGGAATACGTGCAGCTCCTCGACGCCGCGTCCCGCTCGAACCGCGGCGCCATCAAGGAGCTGTCCGAGAGCCTGGGCTACCTGACCGGCCACGAGAGCAGGGCCATGCTCGAGGCGCACACGCAGTCTATACTGACGCTCGCCGAGCCGTTTATGCAGTCTGCCCCCGACGTGTACGATTTCAAGGACCAGACGATTACGGAGAGAGTCAAGGCCCTCATTCCCGTGATGCTGAGGGAGCGGCTGGCCCCCCCGCCAGAGGAGACGTACAGTCTGCACCGTAAACTAAGCGGCGCGTTTTTGCTGTGCGCCAGGCTGGGGAGCAGGGTCCCCTGTAAGAAGATGTTTGCGGACAGCGTAAAGAGATCAGGATACGTCAGCTAGAACAGGACAGGGAGGACGGACGCTCGCATCACCGCATGTATAACAGAATAGATGGGGAAAAGTTAGACGGGCATTTTGGTGTACGTGTACGATATAGACGGGCTTGAGACGGACTCGTAGCTTTCAACTTCGAGTCGACCAATTACACGCCAAAGCAGATTATCCAGCACACGTAGAGAAACATTTCCGCATTCGTGAATACAATACCAATGCTCAAATTCAGCGCAAAATGCACATTACAAGATTCAAAACACTCGGCATGTGATGATGGCCAAAGTCAACTAACTGACAACGGGGTATTCGCACCTCCGAAACCAAAATTCACCTCTCCCTCCGCTGCAGCCCATCCAGCTCCTTCTTCTCCCTGCCACTGACCTTCTTGCGCCTCCGCTCAATGGCCCTGTCCACCTGGCCCTTTGTCATCCTGTCGTACCTGCCGAGCAGCAGCTGCTTCTTCTGCTCGCTCTTCTTGAGGTAGAAGGGCGTCTTGCCCTGCGCCACCAGGTCCTTCTCCTTCCTCCTGTGCTCGGCCAGCAGCCTGTCCTCGTCGTCCTTGCTGGCGCGGGACTTCTTCTTGGACTCCATGGACATGAGCTGGCGCTTGAGCTCGTCGCGCGCGCGCTCGTCCTTGGTGGCTTTGATTTGCGCCCGCAGGTCGGCCATTTCGCTGTCGCGGTAGTCGTCGAGGAAGGCGTAGGCGCTGCGGGCCTTGGCCTCGTCGAGCTTGCCGATCCTGTTGACGGACGGGTCGAAGCGCGGGTCGCGCGCTTTGCGGCGGTTGTCGGGGATGATTTCGCGCATGCGGGAGACGGGCCGCTTGGAGGTTTGCTCGAGGGGCGCGTGTTTGGAGGAGCGTTTTGGAGGCGCCGTCCTGGGGGGTTTGGAGGGTTCCTTTTGGAGGGAGCGGCGGGTTTCTTGGGGCGGTTGGTGGTCGGAGGGTTTGGGGGTTTTGGATTTTCGGGCTGCGGGGGGGAGGGAGGCTTGGGCGCGGGCGAGGGCGCCGAAGGAGATGGATGTTAGGTCGGCTTTTGGTGTGTCGTCAGAGGACTGGTTACGGCATCAGTATCGGATGATGGATGATGGAAGGCGTGGGTTGCAAATATACCTCTGGATCACTCTCTGCAGATTCATCCTGTTCGTCGTCGTCGTCATCGTCGACATTGCTCTCGGGGCTGCCAATTCCTTCCTCGGCTGGCCCATGGTCATCCGAGAGGTCATCTTCCGACTCGGGCTCTGGTTCCCATTTGTCTTCGCGTCTTGGCCGTACCCGGCGCTCAAGGCCGAGCGACGGTACCTTTCTTTTGGAGGACATGGTATTGTGAAATTACACCATGTGTCGGTTGATTAGCTGGTAGGCAACAACTTGCTGTGCAACAGTGCGCTGAGAACTGAGGATGGAAACGGCGATTGTAGATTTTTTTGAAGCGGGATGTCGCTTATCGATAAGAAACTTGGTGGTGCGGAATATTCCCTCTACCCTGTAGTTTCAACTGTCCAAGGCGATTTCTCTGCATTCCGACATAACAGTCGCTCTGGTAATTTATAAGTTTAATACTTTCTCATTAGTGGTAGTAGTGCCTTGTATACTAGTGTAGTTATAGTGAATACCTGAAGCATTCCGGCTCTTGTGGTCGTGTTGACGGTGTATGCTACTGCTGCGGGACACTCAGCAAGACTCGGAACATGGCGCAGAGGGCCACACAGATAATAGACCATTCCCATAGACGAGAAATGGGTATAGAACTATAGCATGAAATTTACTAACACGGGAACCTTTTTTCTCAAATAAAATACCCCCGAGATCTCACTGGACGATACTAAAATGCCCCAAAACACCCAACAGTTCCAATGTTCGATAAGCCTGTCATCTTGCATTCACTCGGACCTCACACTTGACAGGTCCATGTCCAAGCAGGCCCACCTCGCCTCCCCGCCAGCCGCCAGGTCCCGCCCCCACCAGCTGGGCAGGTGCCGCAGGGACCCCTTTCTCAAGCCGGGCCGCATCGAAAAACGTCGAGTGGAAACCACCAAGCGACTTCAATCCCAACTTGATCGCAAACGTTAGCCGCAACATCCAGCCCCTAGACACCGCCCGAACGTCAGCCGCCCATCCCCTTCTCCCGGACAACGTCTCTCGCAACGACCAAATACCAATGGCTGCAGGCCTACCAGGCCGCAGCCTCTCAGCCGCCATGACCAAGCCATCCCTCAAGCAAACAACATTAAACGCTCTCGCCAACTCCTTCACGCCAGCAAGCGCCCTCGCACTCGGCAAGAAGAAGGCCACCGCCACCGAAGCCAACGCCAAGAAGGGAATCAAGCGCAAGACCGGCAGAAAGGGCCTTCGAAACATCCAACCCCCCCAAGCGTCAGTCCCCAGCAAAACGCAAAACCCACCACCGAACCCAGCGATACTGACACCCAAAACCACCAGCCCATCAGAAGACGACGCCAAACCCCCCAAACCGCGACAGCCTCCCTCCCTCTCGTCGGGCGGCATCCCCTCCCCCTCCACGCACTACCTGACGCAGTCCCTCGCGCCGCCCACGCTGCTCCCCCAGCCGCGCCGCATCCTCGTCATCCTCGACCTCAACGGCACCCTCCTCCACCGGCCCTCGCCCCGGCGCCCGTCGCACTTCGTCGAGCGCCCCCACGCCCGGAGCTTCCTCAAGTACTGCCTCGACACGTTCCACCTGGCGATATGGTCGTCCGCGCGGCCCCAAAACGTAAACAACATGGTCGCCCAGCTCCTCACGCCCGACGAGTGCGCGCGCTGCGTCGTCGTCTGGGCCCGCGACCGCCTCGGCCTCTCGGGCGACGACTACGACGCCCGCGTCCAGGTGTACAAGAGGCTCTCCAGCCTCTGGGACGACCCGCGCGTCAGGGCCTCCCACCCGGACGCCGCCGCCGGCTCGTGCTGGGACCAGTCCAACACCGTGCTGGTCGACGACTCGCGCGAGAAGGGCAGGAGCGAGCCCTACAACATCCTGCCCGTGCCCGAGTTCTCCGGCCTGCAGGCTGAGTCGCCCCATGTCTTGCCCCAGGTTCACGATTACCTGAACGCACTGTGCTTCCAGGCCGACGTCAGTCGGTACATGCGCGAAAATCCATTCCGTTTGGACTCTGGGTACACCTTACCGGGGGCCTCTTGATCAGTTTTTTTTTGGTTCTTGTTTGCCCATTGACCATTGGGCCTGATGGAATTTCTGTCCAAGTTTTCGGCTCCCCAAGAGCATGCTGGTATGCGACCAAGGACTGTGACGAGGCCGGTGTGAAGCTGAAGAGGTTGATGGATGAGAGCTTGGTACGGATGTTTGGTAAGCCCGAGTTTGTGACGCCATGGAATTTTAGCATAAGTGGCCAACGATAGACATTGTCATTCTTGCGATACCCAATCTTATATAGACTAAACGACGAATACATCACGATAAATGTTTCGGCAGGCATTCTTAGACTTGTCAATCCACTTGATATTTCTTCGTTTCACTACTGACAAGAGCCTTTATATTTGATCTGACTTGACAATATTAGAAAGCGCCATGGCAGTCATGTCACAACATGCATCACTACATGCCTTCCCATCCCCCCCTTATCCTCCCATTCATCCCATTTCAATCATGTGCCATCATCATCATTTCATTCCGGGTAGCCCCGCCCTTAACACTTATTTGAAGACCTTGTCGCCGGCGTGCTCATACTCCTTACCGTTGACGGTGATAGGCTTGCCGCATTCCCAGTGCAGCTCAACAAAGGCACGGTCCTCGGCATTCTTGGGGTCAAGCTTCTTGAAGGTGTACTGCTCGTAGTCCGGAGCGACGTCAAAAACGGGCAAGAACTCCTGGCCACGGATGATAAAAGCACCCTGGATAACGGAGTCGAAGTCCTTTCCGAAGACGGAGGCGACTCCGAAAACGTACTTGCGGGAAGCCTCAATTCGCTCAGTGAAGCCACCGATGAGGTTCTTGGACATGAAAGTCATCTTGAGCTCATCGTTGTAGTTGTAGTCAGCACGCCAGATGGAGTACTCCTCGAAAGGAACAGTCTCCCAGACCCACTTCATGGTCTCGGGGAGGGTGCCAGCCGTCCTGGAGTTGGAGTAGTTGCGCTTCAACTCGTCGAGAGGGAAGGTGGCGCGGGGCAAAAGGTCAATAGGGTGCTTGGGCTTGGGAGCAGGGGCGGGCTCATCCTCCTCAGCTGCAGCAGCGGGCTTAGCAGCAGGCTTGGGGGCGGCCTTGGGAGCCTCAGGCTTCTTGGGAGGGACATTGGTCAAGGCAGGCTTCTCAAGGAGAGGCAGCTGCTTGGCAACGGCAGTGATGATGGGCTGGTTGACAACGGTCTCGTACCAACGAGTGGTGTTGGGGTGCTCCTGGCGCCACTGCTTGTCGAAGAAGTACTGGAAGCCACGGTTGAGGAGAGGGGCGCAGAACAGGTCAGCGAGGGTGATGCGCTCGCCAACCAGGAAGGTGTTGTTGAGCAAGTACTTCTCAATGACATCGACGGCCTTCTCAACGACCTTGGAGGCGTCATCAACATTCTTCTTGTTGTAGGGGGCCTTGCCAACGAGCGGTCGGAACCAGTCGCCGAGAGGCTGGACGACCTCAGAGTTGACGAAAGACATCCACTTCAGGATGGAAGCATAGCTAGCAAAAAGTCAGCACTTGGAAAGCCAGAGAACCAACGGCTTAAGAGGAAACACGTACTCCTGCTTGGTCTTGCCAAGAAGGGTGGTCTTCTCATTCTGAGAGGTCACTATCGCAGACAATGTTAGTGTCTGGTCCAACCAAAAGAGGGTTAACGGCTCAGTTGATCGAGGAATTATAAAGAAGGCAATTTAGGCAGAGATCAGAAGTTAGGCTTTATCCACACAAGAAAGAAACTTTCAGACAGGGATAACTGTATAAAAAATGAAAGGCTAAGTCATCACACACACTGAACTCCAACAGACAAATATCGGTTGCTGCTGGAGGAAAATAGCAGAGTTTGACAAACAGTCGTACAAGAGCAGAGAGGACCTACCGTAAATGGCGACAGCAATCGCCTCGGAGAGGGCAAAGCCATCCTCGCCAACGAAGGCAGGGATCTTGCCAAGCCCATTGGCATTCTGGTGCTCGGCAGTGGGCTTGCCAAACTCGACCTCGGAGATCTTGAGGTCGAGGTTGTTGGCCTTCGCGACCGCCTTGATGGCGACGGAGCGGGGGTTGTCCTACAATCAGACAGAATGGTTAGGAGACAAGCTTCGTGATTTGATAAGCGAAGAAGGAGCTGCAAGGTCAGACTCGTTCGACATACAGAGTGGGTGAAGAGGGTGCCGAAAGCCATCTTTTCAATGTTTCTCCGTTACGAAAGATGTGATGCAGAGGAAGAAGAATCAAGTTTAAGAGAGGAGTCGAGGAAATTTTTATTAAAACGGGGAGCTTGTCGAACTGCCCCTCGCAGCGTGGCTGGTGAGTGGCTGGTGCCACTTCTTCTGTCTAATTGAATCTTATCTTCACGTGACAATCAACGGAGCTTTTCTGGTGTGCCAGGTTTTCGATTTCTGACCCAGCGCCAGGACAGGAGCTTTTGAGCTTCGATCGAGAGGGGGAAAAGCGACGACAAGCGACAGCAATCGAGAATTGCGGCGGCAAGTGGTCATCATGGCCACTTTTACGAACGGTATGCGGCATTTCAGATACCCAAGACAGCTCGCGAGCCCGCAATGGCACCATCACCAGACCTGGAGGTTACCAGCGCCCCTATGCATCCGAGCAATCAACACGGCGGCCAGAAACGACGATGCCACTGCCACGAGCCTAGTTGAATCCGTCCAGATCCCTTATCAGGGCGTTACGCACGCCCGAACCGTTCCCGCGACCCCGTCGTATTTCTCAAGAGAACCCCAGTTCAACGACCTGTACATTCGGATATCGAACCTCCTGACCCGATACCATCACCTGCCTACGGTGTCGCCCGGCGAAGCTCCCCAGGTTCCATGGACGAAGCTGGAGGAGATGCGCGCCCAAATGGGCGAGCCCATCAAGGCAATGCACTATCAAAAGGTTATTCGCGTGGCCAAGCGACTCAATCTGATTGAACCCAGTCTACGGCCGGCCGAGGTCAAGATTGCTCTTCAGGAGTTTGCGCGTGACATCAACCCTTTTCTCAACATGCCCAACCCAATCACCATTGACAGGTTCGGCCGTGCCGTCGGAGTGGGCAAGCGAAAGGCCTCTACAGCACGCGCCTTTGTCGTCGAGGGAACAGGGGAGGTCCTGGTCAATGGGAAGCCGCTGAGCGAGGCTTTTGGCCGCGTCCACGACCGTGAGAGTGCCGTCTGGGCTCTCACAGCAACAGAGAGGCTGGACAAGTACAACGTCTGGGTTCTCGTGGAAGGGGGCGGCACTACTGGACAAGCTGAAGCGATAACACTTGCTGTGGCCAAGGCTTTGGTTGCTCATGAGCCAGCGTTGAAGACGGCTCTGCGAAAAGGTATGGACGCATTGATCAGTTCCTCTAGCCACCTTCACTATGGCTATGTAGCCTGCATACTAATCAGACTTCACAGCTGGGTGCATCACCAGGGACCCAAGAACTGTTGAGAGGAAGAAGCACGGCCACGTAAAGGCTCGCAAGATGCCGGCATGGGTCAAGCGGTAGTCGAATATTTTTTTTTAGTTCCCGAATCCCTGGTTGCCGCCAAGTCTTGTCCATCACGCGTCATGACCTTGCGGCTTCTTCCAAGAGCTCGTCCATGTATATTAGTGCTTCGAATGAGAAGACGTCATCTCTTCGGGCAAAAATCCCCGAGTGTGTATTATGGATATTCTTAGCCTCCGTCATAGTACCTGCATATGAAGAAATACCCTGATTTCGATCTCCACCGTGGCTAGCCCCGGCCTAGAGATGCGCGGCATTTAAAAGTCCGCGGTGCTCAGTGCCACTCGGACTTCGCTGATGGTACCCTCGCGCTGAATGCCGAGAAAGAGCCATCGTGATGGGTGTATGTATGATTGGATAGCTAACAATAGCGAGCAGATGGAATTATTCCGAAGAGCCATTTCGTGTGGGGATGTTACACGACCAAACAACAGCAGTTTTGGTCGTGGAGGTTATTGGTCCGGTTAATAGGCTTTTTGTCTGCTAGCTTCAACGTTGGTTGCCGGTTGGGATTGATTCCTATGGCGACAACGACGATCACCTTGTGTCAGATATAGCGTCAACCGCTGATAGAGGGCCACTTGCCCTGAGAAAGCTGGACGAAAAGACCCAGTTACCCACGGCTTCGGTGGTGGGATTGCTACCCAAGGTAGTGATTTGTGGCCAAGGCAAGCTAGCTCTGTTGGTTGAATTGAATGCCATGCCTGTACGAGTTGCAACACGGTTGAGCCTGTGATAAAAGAGCCCCCGTGCCCAGGTATAAATACAAATGTCCCCAGTACCTCGAAAGCCCTTGGCATCGTGTACCAATTTTTCTAATTGGCATCCGGGGGCGGCAAATATGAAATATCCGCCACGCTCTTCTCGCCCTGTACTCTACGCAGCGGCCGACAACAGACCGGCGTCTGTTTCTGTAAAGGGCAATTTTCCTCGACCTAGCACACTCTGTCCCGTGTTTTTCTTTTAGACTCACATGCAACATGGCGTCGATAGTAACATCCCGTAAAGACAACTAGTTTAGTGTCGTTTCGGCCAGTGACATCGAGGGAAGGGCTATACAACTTCGCAAGCTGACCAGTCAAGGGCTTTGGGCGTCGGGAAGAAACTCGACGATCCTGCCTACCCCAGGTCCTTGCTCAACCAGGGTTCATCTCGTTTTTCTTTTGTGTTTAAACCCCAAACAAAGCACCCAGGCGCGCTCAAAGCATGACGTGCATGTGGCGGCCGGCAACAACAACAGGACCAAGACGCCGTTTGTCTGCAACTAGTAGTAGCCAAAAAGAGCTTGCGGGGAGGCTCAAGTCGGGATTTCAACGAGATACGGGAATGGCCGTGCCTCTGGGATAGTAGCAGCCGTGCGCGTCCCCATGTGAATGTTGATGGCAGGCGCGGCTACTTCTTGCATCCTTACATGTAAGTCTTTCATTGCTACTTTGCATTCTGCCACCGCCTGGCCTCACTTCCGCGCTGGCAGAGGAAGAGAAAGGATAATAAAGCCAAGCCCCGTGCGTCATGAGGTTGAAATGGACTACACCTACTCCGTACTCCGTACACGCGTAGAGTGAACAGTGTCCGACACCGGCGGCGCAAACGCCGACAATACGTAATGCTAGGAGCGCAGGTGCGCAGGTGCTTTTTTTCTTTCAATGTCGTCTTTTCTTCCCGTTTTTACGGGCGTGCTCTTTGTTCGATGACGCCCCTTTCCGACTCCCTCGGCGCATAAAGGCGGCGAGATGCATGGCTTGCGAACCTTATGCAGGTCTGATGCGGAGGCGGCGGGAAGGTTTAGTCGGTCATGGTGGCCTGCGAGTCGATGGCGTTCCGATGAAATCGGGGACCCCGACCCTGCCAGAAAAAGAATCGGACGCCATCAAATGGTCCTCGTGTATCGGGGGACACGGGGAGGGCGTTGGTTGTGATGACAGCTGAAACTCGCGAATTCGCTATAATAGTGTTACTGGTACTGATAGCAGGGCTAGTAATACCACTGAGTGAGTGCAGACATGGAGGGGGAAAAAGGTCAACGTTCTAGAAAATAGTGGAGGTCACAGAGTGACCACCCCCCCTTCTCAAACAATTGTTTTAGCTTTCTCCTTAATTGTGACCTTGCAAGGTTGCCAAGATTTGTCAAAGGAGCCATGTAGCGGCGAGATACGGTCAATGCGGCTGCGCGGGTGGTTGGGAGTCTGGACGCCTGCTGGACCTGTGTCAATACAATACGTATGTCCTCGAGTACACAACTAATTACGTACTCGGATAGGGGAGGAAATTGTTGGCGTCTGAATTGGTGACGCGTGAGCACATCTTTGCCTCGCGTAATGCTCAAGTACCGAGGTCGCCATCTATCACGCCAATGGTTCGGCATCTCGAGAGCCAAACCCGCTCGCGAGAGGATCAATGATGCCGGTATGCCACAACCGCATAATAACACGACGGAATAAACTAGCAACAGCCGCCGTCCAATCAAGAGGGACTCCGATTTCTCTCAACACTGACAAGTGTTCTTGGCGAGGCAAGATAAGCAGTTGGCAACGTACTACTAATCCAAACCATGTGCATTACGACCGCTGGATTGGCAAGCTGGTCGGCTGGCCGTGGCATCATGTGGAACCAAGCAAAACAGCGTCCATTGACGCCAAGAGTCGGCGGGGTCGGCCATGAATGAGATTTTTGCGAGTGAGCTAGGCTTTTCGAGTGCTGCGCTGCCAGCAAACTCCGCCCATGTGCTCCACGAGGCTGAAAAGGGCCGACGAACTTGTGTGCTCAATGTTGGTATTTTTGTCCAATACCCTGCCGGAGATCCCCTCTGTAACCTCGAAACCTAGCAGGACCCTTTTCCAGCAGGACCCACCGGTTGGCCAGTTGACCTGTGGCTGGATATTTTCGGCGCTTGAATTCCGGCTCTCAGACAGGCCCTTGGCCATGCAAAGGCAACTGCCCGGTCATGTCAGGCCAAAGTCCAACTACAGCACAATACACGAAGAAGCCCATGCCCGGCTATTGTTGTTGGGAGCGCCGGCACGTCTGCATCGTCCGGATCTGGACTGTCTCCAAGATGGCGATTGATTGGATTCAACCCGCATCATCGCCATCAGTCCCTAGGTACTTATACATAGGAGTTATGTATGTACACATTGTACATACGGACATTTCCCATGCTGGCTTGTTGGCTGGGTGTGGCGCCAGAAAGCATCAAAGCATCAAAGCCTCAAAGCCTCAAAGGCTATCGCATGCTCTGATTGGATGGCTTTCCCGGCAAACAAGCTCAAGTGCTGCATTCTGTGGAGCCGTGCCTGAAAGCGCCCATGGGTTTATCATGCAACGGCCAGAGATCAATTTGATGCGCTAAATTGGGCTCTCACTCGCCCAATTGCATCTGCATGCATGGGGGCGGAAAAGTACCCAACATGATCCGATGGCCATGCGCGTCAATGACACAGCAAAGACGGAACCCTGCGGCCAAACCCGCCGAATGCCTCACACAAGTTCTGGTATTGCAGGACAGTGTTGGCCGTGTTGCGTGCCCAGGTTCCGACCTTACTGGATGCAATGCGCTGCGCGCCCTTTGTTCGTGGGTGATGGCCATGCCAATTCAATGTTGCATTCGACCAGGCCCTCATTGTCATTGACGGGCCCGGAAACCTTGGACCGCAGGGGGCGCGTTGCTGTCGATACTGCGATGCAAGTTGGACTGAGCAATGAGCCGTTTCCATTTCTCAGCCTTCCTGTGAAACCGTCTAGTGTTATTTTTCTGGCCTACAAGTTCCAGCATTGCACCGCGCCGCAAGTGCCCAAAAGCACTGGCAAACAAAATTAAAGGGGAGGGACCGCACATGTTCCTGAAGGCGAGGAGGCCTTGATCAAATAATCCAACTGCAAGAGCATGTTTCTGGCAAATTGGGATGGAATGCCGCTCTGTCTGGTGTTTAGTATTGTGTTCTTGGGCAGTCATGCAAAACCGCACCCGGCCTGACTGCATACGAATGCGTCCAGCATCGGCACATACCTGGGTCTCGACTCACAAAGACATCAATTATATTGCGTACTCATGTACATGCGAACCAAGTCTGGCCGAAACCGTCGTCCTAACAAGTGCCGGCAAGAGTTGACCCTACAAACTGCGCAAAACTCTCTGGCATCTAGTTGTTGTTTTGGACCTCTTCTTGCAAACAATAGAGTATTCGCTTCACCGACATGTTGTGCGTATAATGACGTTAATGGGTGTCTGTTTGTAATAATAACCCACTCAAACGGCGGCAACAGTACAGCATCTGCCGTATAATATTGATTCGAGACCAAGGTTTTTTGCCAATGTTGGAGGCCAACGTTTCAGTTGAGTGGGTTCGTCGCAGACCATGGCCATTAAGACTCTTCGCTTTACAGATTTCTTGTCTGATCCCGCTGGCACAATGATAAACGTGGTTTTTGATGCCCAATGATCTTCGCCTAGTTTCTGTGTTGGCTTGCCTCGTAGCCCTTCATCGATCGACTATAGATCCCAAAGGTCCTTTAGGCAAATAGCCAAATCCAACTCTGGCAGTATTCCTGATGCGGCTTCGGGTGCAGTCAACCCGGTGTCGGACAGAAAAGCAGCCGCAGCATGGGGCGAAATGATGAAGCAGTCATGCCTCCCTTTGGGGTCAGAATAATTGGTCCTGCTGGAAAATACACAACAGGTGCCGAGCTATGGCAGTACTGTAGACGAACAGGATTCAAGACTCACCAGGAGCTCAAGTGTGTCTGTGCCGAGATCAGTTCGGGACGTGAAGAAAATCAATATGGCATCCATGTGTCTCTTTATTCTCTCTCAATACATGAGCACACATTAAGAACCCGCCAGTTGGACGGCAGCCGCTGGTGTCAACCTCCTCCAAGTCAGGCAGGCGCCAATTCCGACATTGGAGCAGCAACTCTCTCCTCGAATACAAAAGGTAAAGTTCTAATGTACTTGGTATGTACATACACACATCTGTACTCAGGTCTGGTACTACTTTTACATCCGGAAAGTGCCCTGTATTGTAGACCCTCTCGCAACGTTCCGTCGTGACTTCCCAAAGTAATAATGGAGCATGTCAAAAAACAGATGGCACTGGTCAATGGTTCGCTAGTTCCACTTCAACCCAGCACTCCTTCCTGGTACCCTATTTTCCAATGTTCATGCAAGTTGCTTTGAATTCTTCCTCCAAAGCATACCGAACCCAGCTGGCGACAAAATGGAACGCTGAAGAGGTGAGGACGGGAAATGTCTTGCACATACATGGATCAAGGCTCTAATGGCAGGCCAGGTTCTGTTATTTCACGGTACATTGTACGGTCTCGACACGTCGAAACCTCGAGACGCCCCCACCGCAGGACACGTGGACACACAAGCCTAATCCTTTGTTCAAAGTCCCAAGTCAAGGTCCTCAATTTGCAACTTTAACTTTGGGTCGTGATCCGTCACTACTCAGCTCCAGGACAATGGCTGTTTAGAGTTGGAGTGGCACCAATGCTGGTACGACTGGTACAGTTCAAAGGCTGGTTATTTCGCCAGATGGCCTATAGCGTGGCCCAGAGTCAGCCAGTTGACGTCGATCCCATGGCTGTCGGCGCCTCGCTCGCCGCTCATTGCACAACACCACCCATCATCGCGGCTCTCTGGCCGCTAACCTACCTTGGGTCCATTGGCCAGTCCCCAGTTAGCCTTCCCGTCATGGTCAAGATCAAGTGGGCGCCACTGGGTAAGTGGTACTACTGAGATTCTCCAGCCCATCAGGCCATGTTCATTTGAGCAGCTCAGGAAAAGGGCTTGGCTAGACTTTTTTCGGTCCCTTTCCTTCAATATTTCTTCTACCCACCCTCACTAACTCTAACGGCCTTTTGTGTGGCTGCTCCAGACTGTTTCGTCTCGGCCAGGGACATAATAAGTTACGAGACACTCTTAGGAATCCGGACTCATAGCAACTCGCCCGTCTCAAATCTCGTACGGAGCAAATCAATCATTAACTACTCCGTAGTGCCGTGGTTCATGTCTATCACTGATAGTACCACGCTTTATTCTCGCCAGCCACGCAGTGCTCGAGCTATATGCGGAGTAACAAAAGGCATAGGAAAGCAAACGACACGCATCTCTTACTGTTGAATATAAGAAATCACGGCAATTAGGATCCGGGCACACGACGTCTCCCCAAATGTGTCACTGTCGAGTGGTCAATTAGGCGCGGTCTTCTTGCAGCTTCTGCCTGCCTCTTTACACTAACTAGCACTAGGAAGCAATAGCAGAGCCTCAGTCCGCCGTCTCTGGGAACCCACATGGCGACTAAGTTACTTGTGGCGTGGTATGTCTCGCGGCATGAAGGCAATCTGATCTGGGTGCTGACCAGCGCCGGATGTTATATTTATTTATTATTATTTTTTTATTTTAAATTGGGAATTCAAGCATACCCTGACTGAGCTCGGCTGAGAACGTTTCTGTCTACTATTTCCTGTTTGGTCTGGAGTTCTGAGAGAACGTTGAGCCAACTCAACCCCTGGCAAGCGACCATGTCCCTACGACTCATCACTACGAATGCCTGGGTCAGAATGTTGCCAGGCTCTGTCTCAAGTTGCTCTGCTCGTATCTCTCGTCTCAACCAGACCGCTTCAACTGCCTTTGACGTCGGGCGACTTTGGCCCAGACAAAGCGCACGCCCCACCCCCAGCCATATCCTTCTTTACTCAGGCCTCTCTGCTTCTGTCGACCAGACCCTGGATACACGCCCACCCTGCCATGAGCCTGCACCTGTTTCCATCTCCATGCATGTAATTGCTAGAAGACCCATTCACTCTATTCAAAACTTGCTACATGACCCCTGCGACCGCCTGAACGTCGACTGCAGAGCATTCTTGTAGGTATGCTCATTTCCGGAATGAGTGCGGATGCCCAACATGGCAGCAGGCATAGGGCAATCGGGGTGTCAAATTCGCAGGTCTCAGCAAAGTACCGGCATGAGCTGTGCCTGACCAAGGCTCGCCTTATTTTGGATGCATGTCTGTTCTGTGGCCACAGCCTCAAAGTGAAGCAACGGCCCTAGTTCGTACAGCACGCGGTTTATGGTCCCCTCTCTGCCTTCGTACAAGCTTAGTTGCAATGTCTTTGGGCCCATGGCAAGCCACATTGTGGCCTGCCCAGAAATACCCCCTTTGTCCTTTGCCAACCGTCGTCACCCATTGCCATGTGGACAAGGGCTGGTGCCGGGAGTGGGTGCGGATCCAGGCCGACTATGGAATAGCAGGCGTTGTTGCACTCCCCCGAACAAAACTCTGTTGTGTTAGTTTCATCAAGCCTAGCAGGCTACCAGCTCTGGTTTGTCCGTTCGCCGCTGACCACTCTGTTGCTTGTTTAGGGGACCAGTTTAGAGCAGGCCCAAGCCTCCGGGTCATGACCTGAATCATCCCACACGGGCCCGTCGTGTCCTATCCGTGCTCGTGTCAAATCCAACCGTGTCTGGGCCAGTATGGCGGATGGTCAACCAGTCCCGCCACAGCGGACGAGGCACTCGAACCCTACGGTTCCTATGTTGGCACTGACACCCTCTGTCCGGATAGGTATTTACGATGTCTTGGGTGTCTGCCCACCCTTTAGCGTGGACCGCGGCCGTGGCGTGGGCACCGCCAGTCTTGTTCGGGGCTGTATAAGACCCGAAGGACTCCTCTGACTGACAACCTCTCTAGCGTATTTGTGCCATTACATGTACATGTTGTTGTTAATCCAAGACTCGTCTTCCTCGTTTCACCTTTCAGTATCCAGCTCTGGCTGAATTTAACGGTTAAGGCATCCCTCCTTCTGAAAGTCCTTGGGCTCCAATATACCAGGCACTGGGACACTGACTCGGTCTCTGGCTCGTAAGCCACCAAGACCCTGGTGTCGTTTCTCTAACACCCTAGCAAGATCGGGCATCTCGCAAGGGGCTAAGGTTGTTACGCTGAGGGACCGATGATCGAGGTTTCCGGAATACTTGATCACAGGTACGAGTCGTAAAGGCGGTTCTCACAGCCCACGAAACCTCCAACCGCACGCCGCCTGCCTTGCCCTGTCCCAAATAAGCCCAAGTTGCCTGCTTAAATCTTTTCAGACTTGTGCTTCAGTCCACGGTTTACACGCTGAGGCATAAACTGATACCATCGTCCGGGAGGCATGAATCCGAACGACTCGTGACTCCGCTGAACACAACACTCAGCGGCCCTCGTCAATTAACACACATGCAACGCGACTATGCCTGTGAATTTGTGCAAAGCTCAAAGACAGCTACATAAGATCGTCTTTTCCAGCACCATTTCACTCTTTGTTTTGGGCGTGCTGCAGATATAGCCAGAGTCTTCTTACACTCGCTTTTTTTTATTCTTTTTCTTACTTCTCTTTCTCCCTTTCTTTTCCTTTTTTCTCTCTCTCTCTTTCTTTTTTTGGTTTTGGAAAGATTTTGGATCCTATCAACGAGCCACATTCGCCATTCGTCCTATCTGGGGAAGCGAATTTTAGTTCGCCTTGTTGCTTCCTGCTTCTCAGTTCGCGATTTGGACCGTCGACCACGAACAAATTCATTGGCCCTCCAAGACGATACAACGGGTTTGTAGCCTGACTTGTGGCTCTTTTGGACGGCTGGAAAGGTGTCACACATTTTTTATCCCCGACACAAGGTGTAACCTAGACGCCGAAGTTCTTGGAAAACCTGGCGAGGACGGCTCTGGCGTGGTATGGATAATTCTCGTCGCGGCGGGAAGCAGAATGAGCAACCCATTCATCAGGCTTCACAATCAAGATACTCGCTACCAGTTCCAGCAACTTCAGGCGGCAGCACAACAGAGCGCTATCGCCCGACGCCACTGAATTTGTCAACGTCAATTCCAAGAAGCATGGGAGTAGGCGGTAACTATAACAGCTACTACCAGGATCCTCCCTCGGGATATTCTGCCTCTACGATGTCTTCTACTCTCTTGGCATACGGCTCTGATTATGGGAGCGACACGCGGACGCAGACGCCTGGACTCGGTAGCTACAACGCAAGTATGATGATGTACAACGTCCCGCCGCACACGGCAGCACAACAGGCCGTCTATGATACGCAGCAATTTACGCCGCGGCAACATGCAGCGATGCAGATGATGCCGTCAGACGTGGCATCGAGCTACTTTGTCTCTGATACATCTGGCGGCGCCGCAACCTCCTTGCAAGCATCCGGTCAGGGCTCTAGTACTTCATATCAGCATCAGAACACGGGCATAGGCTACCCCAGCAGCATGTCGGAATTACAGCAGTCTGGAGGTGCCAACGCTGGAATGTCAGGCAGTCGCGACGCCGACGATGCCATTGCTCTGAAGTGGAGCAGCTATCAGCGACAGCTGGGAACAGTATTCCGCGATGTGTCGGATGGGCAGCTTGAGAGGGCATCAAGCACACTACTGGAATTGTCCAAGTGGCTGTTGCCGCAGGTACCTCAGCTAGGTAAGAACGAAGACGGTGTCCTGGCTGATGAATGGTTGTTAACAGTCCTCTAGGGTTGCATCAAGACGACCCGTCGTTGCATGAAGAGAGGTTGAAGCTTTGGAACGATTTTAATCATGGCTGGCTATCGTTGGCGTATCAGCAGAAACAGCTCATGACTTCTGGACAACAGATATCCAACTCGCAGAGGCTCATGACCAAGGACCAGATTGAGGGCCTGGGCGACGAACTGGTACGACTATGCGACGGACTGGAGCGGCACGGACTGGTTGACTATCAATATGGGGTGTGGGAGGAGCAAATTGAAGAAGGTATGCTTGACGTTGATGACATCACCGGCATTTGAAGAAGCTAATGCAGGTCTCTGCAAACATAGCCTTGGAGGCGTGTCTTGACCTATTCCCCAAGTGAAAAACGAGGCAGCCCGAAACGATCAGCCACCAGATGTATAGACTCTTTTGGATTTCAACCACATGAGCTCGTTGGAATTATGGTGGGCATGCGGCCCATGTTTTTATTTCTATTTTTATTTCTTCCGGATTTGCATCTAGAGCGCAACGACCCTAATTCTACGGACACGTGCGAGGACGACGGGGACGACGGGGACGCTGACGACGACGACGAACGACGACGGCGACGACGACGATGCCAATAAAGGCAAACGGCGATTCCTAGGCCAGTCGAGAATGATGGTGGCGACACTTGGACGTTTAGTCGACGCGGATGTGCTGTGTTATTTCACATTGGTTTTCTCATTTCATCAGGCGACAGCGGATACAGGAACTATGTCTGGGTCATTACCAGGGAGCATTGCAGCGCATGATACCAAGGGCGCCAAGGGCCATGATAGGGGAACAATGGTGGCGTTGAGAACGGGGAGGGGTGCATGACGGCAGGCCCTTGTACTCTTTTTTGTTTGAGGCGACGACGGGGCGTCGGAAAGCTGGAAGCTGTATGGATTTGTACTGGGTGTTGGCTTTTGTATTTTTGCTACTTTTTGTTTTATTTTTGTTCTTGCTGGGTTTGGACAGTGACGACGTCGACGACGTATGTATTTGACTTGACATGCATGGCGGATAGACTGGATGGCGCACACGGGAATGTTTGTTCAGGGCGGGAAACTGCAAGGATTCGCATTGACTCTTGACAGGCCGTCGGACCCCATGGTCTGAAGATGTGAGAATAGAAAGTACGGTAGCGAAAAAAAAACAAGGACTTGAGCTGTCGTCGAGTAGTAGTGTATTTGAGATGCAGCAGGCGTGTCTATGCGTGACGGGGATCTCAAGGCTGGCCGGCATTCGTCGGAGTGACATGGCGGCGGAGAGCAAGAGCCGTGTCGCATTGGCATTGACATTGGCATTGGCATTGCGTGTGCGGACATGAGTTGCGGAGTGGGAATAGTCGACATGATTCCACTCGACCACACGTGGCTTGTTGAATTGAGGCCCTTTCAAACTGCAAATTGGTCTGTCTGGTCTCCCTTTTTCGTCTTGGGCGACGAGGGCGACGCGGAGCCCGAGGCACCCAGGCCGCGGGCATAAAATGCCAAGAAGAGCGCGTCGTATAGACGCACCGGATGGGAGATGCGTATCATGAGGGCAGGGACAGGAATTTTGGGGGTTTGCGAATGAATGACGGGTTGGCTGGCTGTGCGTGCGTGGGCGCTCGGTAGATGCGTGTCTGGTGCGATGGGAACCGAGTGCATGGTCCCGACTGCCGGGTTTTGGGGACGGCGAGGGAGGCCACTGTTTCAATGGTTTTTTGATTTTGTTGCTTTGGGGATTGGCGCTGTAGATCGGTGGCCGTGGAGGAACGGGGGTGGTGATGTGACGAGACGAGTTGAGAGTCGAGACGGTGGGACGTATGTACAGGGTGCATGCAGTGTGTGTGTGTGTGTGTATTGCACACGTCCGGTAAAATATCTGAACATTTGAACATGTAGTGCCTGCGTGTGGCCCGTTGGCAACTACCCGTCTCTTTGAAGAAGAAAAGTGCCTGGTCTCGTCTACGTCCCGTCTACGTCTTGTCCACGTCCTGCCCACGTCCTGCCCACGGAGAATGCCGTGACAGGACAAACACGCCAGGTCTCAAACTGCGCGTGTAATATGTACTATGCATACATGTATGCATGTGCGCACCCAGAACTTGGCCGGTGGCCTTCCCTCCGATCTGGAAATCCGACACCTCGGGACGCGGTAGCCAATTGCGACGAGGCGGGAGACGTTGAGACGTTTTCTTTTTTTGCTTTTGATTTTCTTTTTTAAATTTTTTTTTTTTTAAACTCGTGTTTCTGCTGCAGGGACCACGTCACCGGCCGAGACGGGACCAGAAACCCGGTTGCGCATCCTGGCCCGTCTGCGAGCGAGGCATGAGCCTGATGGGAAGTTCTGGCCGGCGATTATCGGTGCGTTTCTGCTCTGCTCTGCCCTGCCCTGCTTTCCGTCCATACTAGTACTTGGATTTACCTATTTTACTCCAGTCTGTCTGCTCGCCATACCCCCTCTGCAGGCACCCGCCCTCTGCCGCGACGACTTCACAGTCCCAGTTGAGGCGACTGTCTGACGTAAAAAGACAAAATAGAGACGGGTGGTCTCCCCTCCTCTGGACTCGTGACCGGGCCATGTTTGTAAAAAAGACGGAATACAACAGCGTCCATCTCGTGGTCTCACGGGAACGGGAAAATGAGACACAGGGCAATCAATAGCCGATTCGGTCCTTGCGCGCGTTTTTTGTCTTTCTTTTTTTTTTTGTTGCTTTTACACTGCTGCCTGATTTGATGATGACCGGCGGAGCGTGTGAAACGCGCCTCGTCTTGTCTCGCCCGTCGTGCTCGTCGTGCTCGTCATGAGAAACACGCCGGACCATCCACCCGCCATCCGCTTGACAGCTTGACAGGCAGGGATACATACATTGCGCGCCGCAGCCGTGCATGAATGCGTCGAGACTCCCGTGTTTGCCGGGCCCCTGCTGAAGCATGGCCGTCCCGCGCCTTGAGCTCGCTCGCTCCATTATGTCAACGCCAAGAATGGAATGCTACTATTCGCATTTGCCAAAAATCGCAGAGGGGGCCACGACAGTGGACACATCGGGAGGGAGTGTGTTTCAGCCGAGCTGTCGCCACCCGTCTCTTCAATCTGACACAGGGGGAACGGTTTTTTTTTTTGTCTCGTTTGGGCGTGCGGCCTGGCGGTTTTCTTTTTTGGGCCATGTTTGGGATTCGAGGGGGGTTGCGTTTTCCGGGTCGTGCGAGCCGCGGAGTCGCATGCAGTTGGGCAGATTGGCCTTTTTGGGACGGGACGTGTGTTTTTGGGACCGACGGGCCTGCTCCTGGCCTGCTGCAGCTGTTGCCGGAGGGGGCTGGATATACATGACCTCCCTCGCTTGGTGTTCCGTCGCCGCCACCCCCGTGGACGTGTGCCGGTGCCGGGCCCGGGCTGTGGGGGCCCGGCGCGGAACGCCGTCGCCCGCCGAGGCCGAAATATTCCATTGACTACCCTACAATCTTTGCCGTCGCACTGGTCATCTTTGCTTTTTTACCCCGACGTCAAAACCTCGCGACTTCCGACGGCCTACGTCGTCTCCTAACCCCAGGGGCTGTGACTCTTGTCGCGGACTAGAGGAAAGGGCAAGTGTCCGTGTAGCCGTATACCGGGGCCTTGTCAGTTTTCACCAGGGCAGCTCGTGTGGTGGTCGCACGCGACGACGCTGAGGTTCGACGTGTCCTGCTACGGCACCATCATGGGCGACCTCCCGCGGCGGATGGGCCATTTCCGGAGGCAGGCCGCGGACCGGCACGATGCGCCTGCGAGGCTGACGGCGCTGGAGTGGTTTCCGAGGACGCGGCCCGCGGAGGAGGGCGTTGGTCGCGATGCCGGCAAGGACGGGGAAGAAGCGCCGCACGAGGAAAAATTGCGACAGTTGCTGTATTTTGTAGCTGGGGTTCTGGAGGACATGCGTGTGTATGCTTGTGCGCTGTATATAGAGCCAGTTTTGTGTATGTAGTAGTATTTGTAGCTGGGATTCTCGAGTATGCATGTGCGTGTGTGCCTGTGGGTTGTATATTAATTAAGGGCTGAATTGTTTCGCTCATTAGTCAAGTGAAATTGCAAGCATGATACGAGTATCGTGCAAGCGTAAAATCTGATAATACAGTATTGGGCTGTATGTGCGTTGTATATAGAGCCACTTCTGTGTACGTAGTAGTATTTTGTAGCTGGGATGATCGAGTATACATGTGCGTGTGTGCCTGTGGGTTGTAACTATATAGAGCCTCTTTTGGTATCGAGTTGGGCATCGCATACCAGACGACAAGTCCGCCTTTATCCGAGACCACTTCAGCTCCGCGTTTTTGTGTGCTCGCACCAAAACCGCATCCCCAATTCAAAAATCCTTGGAGACGCGGCCTCCCCATCAGGACACGCCGCATAAATCACCAGACGTCACAGCAGTCTCCTCGGCACATCACAGCAGGATATATCCAAAGTCAATGCCGATTCTCATTATCATGATGCTATTTTACCCATGCCAACACCACGACGCCACGGGGCGGAAGGACAAGAAGAAAAGCCAACAAAATCTTCCAGAGACGTCTCTTTCCCTCTTCCCCCCCCCTCCCCATGCCCAACCAAAACCCAATCTTAAAACTGGTCTATTCAAAATTCCACTCATTAGCTCTCAACCATCTCAATCGGGCTGGGAAGAGAAAATCGTCAAAAGGGAAAAAAAAAGGAAAGACGGCCCTCACCTAGCGTCATGCTCATGCTCACGTCGGTATTCTCAACCATCTTGGTAAACTCCTCAAAGCTAATCTTGCCGTCATTGTCCAGGTCCGCCTCCATGATGGTCTTGTCCACAATCTGCTGCAGCTGCTGGTCCTTGAGGTTGCTGCCGACCATCATCTTGAGCACGATGAAGAGCTCCCCGTTGCTGATGTACCCGTCGCGGTCAATGTCGTACACCTTGAAGGCGAACTGGAGCTTCTGCTCCTTGTTGCCCTTGCTGCTGAATGCGCTGAGGCCCGACACGAATTCCTGAAAGTCGACGTCGCCGCCGCCGTCTTCGTCAAAGATGGCAATCATTCTGAGACACGCCGTCAGCTTTACACAACGAGACCCGTGAGCGTCGGTTTGCCGTACCGTGTCGCCAGTGGGTTGGATGAGATTTGGGGAAGGCTCAGGAATTCGTCGCGTTCAATGGTGCCAGAGTTATCCTGCTCCTGTGTGAGTTTCTTTTCTTTCCTTCTTTTTTTTTCCTGTACCGCGAGGAAAAGGGGTGGGATGTGTACTTTGTCAAGCTTCATGAACCGTTTCCGTAACCGGTCAACTTCTTCTCTGTCGACTGAACGAGATGGGAATTAGCAAACGGATTGGAAATCGCATCGCTGGGGAGGCGGGGGTGAGACCGCGACCCGGCGCTTGAGGGGGGGGATCAAGTCTCACAATTGGAACCTTGGACGATGTTGTCCAAGACTTGGCTGGTGGTGTTGCCCATGATTGGTGGACTGCACAGACGGGCGCCTGTGACGATCGATGGCCGGCGGGTGAGCTTTTGCTGTATGAGGTTCGGCGATGGGGATCTTGGGACGTCGAAGGAATGTTGGGTAGCTGGCCGTGGAGAGTTGCGATAAGGCTGATGGGCTCGTAGGGTTGGCCGAGCTGAGAGAGCTGCTTTGGCTGGATAGAGTCTGGCGTGCAATCTGGAGGGGTTGTGTGGTTGTGGTGGTCACGGATGGACCCCGGAGCACGGGCCATCTGACGCCATGTGTGAGGCCAACTCTGGCCAATGTGTGGGCGGCCGCCAATTAATTGACCTTGGCAGGCACCAAACAGTGCAAGCACAGTACAACGAGAGATGCCATGTAAGCACGAGTCTATCGAAAGGAAGAGGAAATGTTTTCTTTTTTTTTAGGCATGTCCGCTACGTATTAGCTGGATACTCTTCCCAAGTCTGGCTAACGTTTAAGCCTTTCAGAACCTTGGATGTGATTTCAACCTGCCGTGCAACATGTGAGCTGCTACCAAATTAAGCTGTGGCTAGTGAGGTGTGGCTGGGGTACAGAACCAGGTGTGGTCAGTGGCGCAGCTATCAGATGAAAACTCGCTGGGGGAAGCCCGGCAATACCTCGGCTACTGCAGTTGCGAACAGGCCATTCCAGGCCGGGCAGTCACCGGTGCTCCAGGTGGCTCGCACTAGGCGAACAGGTGCTGGCCGGGTGGAACTCAAAAGCTGCTAGAGCACAGCTAGAGCACATTTTGCTGGGTGTAGCTTAGTGACTTGGCCTCTCTTTGGGCGCGTCAGGCCTAAAAAGACAAAGAGAGGGTTGCAAAATGAGGCGGTGGCCCCCGCGCCACAAGTATCTCCCCCACCAAGTCGCTGTGGTAAGTGACTTTGTCTCCCTCCCAAAGGTCTCTAGCGGCGCTGCCTGGCACCCCGACTGGCAACTAGCAGCCAACTACTCGCCGTCATCAGTCAACCGCCCTCCTTCCACGCCTGCAACCCGGTGAAAATTCTTCGCGCGCCAAAACCATCCCCAACGTCACCCCGTCAGACGTGACAACTTTGCCATCAAAAAAGAGTCACCACAGAGCCTTTTCCATCTTTCTTTGGGCAAAAGGCAACTTTGCATAACTCTATTTATGACTTGATCGCTTTTTTTTGCGGATTTTCCGCTGGCTTGACGCCGACCTCGGCTCACCCGGCACCATGTCGTCACGCAAGGTCAGAGTCAAGAAGTTGAGTGTCAAAACTCCTCTTCCTGTGCTTAGAGAGGATCAAATCGATCCTTCTGAATATGAAGCACTCAGCTCTGACAACCAAATTTCAACCGGTGTCGAGCACGCCGAGGAAAAGGTGAGCATATTTTCCCCCTTATCGAGCACTCTGATATCACGTGCAGTGGCACGTGATATAGATCTGGCATATCAAACATGCCCAGTGGCTATTGCAACAATTTGTAACCAGAGTTGTTGGCTGACCCGTGTAACCCCCCCAATAGGAATATCATTTGCAGAGCATTCTCAAGGATGCAGGAACCAGCAATACTCAAGAAATTCCTGTACCACCCCCCCAGAAGAGTGACATCAACTATGATGCACTCTACCTTAGTAACTTTCACCAACCATCCTCATACATCCGGTTTTCACAAACCGTAGAAGAATGCATCGGCTGCCAATATGATATGAGCACTGAGGACACCGAATTCCTCAAGTCATACAATGGCAAGTCCCCAACAGGAGGCCCCTTGTCAGAAGATGACTTTGAGCGAATCATGGAAGTCTTTGAGGACACGGCGGCTGAGCAGACTCCATTTGCGTCAGTCGATAATACCATTGTCGGCTATGACATGATGGTTCCGTCACTCAATCACCTCAACAGCACCTCGATTCTCCAGCATGCCAAGGCAATCTATGAGTATTGGGGGAACGCTCGTCAGGAGAAGGGTAACAAGCCGTTGCACCCTACTCTCAAATTTGAGATACACCAAGAGACAGATGATACCGACCCGTATGTCTGTTTCCGAAGAAGAGAGGCCAGACAGACCCGAAAGACGAGGGCTCGGGACAATAAAGTCGCCGAGACACTAAAGCGTCTCCGGCGAGAGCTCGAGGATGGTCGGCAGCTTGTGCTACTGTCTTTTGAACGGGAGATGATGAAGCGCGAGGTACTGCACATGGACCGGGCCGTATTTGAGGAGCGAGCCAGACTGAAGCAGATGAAGCTGAGGCTGGGCATCAAGGGCGAGGATGAAGACCTTGTAAACCAAAAGGTAAGCACCACCTCATATGAACGCTCCCCAAAGCGGCTCTTATATACTGACTTGACTGCTTGTAGCCCCAAAAACGCAAACCCGCAGAACCTTCAAGTGTGCAGAGACAACAGGCTACCCAGCTCCGGGCGCCTGTCCGATCAGATGGCCGTTCTCTCGAACAAGACCTTGTGTCGCTGGCTGATCAGTTGGCACAGAAGGAGAACGAGCTGCGAGAGGAAATTGAAAACAAGGTCCAAAACCACCGTCGGTGGAACCAGAACCACATCGATCTCACTAGAGATCCGTTGTCGCCGGTCAAGGAACAAGGCACGGAACTCAAATTCCGACCAGCCAAGACTCAATATTTGATGACACCACCAGCGTCCATCTCGTCCGAGGAGATGGATGTAGATGAGGTGCAGGCTGAGCCAATGGACATTGATAAGCCACACCCGCTACCCGTCTTCCAGTTCAAGGCGGGCACCATTTCACAAGACCAACCACAGGCAAATCAGCCGTCGTTCCGGCGCCGAATCGGTCGTCTCCAACGGCTGTGGATTGATCGTAGAGGAATGGCAACACCGCCAAGGCAGGAGAGTAGCGACTATTCTGATCGGTGGAAATACGACTCTGATGACGAGGACGTCGACCCCCCTGTGTACGAAGTCGATCCGTTCGATACCCGAGCTATCAAGTTTAGGGCAACGATTCCGCTGAGCCCGTACATGTTCCGTGGAGGACGGCCTTCAATTGCTCCCGAGGCGGCACACGCGGCGGCAGCGGCCCAAGCCGCAAGTAACAGAGCGTTACCACAACCTCCCCCGGCAGCAGCACCGCAAGCGCAAGCAACGTCATAGAAGACGGCTTCGCGCGCGCGGCCAGCTAGTCAATGATGGGCGTGTGTTTGTATGATTTGATGTTGTTGAGACTCCTCATAGAGCGGTGGCGTCTTTTGGTCTTTTTTTTTTGGTCTTTTCTCATCGCCAGTGATGAGGGGAGCATTCCAGCGTCGTTTCGGCGGAGGGGCGACTGTCCCTTCTAGTAGTCGAGCACAGCCTGGAACTGTATAGTACATAAATATTCGGCAGGCGGATGGGGGAGGCTGGCAGGACGGGATAGGCATTTTGCGCGGAGTCGGGAGTTGACCGTTGACCGTTTTGGGCCATCCTTTTTAGACGCAGACCCAAAGAGCCTCCAGAAGGCACTCATTGAAGAAGTAGAAGAAGAAAAAATAGTAAAATCAGGCCCGTTTGGCCGTCGAGTACTGATTCCGCTCTTGCTCTTGTGATGGTGTCTTGTTGCAGTCGTAGCGAGCACAAAGGTTCAAAGCAAAGGCCGAGGTTGTCCATCGTCGGGGCCATGATGCAGTGAATGCAGCGCATGCCTAGCCGCCGACCTGCGGTCAGCCGCTGCGGCAGCAAGTTTTGCAAAGTCGTCTCCCGCAGTAGCAAGTGTGCATTGTATGCATGCTCCTGTTAGGACGCAATGCCGTGCTCGTGGTGTCGTGTGCAATGTCGTGAGCAGATGCCGTATGTGGACGGATATCCAGGTGACATCAACTTCTCGACTGGGCGGAGGGTCATGTGTCAGCACATCAGGTAAGCGAGGCTGGCCGGGGCCATTCTTTTTTTCTTTCTTCTCTTTCCAACTCACCTTTTTTCTGCTGGGAAAACTGGGATACAGCGGGGGGTCTGAACGAGCGAGTGAAGGGGAGGAGATGGCTCCCGGGCAGAAAATATCTCTCTCCGGGTGCGTGAAGCACGGCAAGGGAAAAAGAGAGCTGATGTGGTGGTGGTTTTTTTGGTACTTGTTGTGGCTGCGGGGCCGGAGATGGCCTGGCGGGTTTTGCAGCAGGAGTCTGGTGCGAGTGACGGGTTGTGGGGCGCCGTGGGAGGGTGACGGTTGGTTGGTTGGTTGGTTGGTTGGTTGGTTGGTTGGTTGGTTGGAGGTGCTTCTTCACAGAACTTCAAATGTTGCCGTGCAGAACCTCTCGAGGGGCTCTGGGACTCTGGTCGTACAAGTATCGATCCTTTCCGAGTTGGGCCGTGACACTGCGTCGACGGTTTTCTTATACCTTCGTTTCTGGCATGCACACCCCCCTGCGATGAATCTGCAATGTTGCAACTCTAGCGTAAGGGGGCACGAGGCAAGCACCGGGCATCCCGCACGGCAAACTTGAGAATGGCTCGCGGCCCACGAGAAACCAAGCGGCGGCCGTGGAAGCTCGTGCTTTGTCGTGTACTGAGGCCCCGGCACTGGAGGTTCTGTTCCCTCGTGCCGCGCGGCTGGCGAGGCGTGCTGAGACCATGCTCGGGCTTGTCGCCGGAAACATACTCTGCTATAAAGGCCAGGGCAGCAGGGAAGGTGTTGGGCTTTGCCAGCTGACTATGCCGCAAAAGCTAGATACTCGTCCACGACGGTTGATCTCGTCGGACGGCTCAGATTGTGAGAGATGACATGGGTAGGGTGACGGCATGCCCGCCGTAGGGGAAGTTGTTTATGCCTCGCCTCTGCCGGAATGAACGACCAGCCTTGGTGAACATGACGAAATGGTCAAATAAATCAAGATTAAAAATAAGATAATATCGTAAATAGTTGACTATTTACTTCATCACGCGGCTGCTTGTTGAATGCTCGGGTAGGTAACACCAGGGACCTTGGCAGTTGAACGTACAATTATAAAGGACCTAGCAGTGCGTCAACATAACGGGAAGTGTAGTTGCGGAAACTTGATATAAATAGCAGGCTTAATTATGGCTGAGGAAGATTTATTGCCATAATTACTCACGGAAAAACCGTAAACCTTGAGGTACTAGGGACATTGATAAGTGCCGGGTAGGTGGTGCAGTTGGCGTGGGTGGAGGAGAGAAATACCATGGGAAGAGAGCAGGAGACTACATGAAAGGAGGCGTGGGGTAAAACCTTTTTTTGAATTTTGTTTGCTTGTACGAGGTTTCGAGTTGAGGGAATAGATTTTTGGTCGTGCACCGGCAAGACAGTAAACTTAGTTAATAGATGGATTTATAGTGTGCACGGGGTAACTATTTCAGGGCAACTCCCAATAGCTGTGTCTGTTTTCATTAGCACCGACCAAATGTCAGGGTGGAGTAATGTCTTTAAGAAGAAGGGCAAAGATCCATTATATTTCTCACGACTGCTTTTGTTAATACATAATATATAGTACGTGTAATTACGCGGTCAGTCCCTCGCGGTTTCTGCGCAACTCTCCAAATCAAGGTCCAAATGTCAATAGCAATGCTAAGCCAAGAACCGCAAACCCACAGCAACACGTTCCCACGTTCCAAGTTCCACGCTCCACGCTCCACGAAGCATCGATGCATCAGAGTGACACAAAATGCCCACGTTCCCACAGGCCAGTCCCGTCCAGGGTCGGCCCCACCAACGCCGAACCTCTTATCCATCTATCTGCCCCTCCATCCACGACCCCTCCAACATCATCACCATCTTTTTTCTTCCCCCCGTCAGTCCCCCCATCTCTGCCTCCCATGGCGCCCAAGACGTCCTTCATAGCCCTCGGGTGCGAAGGCTCCGCCAACAAGCTCGGCATCGGCATCATCCAGCACACGCCCACGGGCACCACGATCCTCGCCAACCTGCGGCACACGTTCGTGCCCCCCCCGGGACAGGGCTTCCTGCCCAAGGACACGGCGCACCACCACCGCGCGCACTTTGCCCGACTCGCCCGCGCGGCCCTCTCCGCCGCCGGCATCACCCCCCACGACGTCGACTGCATCTGCTTCACCCAGGGCCCCGGCATGGGCGCGCCCCTGACCTCCGTCGCCGTCGGCGCCCGCGCCCTGTCGCTCCTCTGGCGCCGGCCCCTCGTCGGCGTCAACCACTGCGTCGGCCACATCGAGATGGGGCGGCACATCACCGGCGCCGCCGACCCCGTCGTGCTCTACGTCTCCGGCGGCAACAGCCAGGTCATCGCCTACGCGGAGCGGCGCTACCGCATCTTCGGCGAGACGCTCGACATCGCCGTCGGCAACTGCCTCGACCGCTTCGCCCGCACCCTCGCCATCAGCAACGACCCGGCCCCCGGCTACAACATTGAGCAGATGGCCAAGCGCGGCCGCAGGCTGCTCGACCTGCCCTACACCGTCAAGGGCATGGACTGCTCCTTCTCCGGCATCCTGGCCAGCGTCGACGCCCTCGCCGCCCAGATGAGGGCCGACGGGGACCGCGCCCAGTACACCCCCGAGGACCTGTGCTTCAGCCTGCAGGAGACCGTCTTTGCCATGCTGGTCGAGATTACCGAGCGCGCCATGGCCCACGTCGGCAGCAGCCAGGTCCTCATTGTCGGCGGCGTCGGCTGCAACGAGAGGCTGCAGGAGATGATGGGCCTGATGGCGACGGAGAGGGGGGGCAGCGTCTACGCCACCGACGAGAGGTTTTGCATCGACAACGGCATCATGATTGCCCAGGCCGGCTTATTGGCCTACAAGACGGGATATACAACGCCCCTGGAGGAGAGCATCTGCACACAGAGGTTCCGGACCGACGAGGTCCATGTCGAGTGGAGGGACTGATGTACCACATGTAAAAAACGAATAAAATGCGGGACGTGACCAGGGCACTTCTGCGCCGTCGGCGGCAAGTCGGGGGACACATGTGTGCAGCGAGTGCTACCAGGTACGTCTTCATCATAACATTGAGCCGAGTCGCCTGATCCCCGCGGCCAACATGTGTCGTCTATCGACTAATAGTTGTAGTAGTGATTAGTGCCTTCGTACATTCCCATCCACAAGCAAATTTTCAAGTGTCCCGTTTCGCCATACTGAATATAAACAAGAATTCTACTGCGCCAATTTTTGCAACACAACCATCCATCAATAGACACCAACATTAACCTTCATCCGTTGAGGTGGGCTTGTACATTATCGTCGTGACATACTGAGGACATGTTAGCTTTCCAACGAGGGCACGGGTGGCCGACTTTGAATACATACCTTGTTGTGATACCGCGTAGTTGCTGATACAGCAAGAACATTGTTCTTGATGCTGCTCGTCGCCAGGTGGTTGAGGACCGTGTGGTTCGGCATGTTCAACACCGAGTTGTCGTCCTTCATCAGTGTGGCCGCGTTGAGAATGGGCTTGCCCAGGAACCCCGGCAAGCTAGGAGGCGTGGGCAATTTCTCAATAGCACCGATAGCGTTTCTATAGGCAGAAGATTCTTCGGGCTGATCAAAGTCTATCAGATATTGAGGAATCTGGCTGACATATGTTTCTGGCGCCGAAACAGGCTTGCCTTTTGGCTTGGCAGGTTCTTTGGGTTCTGACCCGACTTGGGGTGCAGAATCATCCACCTCGACCTCAGTCTTGGATACGGTAGAGCCTTGCTGCGGCTCCACAAGCGCATCGTCAGGGTTGACCTCGATGTAGTTGACCAGGTTGTTTCCGAAATCGACGGTTGTTGGCAAGTCTGGCGATGTCTGCATAATCCCATCCGCCAGAAAACGCAAATGATGCGTGCCCGGAAGAATGTACACCGTGGTGGCAAAATGGTCGGGCTTTCCTTCACTGTAAATGTCGCGTGTTAGCAAAGCTCGCTCTTCAGAGCACCATGCTATCTGGGATGTGGGCAAAGAAAGATACTCACACAGGATGCAGACGCTGCTTCCGGTTCCATTGGAAAATGGTGCCCGTCACATAGATCTTGTCGCCGCCGCGCTTCCATTCAATCTTTGTGGGAACAACTGGTCTAGTTTTGTCAACCCTCAGCTCCTCAAACTCTTCGTCGTCGACCGTGGTCGCACTGACGGCGGAGCTCTTCCGCGTCAAACCATCAGACGATTCACCAAGCTCAACATCTGGAAGTCCCTCGTCCGGGGCTAGAATCGGCGAACCGGGCGTGTGAACCTCTTCCTCGATCGGTAGCGGCAACCGAGGCGGACCCCGTAGATACATGTCCGTGAGGCTGTTGTTGGACACGAGGTATGGATCAATGCCGCCCCTTTGCGCGGCGGAAATGTGAGATTCTTTGTGAGAACGTAGTGAGCTTGATTCGGTGGGAACATCGACAGGTTTCGTTGGTTCGTCTCGAACGGGCCGAGCTTCTGTCGGCTTGGAAGGAGTTGATATATTACTGTGAGGGGAGCCGCTCAGGGAAGAAACAGCGGTGCTGGGCAAGCTCTTTGGTCGGTTGACCGTGGTCGAGCCTGTGGCTTGGGCAAGAGACGGCTCTGGGGGCGCGGCAGAGCTATGTGCTGCGTGCGACGTGGTGTGGTTCCGGGCTTCCTTGCGATGAGGCAGCAGGTGATGGTGATGATGGCCATGGCCTTCGGCAGGCGTCGACGTCGTGCCTGATGAGCTCGCCGAATCATTTGGCGGGGCGCCAGGGGAGCCCGACGAGGGGGGGAAGACCCGATCAGCGGACCACGAAGCGAGATGAGCAGGGAATAAGATGAGGTGCGAAACGTCGCGTGACGACGCAGGTTCCCAGGTATTGGGCAGTTGGAGAGGGCGGTGCTGTGGTTAGATGCCGGGCCAAGGTGCGTTGCGATGATGGCAGATGGCCAAACCGCACCCTGCAGGCTGACGGGCGTCAGACTTGTGTTGGGGCCTGGCACTGCCTGCGAAGACAGGGAGGCGATGCAAGCGTGCCAATTCGACGTCGGGCGATGGTTTCTTGGGTCGAATGCTATGCTGTGATACTCGGGCGGCGAGGCGAGGTAGGAGGAAAGGAAGCAAGTTCGGGAAGTCTGGCTTTCCTGAAGCTGGTGCGGTCGCGGGGAAATGCGGGAAGGTGGGCTGTCTCGCTCTTGCCTTTGCCTGTTTGCCATGCGCCAGTTCAATAGTCGATGGACATGCATTTCGCTACAAGGCACCTGCCTTTTGGCGGGGTTACCGGCCCGCTTTCCTCCTTGGAGCAGATCAGGACATGAACGGTGGGAAGCTGCGTCCGAGTTTCTCATTCGACTGGCACCTGCCATTTTTCTTGCCATGCATCCGGGCGTCGGGAAAACAGAGACGGCTTCGAAGAATGTCGAGATGCTTTGCCAATACCATTTGTGATGACTGCACTGCGATATTGCTGCTCTTGTGTGGAGTTCAAACCTGGCCATGTGGACTCCCGGCTCTTAGGTGGCTCGTCCACTCACCAAGTCAGTGACATTGAATATGTAAAATCTCCGGCCAAGATGTGCAACTCAACCCACGGACTCCATGAACACTAAAACATTACAGTCCCTAATAATACGATGCCAATTAGCTAAGATGATTTTTTGAATCGAATTGATTCGAATTCTGGCATAAAGTATGGTATAATGGATATAATTGGGCGGTTTACCTAACCAACCAGAGACAAAACTGCCGACTATGCGAATCCTGAAATGCAATGAAGCCAATTCCACTAATTTATTTTCACTGAAATATACTACCAAGGGCTTCCCCGGAGAGCCATAAGGGATCAATCAACAACTAGGACTATAAGCCGTAGCAACCTGAAAAAGCAATGGCATGAGATTGCCGCTCTGCTCATGCCAACACGCGTTTCCCTCGAAGTAAGTCGAGACAATCAGCTGCGGACTACGGACAAGGAGGGCTCACCAGTGTACCACAACGCCAGTAAATTACAAGACGATGATAATTCAACAGGTAGTAAAAGGCGAAGGGGGTTGTAAATGATTTTGAAACAAGGAAAAAAGGCAGTCATCTTGTTTGACTGATGACTAGCACATAGATCAGATGGAATTCTAGGTGAATGGCTTCGTCTTGCCTGGTACATGCAAAGCCCACGGCTCAGGACAAGACGCAGGCAAAGAGGTTATCAATAAGATGTTTGGTGTCGTATGATGGAATAAGAATCATGTCCTTTGAGGGTGACGTGTTTCGCCATGTAACCGCGTAGACTACTCCCCTGCCGGCTTCCGGGCGGCTACTTGTTCGTAAAAGGACACACTTGTAAGCTAGATGCCGGAGAACCGGGATATTCAGCCAAGGGCCGCTGTTGCTGCATCGTGTTGCTCCATGTACCATGTCCCCAAATACGCCTGAAACCATGTCGATCGATCCGCCCAGACGTTGCCAAAAGTCCGCGACTCCGCAACTCGGTCGGGATGATAACGTCAAGCTCACCAGCGCATCGCGCACGGTACCCCCCCTTCAAAGACTAGATAAAACGACTGGCAGATAAAGCACACTGAGCATTCGCCTCCCGTCATTGGTAGCAGACTGCCTCGGATGAGCGATGGCGTGCAAGCCACGCCCGGTCGCGCCATGGACCGCAGCATTGCCCAAATAGGAAATCCAGCCAAAACACGCCTTGCGAGTTGCAACGACGACACTCCCCCTTTATTAATGCAAGCCAGCAGGCCAATTGCGCCATGGATACATGACGAATCCGTCTGATACATCTGGCATGCTCGGGTGCGTCCCAAACGACACGAGGCAGCGCTTCTGCTCCGTGGAAGCAATGGCGGCATCCATCAACGCCTGTATATACAATGTGAGACTTGCCCGAGACCTCCCTCTGCCGAGAGCAGGGCGAGAGAAGAGAAGAAACACGAGCCTGCACCTTCTTTGCTGCCCTTTCTGAAAGAGGAAACAAATAAAAAAAAGAAAAGAAAAGAAAAGAAAAGAAACACAGTCGTGCCGTCCAGAATGGCAGACAACCACGAGCAGCGGCCGCTCCTGGCCGACGCAGCGAGCACATACACATACGCCCCCTTGACCGACGACGACGAGGCCGCCGTCACGGCCAAGGACCAGCCCTCGCGCTCCGTCGACGACGACGTGCTCCCCGAGACGTCGGCGCTGGGCCGCACCCTCTCCTGGACGAGCTCCTACATGCTCGTCATGTCGCGCGTCATCGGCAGCGGCATCTTCGCCACGCCCGGCACCATCTTCCAGGCCGCAGGCAGCCCGGGCCTGTCGCTGCTCCTCTGGGCCGTGGGCGCGCTCGTGGCCGCGGCCGGGCTCGCCGTCGCCCTCGAGTACGGCTGCATGCTGCCGCGGTCCGGCGGCCAAAAGGTCTACCTCGAGTTCACGTACCGGCACCCGCGGTTCCTGGCGTCGACGCTCGTCGCCGTCAACGCCGTGCTGCTGGGCTTCACGGCCAGCAACTGCGTCATCTTCAGCCGCTACGTGCTCTTCGCCGCGGGCCGCGACGACGCCGGCGACGGGGCGAGGAAGGCCCTGGCCGCCGGGCTGCTGAGCGCCGTCACCGCCGTGCACGCCGTCGCGCCCCGGCTCGGCGTGCGCCTGCAGGACGCCCTGGGCTGGGCCAAGATGGGCATCGTCGGCTTCATGGTGCTCTGCGGGGTTTATGCCGTGGCGCTCCGGCCGGCTTACACGGGGCCGGGGACGGGGACGGGGCCGGGCGGCGCCGCCGACGCGCTGCTGTCGTGGGAGACGCTGTGGCACGGCAGCAACTGGAGCTGGGGCGTCGCGTGTACCGCCCTGTTCAAGGTCTTCTACTCGTACGCCGGGCTGGACAACGTGAGCAACGTGCTCAACGAGGTGAGGGACCCCGTGCGGACGCTGCGCTCCGTCACGCTGACCGCGCTGGTCACCTCGTGCGCGCTGTATATGCTCGTCAACGTGGCCTACTTTTTGGTGGTGCCGCTCGACGACATCCGGGGCAGCGGCGAGCTCGTGGCCGCCCTGTTCTTTGAGCGCATCTTTGGACAGGACGTCGGCAGAAAGGTGCTGCCCCTGGCCGTTGCCCTGTCGGCAGTCGGCAACGTCTTGGTCGTGGCGTTTGCAATGGTGAGAACAAGAGCTTTCCCCAGAACCCCTTCTCCCACACCGACACTGACACTTACACGGTTCACTTGGCTGACTGCTTCGCAAAAAGGCGCGCCTCAAGCAAGAGATTGCGAGGCAGGGCTTCCTTCCCTTCTCCGACGTCCTGTCGTCCACCAAGCCCTTCAACTCGCCTCTTGGTGGTCTGCTGGTCAACTACGTACCCTCTCTGCTCGTCATCGTCTTGCCCCCCTCGAGTGAAGTCTACTCCTTCATTCTCGAGGTGGAAGGGTACACGGGGCAGATCTTTGGCCTAGCTACGGGCCTGGGGCTGCTGTGGCTGCGATACAAGCGACCGAATCTGAAGCGGCCGTTTAAAGCATGGATGTCGGCAGTGGTGTTGAGGTTGTTGCTGGGCGTTGGCCTGCTTGCCGCGCCATTCTTCCCGCCGGCCGACAAGTACAAGGGCGGTTTGTTCTACGCTACGTATGCCATTGTAGGAGTGAGCACGTAAGTTGGCCACCAGACTTGTTGTTTTTGAATTCACGTGAAAGCTAATAATGAACCTAGCATCGTGGGAAGCATTGCGTATTGGTATGTTTGGACGGTTGCTGTCCCCAGATGGAGGGGATATAGATTGGAAGAGGAGACAACAATACTTACGGACGGGACATCGGTTACAAAACTAGTTCATAAACGTAAATGAGGAATAGTACGAGCTAGACGAGAAGCGGCAGTAGAAGCAATTTGCTATAAATGAATCGAATATGTACAAAACACTTGCAAGTACAACACGTCCAGACCCCAGAGTATCCTATCCCATCACCAGATCGAGAATTTGCTTCCCACCACCCGAACAAAACGACTACTATGTACAACACTCCGTGGACTACCCACCCGATTCTCGAATCGGCATAACAGTGATTGGCCACGAGTGACGCGATCTGTAACCATGCCACCTACTCCGCACGGATTTGAAATCATCCTGCGCTCCGCCTAGCCGCCATCAGCACGAACCGATCCTCCGCCCTTTGGGGAATGCCCGAACCGCCTGTTTCCATCGGCCGTGATTATGAATCCCGGCGTGAATAACACCGCGGCGCCGGATTGCGTGCTAACATCATGGCCCCTGGATCCCTATATAAACAAACCTCCCCCCCCTCCCCGAAACGAAAAACATCAGTCCACCATGTGAAATAACCCACGTCCCTAGTCCAAGTATAACACCATCTCATCCGAGACAAAAGACAAAACTCTCCATCCAGTAACAATACCTGCACCACCAGCATGGCCGCGGCAGCTGTACAAACTCCCCTCGTCCTCAGCACCAACACCACGCCCCAAGTCCTCCAACGGGCACGGGAGCGCTCCGTCCCCAAGCACGACGTGACAACCACCCTCAAGTACCACAAGGACAACGAGGACGGCTCACCGCCTCACCCAAGCTACGCCGGCCGCGCCGAGACGTTCGAGCGGCCCTTTGAGCCGCACCAGGTCACGGTCAGGGACATTGCCGGCGAGGAAGCCAACTACACGCTCGACCGCAACGGGTTCCAGGTCCACAGCCATATCGCCACCGAAAAGGCCTTTGCAGACGACGACCAGATCAAGAGCAGCTACTACCCCGAGACGGAGCAGCTCCTCAAAGACGTGTACGCCCACCTAACACCCCCTATTCGCCCGCAGAGCTAACCCCGTCCACAGAACAGGAGCCAGCAAAGTCTTCATCTTCGACCACACCATCCGCCGGCAGCCGCCGGGCGCCACGGCCGACCGGGCCCTCCGCGGCCCCGTGCAGCGCGTCCACATCGACCAGTCGTACTCGGCGGCCCTGTCCCGGGTGCCGCACCACCTCCCCGGCGAGGCGGAGCGCCTGCTCCGGGGCCGCGTGCAAATCATCAACGTCTGGCGGCCCATCAGCACGATTGAGCGCGACCCGCTGGCCGTCGCTGAGGCCACCTCCGTCTCGGACGCGGACCTCGTCGTCACGGAGCTGATTTACCCCAACAGGCGGGGGGAGACGTACGCCGTCCGGCACAGCCCCGGACACAGGTGGTTCTACAGGTCGGGCCTCGAGCCCGGCCAGGTGCTGCTGATCAAGTGCTTCGACAGCAAGACGGACGGGAGGGCGAGGAGGGTCCCGCACACGGCGTTTGAGGATGCCGCCGCGCGGGAGGACGCGCCTGCCAGGGAGAGCATCGAGGTGCGGGCCTTGGTGTTTCACGAGCACGATACCGACTGATGGGTTGATTGAAGGGGGAGCCCTTTGAACAACGGTGCCAGCTTGTGGCGTGTTTTCGTGGACGGGGGAATTTCCTTGGTCGGGGAGACTGTGTTATTTGGACGATGGGCCGAGTGTAGTTTCTAAATTGTATAGTGACATCAGTATTGGTGCGAGTATAACATGCCAAGTTGCCTTTTTTGCTTCCTCTGATTGCACCGCCACGTATCTTTGAAGAGCCGAGGAAAGTCGAGTCCGAGAATGTCCCAAGTGATGCATGTATATGATCCCGCTAGAGCCGTCTGAACAACCCTGGTATATACTCGGACCGGCCTCTTTCCAAGACAGACAACGCCAATCAAATACAGTAGGTCACCACGCCGAAATGGCAACATCCTCCTCTCTAGTGTACGCCCGGCAGCGGAGCCGAAACACCTAGTCGTCCGACTCGCCCAAACCGCCGTCCCCCTCGTCGTCCTCGTCAACAAGCCTCTCGAAAAACGGATTGTCCCCCTCCTCCACAGGCCTCTCCGTCACGCGCGGCACGGGCACCACCCTCGCCCCGTCGACACGCACCATCCAGTCGTTGCGGAAAAAGTCAACGACCAGCTCGAACCCCTGCTCAAACTCGTGCCACTGGATCGGCGGCACGAGCAGCCTCGGCACCGGAACCTCCCTGTCCAGCGTGATGAAGGCCTCGGGCATGGGCGCGCCGCTCCAGCAGGCCGCAAAGTTGAGCGGCGGGAGGGCCTCCTTGTTGACGTCCTGCAGGATGTGAACCGTGTTCCCCGCAACCTGGATATTCTCTTCGTTGAGAACAACCTCGTTGTCGAGCATCATGATGGGCGCGCAGAGGAGCTTGCCGCGCGTGTAGTTGCCGCACTTGGCGTACATGTCCATGACGTGCCTGCTCTTCCAGGGGTTGAAGAGCGGGTGCGTGTGCGTGAAGCAGCATGGGTTTTCGACATCCCCCTCGGGCTCGGCGCGGTCGTGCCCGCCTTCGTCTTGGAGCCCGACAAAAGGCTCGTCTGGTGCTCGCTTGATTAGGCCGTCAAGGAGTGGCTTTTCAAGGCGGCGCAACGGGGTCGTCTTGCTGGGGCGCCGCGCGGAGAGGTATTTCCACACGTCGGCCGATGAGTCGAACCGCTCTTTGACGGTGGTAGAGTCGGCGAGGGATCGGAAGGGCTGCTTGCCGATTTTGCAGTTGAAGTAGTCCAGGACCGATATGGCCGCGTAGTCTTTGAGATTCATATTTTCGCATTTCGGAAACCAGTAGTTGTACCCATTTGTCATGAAGCCAAGTCCGTGGAACTGCTTCAGGAGATAGACGGGCTCGGAAACAGCCTTGTCCAGAGACCAGTGCAGAGAATTCGCCCGCTCAAAGCACTCGTGTGCGTACGAAGCCAGTTGCTTATCCAAGAGACCCTGTCCCGTCATGTAGCACGCCGTGCTGAAAGGTTGCGAGATTCTGTCGTCTCGCTTCAAATTCTCGTCTTTGAAAATAAGCTCCGTCCGGAGAAAGACCTTGTCTCCCTGGATAAAGGGCCGGCCCTCGTGCTCGTACCTTTGGTCAAATATCACGCACGTCATTTCTTCGACACGGTTTATATCCACGTCCTGAACGCGGAGAAGCGGCGTGTTCTGCCCGGAAGAGAGGTAGACAAGCAGCGTGTACTTGGAGACGTGGTTTCTCGCCCTGTCGTAATAAGGCGTGTCCAAGTGGTTCTCAAAGTTGCCGTCCTCCGGAGCAAACTTGTTACTCCGGAAGACGTAGTTGACAAACTCGAACGAATCGCCCAACTCCCCATATCCAACCACGTCCAGAAGCCCACTCGTCTTGACAGCCCGTGTGAGCGCCTCGCCCAGGATGGCAGAATGGAATACAAAGCGTTCGCCTCCGCGTGTACCCCTGTTCAAGGGGGCAACATACAGCGACAGGCCAGAAATTTCCTTCAACAACTTGCCTTGTCCTCCCTCCAACACGGCAGTAAACACCTCCTTATTCCGTCCCAGCCGCTCAACATTCGTCAGCCCCAAGTCCATCCCATCCACAGCGTCGGCCTGTCGCATCCCCATCCTCCCCTCAACCCACTTGTCCAGCGGGACAATGTTCTCAAAATTGTGATACGACAACTCGGCCGGGTTCACAAAGACAGCAAACAATCGCGGCGTCGTCATGACTTGCGCGAAATGGTTGACACCCTTATTACGGACCTTCCTATCCAAGTCCTCGATATACTTCAACACGGTATAGCCCCTGGATGGATAAAACGACACACTCAACCCGCCCACAAACGCCGGGTCTTTGTCCCCGTCCAGCAGATCAACCATCCTCTCCAGGATCGTCTTGTCCGTCTCGCGTGCCGACCCGCTCCGACATGTTGCCAGGAAGAGGTTGCGCGCGCCCAGCGCCAGGATGAGTTTCTGCTCATCATTCAACGACGAGTACTTTGACGACGCGTGCGGCGCATTGGCAATGACCTCGTGGAAGAAGGCGATTGATTGCCAGTGGGAATCCGAGTCTACAGAAGTGGCGTTTAGGGCTTCTATACGTGGTGCTTTTGAAGGCGGGTGGTCCTGTTCATTCTTGCGTTTTCGGGAGACGCCGCTGTGTGACGATGGCGAGTTGTCCTCGGATTGGCGGGCGTCTTCAGCATCAGGAGACTGGGTTCCGCTTGAGAAAAGGGTTCCTAGCCCCATTTCGCCAAGTGGCCACAACCTCATGTGCGTCAATGGCAATTGCGGCAGTCAGAGCGAATCTCAGACAATTGGTGTCGAGTAAAGGTGCGAGTTTGAGCATGAGGCCAGCTCGGCTGCGCGGCGTTTGTTTCCCCGGACGCCATGATTCGCCGATTCGAGAAGTGTCGTCAAGGCCTGCACGAACAGCTTTGAATGCAGGACAAAATATACAAACACTCAAAGTGCAGCCTCCCAAAAACATGAATCAAGCCGTAAATTGCAAGAAAATCCTTGTAAACACCCTCACAAGTTACGTCTTTGCAGCCTCACCACATTCCCCCGACTCCGCTCCCTCAATCCCCTCGACATCTGGCCATCTCACAGCAGCAGCCACCCCCGGACCCAGCCGCACCTTCCCTCCGCAAATCCAACCACCCCGGTCAACCAGCCCAGCACATCCAGGAACCAGCCCTATACGTACATCCTCTCACGGTTCGCATCATCCGAGCCACCCTCACTCACTCACTCACTGCCAAAAGAAAGAAGAGAAGAAAAAGAAAAGCCGCTCACGCCCTTCCAATGCACGGCTTGTAAACCCGCCCACCCGTGTCCGCGACACAAAGTCTGCAAAAACAAAACAACCCCCCCGCCCGCAGCCATGCCCGAGTCCTCGTCCTCGTCCTTCATCGACACCATCGTCCACATCCTCCAGCCCATCCGGTCACTCAACTGGACGCGCTACCTCGGCCTCATCACCGCCGCGCTCTCGCTCCCCCTACGCCTGGCCTGGATCCCGCTCTCCCGCCTCCTCGCCCTCGTCACCACCCTCCTCGCCCCGGCGGGCTACGTGCTCGCCTACCTAGGCAGCTGGGCGGCCGCCGTCGCCCGTTTCCTCGTCAGCCTAGAGGTCCGTTTCCACCCCCTCCTTCACCATCATCATATATGCGCGCAAAAAGACTAACTCGCCCCAGCCCCTGTACACATTCGTACGTGCCCAAGTTCCCCCCGCGTCGCGCCAACGTCGCGCCAACTAACACCCAGGGCCGCATAGTTCAGCGTAGCAGCATTCATAGGCGTCGTCGCCGGCGTCCTCGTGGCCGTCGCGTCCGCCGTGGTGACCACGTACTTCAACATGCAGGACGAGCCGGAGGATGCGTCGTCGCACAGGAGGCGCCCGCCCAGGAAGCAGGTATACCTGGAGCAGCAGTATCTCCGACCGGAGCCGCAGGGCCTCGAGCCAGACTGGCACTGGGCGGACACGGCGCAGGCGCAGGCGCAGTCGCCCGCGAGGCTAAGGCGCGTGTCGGGCCTGCAGACGGAGACGATTCTCGAGGAGGACGATTCCGAGGAGTGATTTGCCATTACGTAGGACCGGCGGGCAAATATCACTGTGTTTTTTTAACTTTTTATAACCTGGGACCGAACGGCTGGGCATCGCGTCTAGAGCGCTTGTATTTTCTTTTCTACCAAGATACCCCGATTTAGTTCTTCAGCCTCTGCATTAACGCTAATCATAATGTACTTGACTATTTCTACCTCGTAGCACGGTCAAAGTATTCTTCATGATTTCGATGCATCAAAGCAGACAATCACTGACTGAATTTGGCCGCCCTCGTCTCGTTCGTCATGTGTTGCTCGCTATATACATCATGCCAACTCCATACGACTACACAATAATTCTATGCAGATATTCCTGTGTTTCTTGTAAACCATCCCCGTTCCTGTTCCAACGCCAGTCAATCTGCATAACTGTGCGGTACTTTCCCGTCTTGCGCATCGCCAGTGCAGGCCACGTCGGAATATCGTCAAAAGAAACACCCCCTACCGTCTGTACATGTCCCGGTCCATCCTCCTATCGTGGACCGGCGACCGACTTCGGCTCCTCGTCCTTCGATCCCATCGCTCATCCTTTCCGGTATATCGCCTTCGATCATCTCGCGGGCGCTCATCTCTCCGTCTGCCCGCCTCGTCGCCCCTATACGCAGGTATGTAGGTATCAATGTCTGCTCCTGCGCCTCCACCGCCTGGCCCTCTCCCAGGGGGACGGTTCCTCCTGTATTCGGGGTCATCTCTATTACCTGGTCTCTCCTGCGGCGGCGGTCGGCCTTGAGGCCCTCTATCTCGTTGCCATGCTGGCCGGCGTTCGTCTCTATACCGAGCGCCGTTAACACCGCTTCGGCCATATCCATCGCCACTGTTGAAGCCGGCCGTGGCATTGTTTGCGTCGGGGCCAATACCCACGGTGCCACCCTTTGGGGCTGGTGGTAAATTGGCTTTCCGGTCGTGAAACTTTCTCCTGTCTAGCTCATGGCTCTCTTCATAGGTGGGAATCTCTTCAGGCGCCATTGGAAGCGGTGCCATTTTAAAATATGAGTGTTCCAAGGCATCCACGGCGTTGATTCGTGTTCTCCAGTCTAGTTTCATGAGTTCCTTGAGTAGCGAAATGGCGCCAGACCCAAACCTATTAGGTCTGATTAGTCGCTGGATGCTGCTGGCACAATTCTGTTTCTACTTGGGGGAATGACATACTCTCTGAACCGACTCTGCAGGTTTCCAGGTCGAGGTCGGGGTGTCAACTTCTCCCCACCGGGAAGTTGTTTCCACCCGGGCATCACGTCGTCATTCGGTGAGCCCATCAGGTCCCATATCAGCTCAAGCTGGTGCGGGTCACTTTCGCCTGCGAGGATGGGCTTACCAACCAACATTTCCCCAAATACGCAGCTAGAAGCGTTTGCTAGTTAGTGTGTGGCCGCTTTTCATTATCCGAGGTATTGAAAACATACCCGACACCCCACACGTCAATAGCAGTTGTGTACTGTCTGAGTTGTAGCAGCAACTCGGGCGGCCTATACCACCTGGTCACGACCAAGCCTGTGTAATCGCGACGTCCATCGCCCATTGGTCGTCCAGCATGCGGCGTAGGGCCATCGTAGTGCCTGGCCAGACCGAAATCGGCAATTTGCAGAATACCATGGTTGTCTATTAGCAGATTGGCGGCCTTCATATCTCGGTGGAGAATGTGATTGTCGTGGAGGTAGCAAAGTCCCTGTAGTAGCTGCTTCAAGTAGCACTTGATCTGGGCTTCTTTGAAATGGACCGAGGGATTGTCAAGCAAGCCAGACAAATCGTGGTCCATGTAGGGAGTGGCCATGTACATGATTGGCTTCTTTCGCTTGTCGGCTGTTTGCAGAGGTTAGTTGGCTGGGGTCATTGCCAAGGCCGCGCTTTGTGGTAACGCACTTGATCGAGATGGATGCTCGACAGCCATATCCTCCAACTTCAGGATATTCTTGTGCGAAAGCAACTTGAGGAGCTTAATCTCACGAAGAGCGGTGATGGGAAACTGCCAAGGTGAATGACGGTTAGCATTTCCACGGTTGAATGATGGCGTTGAATGGCATGTCGGTTGCATACTCCGTCCTTTTCGTGGTGCATGATAATCTTCTTGAGCGCGACGAGGGCACCCGTCTTTTTCGATCGAGCGCGATGGACCTCACTGGCGAGAGTGTCAGCTTCTTGTCGACTCTACCGCAGACCATCTGACATGGCGCGCAGCCGACGGTATGATGCGTACCCGAATGTTCCCTCTCCCAGTTTCCCCTGTAGTTCGTAATCGGAGATGCGCGAACAGCCTTGGAAACTGTGCTTGGGCCTGAGATGATTGAGGGCAAAGGTCCGCGGCGAGGTGCCGTCGGGCGTAGTCTCTGGAGGCCGATCCATGGTGGGCAGTAGAATAAAGCGAATAAAGCCAGTTGGGAGGTTGATTCAAGCAATGAAGGAGGAGTCAGTCGTCTACCGACGGGCGACGCGTCGAGTTGGAGGGACAAGCGACTCAGGTTAGCATTGCAGCGGTGCGTCTGGCTCACGAGATGAACGCGAGTTGGGAATGATGGATCGATTCGGGGACAGTGCTGCGATGGTGGGACGGGGGCTGCGGATCGGTTGGGCTCGAGCAGCCGAGGACGGCGTGATGATACGAGTTTGAGGTTGATGGATTGGAAGGGCGAAAGTTGAGGATGGGCTTGCACGGAGGGCAGATGTCGATACTAGAAAGTACCTGTAGTGGCACCTAAATAGGACCGGGATCAGGTATCTTCTCGTATCATTTGCCTTTGTGAGCTGAGTACTTCATGATTGGGCACTTGATCACTTTTGCCTTTGTTAGCTGAACTTGGAATGTGATTGGGCACTACGGGTGTATGTGCGGGTGTTCCAGGCTGCTTCAGTGCACCAAGGCCGCACGTGCAGCAGCCTTGCCTCAAGATGCCACTGGCAAGCAGGCGCTAAATGCATCGACTTCTTCTGGACTCGGACTTCAAATTCAAATTGACAGACAGACTCGACAGGTCGAATGTCCCGTCCGGCCCCGCATCGACACCAACAGCGACCTGACGTCCGAATCTCGGTTATCCATGCACATCAACGCCAGCTGCATCACGAATCCCGGCACACAGTGACGTAGTCGCACAATGCCGTAATTGCAAGCTCGCGCATGCTGCGTCATGATATGATTTATTTCCAGGACATGTCACTTTTTTTTCTGTGCTACGCCACTCGATGTGCCGGGTTTGCAGAGCTGAATGAGTTCGACTTGCCCACCTGGCCAATGTGCGTCTGTTTGACACCAGCCTTGTCTCTTGCCCAAGTCAGTCGTTGGCGGACACGTCTGCATAATCTCTATCTGCAATGCAATGCAACAACTATGTCAACCGCACCGCAAACTCCATTATGAATAATAACCTCAGCAATGACAACTCTCACAGCATACAAGACAAGATACGCCAACACACCACGGTGATACAATGACAATCCCGTCGCCCTTGAACGAACACGGCATGAGTCCAGACCGCCCGCCGTCTCGCCGTCTCGCCGTCTCGCCGCAACACGCAAGCACAAGCAGCCAACAAGAAAAATTCAACTAGACCAAACAAGACCTGCTCTCGCGCCCCGAGTTTCCATTACCCCTACTAAACTGCAGCAGCGAATCACCATGCAGCTATGACTAAATAAACCGGGACTTTTCGCCCTGTCACCAGCCAATCCCGACGCATGCCGTGCCCGTCGGGGGGCCCGCTTGGCTCCGCGCCGCCTTTAGGGTCCGTCGTCGGAACTACTAGTCTGCCATGTATGTAGTTATCTTATCTTCTCAACTCGGATGCGCATCTCGTTTTTCTGTTTTTTCGATATGTGACTGCGGCCGCGGCGTTGGACATGCTCTTTATGCAGATTCGCTCGTTTTTGTTTTCGATTCCCTCTTACAATCCTGCTTCCACCCCCTCCGTTTTTCGTCTTGTGGCTCTCGGTGGCGTCTAACCGCCCTCGTATATAAACAGCACCTTTGCGCTTCACATCACGGCGCACACCACCCGTCCCATTTCTGCATACTCGGGCACACGTCGTGTATTTATACAGAAAACATCCTGCAATACGCTGGTCTGATACGGTGTAAGAGGTACTTTGCACGACGTTCCCTTCCGTCCCGTCGCCCAATATACTCGGGACACACGGCTGACAAGATAACCGCAGACTGTCCTCACTCGGCCCTTGTCCTTGGCCAGCATGTCGCCGTCGCAGACTATGGACGCGACCGCCGCGGGCCTGCCCGAGTCGCGCGTCCTCATCATCGGCACCGGAGGCACGATATGCATGCAAGAAGGGCCAGACGGGCTCGCCCCCAGCGAGGACTTTCTGGAGACGGCCATGGCGCCTCGGCCGAGCTTTAACGACATGTCAGGGCTGGATGGTTCGTTCTCACACACTCATGCCACAACATGACACGATACTGACATCACCACCGCCGACAGTCAAGCTCCAAGCCTACCAGGACGGCCAACTCACCTCCCTGGCGTCCCTCCGCACGCCGCCCACGGCCTACCACCGACACATCCGCTACTCGGTGCTGGAATTCACCCCCCTCCTCGACAGCTCGTCCATCTCGGCGGCCGACTGGGCCAGCATGGCGGCGTGCGTCAAGGAAAACTACCACCTCTTCGACGGCTTCGTCATCCTCCACGGCACCGACTCGCTCGCGTACACGGCGTCGGCGCTCTCCTTCATGATGAGCAACCTGGGCAAGCCCGTCATCCTCACGGGGTCGCAGGCGCCCATCTTTGCGCTGCAGTCCGACGCCGTCGACAACCTGCTCGGGTCGCTCATCCTCGCGGGCACCTTTGTCATCCCCGAGGTCGGCCTCTTCTTCCACCACAAGCTGTACCGCGGCAACCGCACGACCAAGGTGTCCTCGGCGGCGTTCGAGGCCTTCGCCTCGCCCAACTGCGACCCCCTGGCCAAGGTCAACGGGCTCGGCGTCACCGTCAACTGGCCGCTGGTGCTGCGGCCGACGAGCATCGCCGAGTTCCAGATCCAGCGGCACCTCGACACGGCGCACGTGGCCTGCGTCCGCGTCTTCCCCGGCATCAAGCCCGAGATGGTGGACGCGGTGCTGCGGCTCCCCGGGCTGCGCGGCCTCATCCTCGAGACGTTTGGCATGGGCAACGTGCCCGGCGGCGGCGGCGGGCGCCTCACCCAGGTCCTCGAGGCCGCCGTGCGCCGGGGCGTCGTCGTCGTCAACGTCTCGCAGTGCGTGTCGGGCTTCGTGTCGCCCGTCTACGCGCCCGGCACGCAGCTCGGCCGCGTCGGCGTCATCTTCGGCCTCGACCTCACCGCCGAGGCCGCCCTCGCCAAGCTCTCCTACCTGCTCGCCCTGCCCGGCCTCGCCCCCGCCGACATCCCCGACCGCTTCGCCCGCTCGCTGCGCGGCGAGATGACCGAGATTGCCCACCCGACCTTCTCCCACCCCTCGGCGCCCCTCGAGGCCAGCGCCGCCGCCCGCCTCACCCCCGCCGAGTCCGCCTTTGCCGCCCTCGGCTACGCCATCCGGGGCGACGAGCTGCCCGTCGTCAAGCAGCTGCTCGAGGGCGACGGCGGCCGCCTCCTCCACACCGCCGACTACGCCGGCAACACGCCCTGCCACCTCGCCGCCGTCAACGGCAGCACCGACATCATGCTCGAGCTGCTCCACCGCGGCGCCAGCGTCCACGAGAGGAACCGCGCCGGCAACTCGCCCCTGTTCCTGGCCACCCTGTCCGGCAACGAGGCCTGCGCCGAGCTTCTGAGGTCCGCCGGTGCCCATTTGAGCATGGACGAGATTGAGAGGGGGTCCTTGGCCAAGCATTGTCCATAGAAGAGTACATGACTGCCATGATTAATATATTTTACTTGTCTTAATACATATATAAATATATTCATTTACCTTGAAATATTGTAATATTATACTTATATATCAGCCAGGTAATTATTGAGTAAAACGTGAGCGCACCTAGCAAAAAAAGTAAGCCCGCCGAGCAACCTACACGAAACCCACCGGCGTGCACAGAACATGGCACATCCAGCGACACTTGGCAACACTCGGTAAACAATTACATCATAAAACATGCTATTTTCTACCGCCTTTTCTGGCTGTCTCGTCTTACATTCACCTTGCCCGATACACCCCCTATCCAGGCCAAGGCCCCAACATGGCGCCAAAAGTCATACATGTTAATCAGGAATCAGCGTCCGACCAGTGCTTCGTGTATCCAGAGCCTCTACTCCTTCTCTTGCTCGCTTGGCTACCAGGTACATATCCTTGGACAGAACCACGGTGGGTAACACCTTGACGCCGTCATGATTCAGGGATTGCCGCCTCCATCTTGCTACAAATGGTATATTCACACTTCGTTGATTGCTTCGTTTATCGAAGGAAGAGATCCCCAACGCCGTTCCTTAGCGATCTGGTTCTATCCACGTGATCCAGGCCGAGATAATCATCCTCGGTTGCCGCCATGGTCCATAATTCATCGTCTGCCATAGTCAGCAGCGGCAATTGATATTTTCATGGCAGTGTCACTTACCGTCATTGAGGTACTGGGGTTTTGAGTAATTTGCCCGGCGGACCACCGCAAACTTAATCTTTTCAAAACTCTTGCCTTTGAACCCGGTGCGCTTCTCAAGACGCTTCTTGGTGTCTGCGAATTTTTCGCCCTAACAAGTGTCGGGGTCAGTGGCTTGCTGAATATCACATTCATTCACTGCTTTATCCACACTTACCTCTACGAGAAGGAATTTGAATGGCACGCCGTGGACTCTATTCACTTCGTTCTGGAAGTGAAAGACTTGTATGAAGTTCTCCTCGGGTGCTACGGTCTCCTCATTCGGCATTCGCTCGGCGTAGATTTGTGTGTACTCGTTGAGGTTCATAATCGGATGCTCTCTTCGTGGTTCACGATAAAATCTATTTGAGCTCGTCTCATACACTCTTATCTTGCCGCCTTCCTGTTCGTCGGGTATTTGGGCCTTCTTCACCAGAGCCTGGATCAGATCGTCAATGGTGCCGGTTTTTGGAACGAGCAAATCAAAGTGATCCTAGAGACAGCTGTTAGTGAATTCAGGTGCTGCTGGGGAAATGCTTGACCGCGCATATACCTCTCTGGTAATACCCTCGCTCAACCAAGTGAGCTTGATACTCTTCTTGGTATCTAGCTCCGCCAGGCTCATCTCCAATACCTCAAAGTAGAACGCGTCTGCCCTTTGGCTAGAATTGAGACTATTTCCCATTGGGTTTAATATCTGCCTCAGGCTGGGGTTTGTTCCACGTCGGACCGGCGCTTTCGGGTTATTAGTCGTGGCGTTGACGGTCCACAGGCGAATATGCGTGGACGGAATACTCAAGTAAGAGCCAACCCGCTCCGACAATGTGTCATAGTTAATCTTCGAGTTGAGAACGAGATCAAATGGCGGATACTGGTTCTGGTCGCATCTGCTTGGGTGGGGGTGAAACCTGACAGTTCTCTTGTTCTCGAGGAAGTCGTAGTATTCTCTGGCGTCCTCAAATCGCTCCAGTGATCGAATACTAAATTATTAGTACCTATAAGATAGTCTGCAGAAGGGGCAACTTACGGTTCTTGCAGGGGCTTGTCTTGTGCCTGTGCTTGTTCTGCTGAGCGTCCGGATGAACGCTGGAAGCAAATAATATCACCATCCTGCAGCTCGGCAACTTTGAGGGTCTGCTTGGCTTTCAGGGGTTCAATCATCGTCGGTTTGATTTCCTAGGCAGGTCAGTATAATACTCAGACTCAGAAATTGGCTTTGAAGTTGGAAGGCCATACCTCCCATAAAAGAAGCTTCTCCTCCGCAGGTAGCTTGTCGCCCCAGCCCATCTTCTCAAGGATCTGAGGAACCAAGTCCTCAACCTTTTTCTCCTTGCCAATGTAGACATGGCCAACGCCGTGTAGACTTTGAGCATCAGCGTCAAAGTGCTTTAGAAACAAGAGAATAGTATCATTTTTAACGACTACACCATTTGCCTGGCTCTGGTACGATGGCCAAATAGGCTCCCCATTAGAGTTCAGCTGGTCAGCAACTTCAGCCCAGACTCGCAGGCTAGTGTCCCGGTGTGCGGCAGACCGGCTGTATATTTCTTCAACTGTTGGGCGGAGGTCCATAATGGGCTGATCGGGCCGGATGGTCTTATTTTGTCGATTCACCATCAGCCAGAGTCGCACCTTGCGAGGATCCTGGCCCAAGTCATCTGCAACCTGGCTGGTGAACTCTTCCATGGTCATTGCGCGGCGGACTCGGTACGATCGTGGCGAAGCCTCATCAGGCTCCTGGTTCGAGTCAAAGGTACACAGGTCGGTAGCGCCATAGTGACGGAAGGTGTCGTCTGTAATGACCTTGGCCATCATGTAAAGGTGTGCTTCCCGCTGCTCACGTCTACGTGCCTCTTTGAGGGCGTTTTCTTCTTCAAATCGTTGTTCTGCAAAGATGTTAGTCCATTTTTGAATCTTCTGGGACAATAGGAGACCTACGCAGATGGTGAGGAATATCATTCTTCTGTACACTGCACAGAATCTTATCAAGCTTCGACCGGCGGATATAGACCAACATATATGCGCTGTTCTGGCGAATGATTGGGGCCTTCTTTTGGAGCGGAGCACGAGGATACCCGTTGGGAGTTCTGTACTCTCCACCGAAATTATCCTCCAGAACCTCTCTAGACGTGGCACGCGTGACTTTGTCGTCGTCGTATTTGTAGAACCATCCATCCTTTTCCGGCTTAATAAATGCATAGTAGTGTCCGGCGTTCAAATCACCACTGTGGACGAGTACTCCGTGAAGCTGGTATGTCCAGGGTTCGGACTTGTCGGCATCCTCTATCAGATAAGGTGCGGCATCAAAGACGTCGGGAAATTCATAACGGTCATTGATCTTCATCATCATATCCCTCTGAATATCGTACTCGAATCGCTTGAGCTGCAGGTGCAGAACGTCAGGAAAACTGGTAAAGATGACACCCTTGTTGGCATCCTGCAGCTTGTGCTCGTCTCCGGCAAAGTACTGGTTTTCCCCGTCCATCTTTTCAACCTGAATATAATCCTGGAAACTTTCCAGCATGTTCTTGTTGCCACTGACATTGAGCTGAATATCCCAAAAGTCCTCGATGCGGCTCGATTCGTAGTCCACGTTGATACATGAAATGTACGTTTTGATCTTGCCGCTGAACATTTCTGGGAGAACGTTTTCGGCCTTGGTGCCCTTCATCTTCTCCTCCATCCGTTCCATCAGTTTTCGTGACAATTCTTGAACATCTTGCTGTTCAAAAATGTGGCGCGTCTCCCATCCGAATGATTTCGTCAATTCGTTGGTCCCAACTGCTTGATCGGAGGTCTGAAGTTGATAGAAAAGCCGCTGGAGCGTGTAGGCAGAGTTTTGCATGCTCTCGTCATTTTCTGTCGGAATTTCGTAGACAGCCTAATAAAGCCTGTTAGTTACACAAGGAAGCATGGAATGGCCGGGGGCAGAAATCTACCTTGCGGAAGGCATTGGTAAAATAGAGTGACTGGAGCAAACTGTTCAGGTAGCAAGTGGCACCTTGGTTTTTCAAACCGACGTAGCCGGTTTCCTTCTTGGAGTCATAGTTGATAAAGTTGTGCCACAATACACCAGTCTCGTCCTCCACAACACGGACGTAGGCCGTTATGTTTGCTGCGTCATTCTCGCACAAAGGCCGCGTGCCGTGCTCCCAGGGTACGTTGAACATTCTTCGATGCTCGACAAACCTAGTGAAGCCCCAATCGCCCTCCTCCTTGGTGAATCTGTGGTGCGCGGCATGATGAACGTATAGGCTTGGGTCGTTGGGGTTCCAAAGGACAAGAGCAAATTGTACACAGGCGCTCCAGTTGTCTGGCACAGCGTCGGCTTCGAAACCATGTTCCAAGTAGATGGAGCATTGGTCGGTGTTGTTGCCGTGGGGGAAGAGGAGGATTCGCCTGTGACATCAAGAGCAAGTGTTAAGATATGCATATATTCCGTCACGGACAGAAAACAAGTCCCAGACGGTATTTACTGGGGTCTACACGTACCATGGGTAGCCACCAGCCTGGAAGATGGGGCCATGCTCCCTCTTACCCATACTCCTCCAATTCTCGACAGTCCATGTGTTGTTGGCGTCTTCTAGGATCTTGGGTTCGTCTAGTAACGGGGGCAGGACGAGTTCTCTCATGGCCTCATCTAGAGTGCCACATGTCAGTTGGATTTGTACCATTTATAGAGAATCGTGGCATTGTGCGGTTGAGGGGCAAACATACAGTCGTTAGCCAGCGGAAGGTCTTGGAGTTGTTGATCTGAATCGCCCTGTTCGAGGCCGTCGGGATTGATGATGGCGACAGAGTCCTTTTCTGGAGCATTGGCAACACCGACGTAGTCGTCCGTGTCCACCACCATCTCATTGGGGGAGTCAACATTGTAGCTCTGTCGGTTTCGACGATGTTTGTTAGTTTTTTTTCTCGAGTGAAGACGCAAGTCACGGTCAGGAAAATCCATGGTGGGCTATGCAACAATGGAATAGGACAGCGGCACAGCAGGACCGCGACAATATCGTGTTACAGTTGAATGATGGTGCGCCACAAAAATTCAAGAAAAAGGTCTGGCATAGGGATAGATAAAACCGGGCATCAAAACATGTCGCAGCAGCTGTCGCAGCAACCTTCGCTTGCCGGCCCCGAGGCAGATGCTTGACTGTGCAATAAACGCAGGCTCAGGCCTGGTGATGGGGTTCTTTGTTCTGATTGAGTGCCAGGGAGGGTAGTAGTACAAATGCCACCGGGTCAATGTCTATAAAGCGACATGGAGGGTCACGATGCCAATGGCGAAGAAGCCAAGGCTGAGGGCATCTGAGACGAGGTTGCCCCCCGATTTGATCAGAGACCACGGCCAGCTGTCGCAGCTGTTCGGTCTCACCACGGTTTGAAGAAACATTGCAGGTGCCAAAGTACTCGAGTACCAAATAAAACCCGGAGGGAAGGTGCATCGCAGGAGAAGGCATGTTCGCTCGGGGTTCTCTCTTACCATCTTGACGGCAGCCAGCAGGACGAAGCCAGCTCAAGCTCCACACAGCTCCCGGATCAAAAAGCTCGCACCGCCAGAAAAACACAACTGGCAGACACGGTCCGCGCAGACAAAGAGCGTGGACGCCAGACTACCTGGGTATCCGGGTCGATGGAGGAATTGGATGCTGCAATCGTGCGTGTCAGTACTGGTGAGGCTCAAGATAGCCTTTCCGGCAACGCGGCAACGGTTCGGTGGACGGCGTACGGCGGGGAAGGTGCGGACGGAGTGCCTGCACAGGTGGTGGTTGTGAGCGACACGTTGTACTCGCTCGTGCTTTTGCGTGTGTGCGATATTCCGTGTGTGTAATGTGCGTATGCTTGGACGGGTTGGACGGGTGGCAAAGGGCGGCGGCAGCGGCGAACACGACGACGTCAACGTCAGGCAGACAAATCGACATGCAGCACCAACCAGCTTTGCGGCGCCAGGATGCGGATCCGTCACTCTGTACCAACCGACAGAGCTGCTCGAGTCTGCACAAGTGGGTAACAGACACACCCGAGTTGAAGTGGACTGGACGGTGGGCACGCCAGGCAGGAAGGGGGGCAAAACCTCGGTCTCAAATTTCAATGCGGGGTGCCAGAGAGACAGCACCTTCTCTATTGTGCAAGAATACAGTCGAGAGACGTGACGAGCACCGTCAAATAAACAATGGAACAATCGGGAGCATGTGCAGCTGAATATTCGACATTGGCGGCTTGGAAGCCTCCTTTGCTACTGCGACGGGTGGCGAGGCAGGGATGTATCCCTCAGTTTGTCAAGGGCTTGACTTGAGTTTCATGGCAAGGAGGGCTCTTGGTAAAGATATGATGAGGCAAAGCCAAACTAGTGGGACTCAACAACAACGGGCCGAGCTGTACGCAGTAAGGGCATGATGGCTGACGAATATGGTCCAGTCATGGCCAGATAACAATAGACCACCTCAAGCCGAGAGACGTCTTTCACTGTCATGGCGCGGGAAACATTCTGGAAGTTCTAACCAAGTATCCCACTAACAATAACGAACGGTTGTCTTAGACTCTAGCTCGGCGCCACCCATGACGTCTCCCTGTATCAGAGCTCAAGAGTGGCTTCACGATAGCAGAGGAAGGCCGCCAGGCAACCCGAGTTCCTGACTTGGTGAGCCTGTTCATTTTGACTATAATGCGCCTGAAGGACTCGGCATATGCTGTCCCATTGACACTTGTGGAAGGACTCAAGAGAGATTAGGGTTTTGTCATTGAGGGACGGAAACAACGGGCTACCGGTGTCGATGCCGGGAAGGCTATGTCGGATGCAAACATGCCACAATCCTGGGGGATATGGTCTTATACTCCTCCACAAGGGATGGACGGTTATGCACTCCGCACCGGACGAGACGCCGAAAGCTGAAACCCATTGATGCTGCAGTGCGCCACCTACAATGAGCACTTGGCTCGTAAGCTCACTCAACGCCATTGAGCTCCTCGGCCATGGCTTGATGTTGACAGAGCTGAAAGACAATCCCTAGAGAGCAGGATGATGAGCCGCGGCCGAAGAGCCTTGGGAGCTATCAAGGCAGTAGTTTGAAGCAATATCAACTACTCGGTGCGCCCAAGTCGTAGTACAACGCCTGGTCGAGAGGGACGGGAGACGGGAGACGGAAGACGGTTCTCTATCCACAAGCTTCATCAGTTGAGTGCATCTGAGCATCGAGTTTAACTGCACAAGAGCTCTATGCAGTCTGGTTTGACATGTGCTGGCAGCAACTTGACAGGACGAACAATGGAGACTTGGAACTGGATACTTTACTTGATAGCGCGTACATTCAGTGTCACCCTGCGAGTGGGCGAGGCCTGTCACATGTCTGGTGTCTGCGCATGTGGTGTGTCGACGCTCAACTCAGCACGTAGGCCGTGCCTATGACTGGCATTTCGCGCCTGGGCTAGCACACCGGCTCCCGAAACTGGCACCACGATGGGCGACCCCCTCTTCAGAATGCGCCAATCCCGCGAATGAGCCGCCCGTCGCTCTGCCACTAGCCATGCAGCCTCTGCACCCCATGCGACCACCGCTTGTTGGCCTGCAATGGCTCTGGCCCTGCAGCTCGCAGGTGCCGGGTGCTCTTGTGCCCTTTAATGTTGCTTGTGCCCGTGTGCCCCCGATACCGCTCCTGGTCATGCCATCAAGCATCGCCAGCAAAACCAGACATGCCACTATGCAAAACTAGCTGCAACTCTGCCATGCATAACTCGAAGCATTGTGCAAGCATGTGAGCCTTGCAAGCCCAACCCCAAAGTTGGGCCGTGCCCAAGTTGTGGCCTTCTTGGGCGAAGCTTGACTGACTCTCCAAACGTGCTGCAGATGACGGACAATGCCATCTACATGCGAACTAGGCAAAGTCCTGCTCCCGCCGATGCCGTCAAATTCTCGTCTGGCCCAACTTCCCCGTCCCAAGCTGCAATCTCCCTCATACACCATCGCGGTAGCAGCCTCGAACAGGCCGACGGCTTGAAAAGCGTCTCTCGTGCACATACAATAATAATCCTCCCGTCCCCAAGCTGAAGCTCCCACCCTCGTTTCTGCCCTGTGGGCCCCTCCGATCTGGGCACACGACCGATCTCGCTCACGAGCTCCCCAGTCCAACAATTTACAAAGCACCGGACCCCATATCTACGTCGCAAGAGAGACGGAAGAACAAACGTAAACCGTGCTCCCTTGACATCACCCAGTCGCTGCATGGAATTCCAATCATGCTCTCCACCGCGCTGTGCAAGACCGGCAAACGGTGCGCATTGAGCCGCGGCGCCGTGCTCGCAGCAGCAGCCAGAAGCCCAGTCACCGGGCCGGAATGCACGTTACCGTCGCCTTCGCCAATCTGCCGACGACATGGGCAACAGCAACAATCGCGCAAAGCCAGCAACGGCACCTGGAGGCCGGTATCTGTTCTGGACGAGTATGTGCGCCCACAGGAATGATCCCCCCGCCTCGTCAGACACAAACCCTAACAGGAACATGTATAGATGGGTGGCGAGAGAAGCAAGGCCCATCAGCTTGCGACAGCTCATGGTCTTTGGCCGCTCTCTGACCGAGTCGCGCCTCATCAGCTCAGCAAACTATGTCCGGACAGAGCTCCCAGCCAGGCAAGTTGCAGCCGAATCCCTCTCCCCTCCAGGAAAATTGCACTTGATTTGCTGACGGCTTCCCTTGCTTGCAGAATAGCACATCGTCTCCGAGACATGCAACAGCTGCCCTACGTCGTCGTAACCAATCCGCACATCAGCGAGGTCTACGACCTATACTACAACGCATTCGACCAGCTCCGCAAACTCAAAGAAATCAAGACCCTAGAGGACAACGACAAGCTGTGCGACATTATCCGCCACAACCTCAAGAGCCACTTGACCGTGATTCCCAAGCTGGCAATGGGCATCCTCGAGTGCGGCGGGCTCATGGACCCCCAAGCACTCGACAAATTCATGAACACCATTCTCAGATCCGTAAGTCTCGCCGCCCTCTGAAACCCCACGCTATACCTTGCTCCTCGCCTCCAGGCTCACTCACACACCCCCCGTCTCCAGCGAATATCCCGCCGCGTCATCGCGGAGCAACACCTCTCCCTCACCGAAACCTTCAACTCCCCCTACTTCTCGCCCGGCGCGAAGCTCTCCGAGTCCGACTTCATCGGCGAGGTCTTCATCAAATGCTCCGCCAAGGACGTCATCACGCGCTGCGCCAAAGCCGTCACGGCCCTCGCCCGCTCCACCAACGGGCCCGACGCCCCCATCCCCGACGTCAACGTCGTCGGCCACCTCGACGCCAGCTTCCCCTACATCCTGAGCCACATCGAGTACATTGTCGGCGAGCTCCTCCGCAACTCGGTCCAGGCCGTCATTGACCGGCACCAGCGGCAGCCGGACCCCTCGTCGCCCCCTCCCCCCGTCGAAGTGACCGTCTGCGAGGCCCAGGAACACGTCATATTCCGCATATCCGACCGCGGCGGCGGCATCCCCCGCGCCGAGCTGCCCTACCTGTGGTCCTTCTCCAAGGGCCCGCAGTCGGCCAAGCGCCTCGAGAACCTCGGCCAGGTCCCCCGCATGGCCGCGACAATGGAGGAGCTCCATGTGGAAGACGAGCTCGGCCGCGCCGACCTCAAGGCCCCCGCCGCCTACCAGAGCTCCCTGTCCTCGCTGACCAGCCGGCCTCCCAACCTGCGCCTGGGCATGGGCCTGCCGCTGAGCAGAGTGTACGCGGAGTACTGGGCCGGCAGCCTGAATCTGCACAGCCTGGAGGGATACGGCGTCGATGCGTTCCTGCAGATATCCAGACTGGGCAATAAGAATGAACAGCTCGTTACAAGGGCAAGCATGGACTCTGTTTAGCCTCTGGCGGCTGCTGCGACTTGTATCGAATCTTGCTAGCATAAAGCATGCGCACGTGAGTATGGTGTATTTTCGACAATATTTTTCGGGACGGCGGAAATGAGCAATTCAGGACATTTTGGCATACCTGGTTATTAGTAGCGGTCAAATTTGTCTAGCCGTGTGTACGGTTCTTCATCTTTTTTTATTTCGTCTTTTTTTTGGCAAACGAGACCATACGAGCATGGAGTTGGAGTTGGTGAGCTAGGGCATTTAATCTACACACAGTTGGACCAAGACAGCATGTCACATATACATACAAAAGGCCTTGACACTTCGCAACCGGCTTCAAGTCGGATATAAACGAAAGCTGTGATTGAATTACCTCCGCCAAGCAAAGCACTCGGCTGACAGAGAAACGGTGCTGGAGTATAAAACGAGGAAATAAAATAAGGCTGCATGATCAAAAAAACAGCTTGCGTTGCACGCGCCCCTGTCTGTTTGCAAATAAAAGAGGCCTTACTTTTCCGTGACTGCCCAGTCTATCATAGACCTGACACAAAGAGTCATAGAGCCCCCGAGTTGCTGCAAGGACCGCTCTACTGAGCAACGACCGAAAGCGTAACTCGAGGGCTCTCTGAAACTCTTCCGTAGTACTAGCAGGTTACCTTGGTATCCATAATGCCCTCTTCCTCATCCACCATGGTATTCGTTGGCCATGACCTTGTTAAAAAAAGAGAAATTATAGTCATTTCAGACTCCTGCTCCCCAAACACGCATCAGACCAGCAAAAGAGAAGATTCTGGCTTGTCCGACATTAAAATTGCCTTATTGTGAAACCATGTGTGAATTAGCGGCGACCATGACTGCGGACAGCACTGCCCTGCATCTGCTCGAGCTCGGTTTCCAGCTGCTTGATCTGGGCGTGGGTCTGTTCGAGATCCTTGTTGAGGCGGTCGCGCTCGGCAATAAGCTTCTGCTCCCACTGTCGGAACCGCTGCTCTTCGATCTTGACCTGTTCGGTGAAACGCTTGCGCAGAGCCTCTTCCTCTTCCTTGAACTTGGGGTTGTCCAGCTTGCGGGGTCGGGCCTCGCCGAATTTACGAGTCTCCATCTGCTGAGCACGGTACGCCTCGTAGTGCAGCTCTTCCGTAGTGTGAATAAGGTCGAGCATATGGGTTCGGATCAAGATGGAACGAAGCTTCTTGAAGTCGCAGTGGTCCTCGTTCTCGACCTCGGCAACACCCCACGAGTACTGACGACCCTTGACAATGCGGCCATCATTGGTCTTGACGTCCTTCTCGGAACCGATGACGGCAAAGGGCATAGCAGCCATGAGGCTTCGGGCGTGTTGAACAGCAGCTTCGTCATCCTCCTCGATAGGGGGTTGATAGATCTTGATGTTCTGGGCTTCAATAACAGAGATGATCTAGGGGGGGTGGTTAGCAGATAGGATGGGAATAGAGTAGGCTGTCGTGTATTATCATACTCTCTGCTTGAACTTGGCCAGGTCAGCAGGGCTCAGCGTGTCGGCCTTGGCAATAACAGGGATCAAGTTGACCCGAGAGCAGAGTCTCTTCATGACTTCAATGTCGAGAGGCTTCAGGGTGTGGCCGGTCGGGCGGATGAAGTACAAGCAGGCGTGGACTCGAAGGTCAATCTTGTCCTGGCGGCGAGGCTGCTGCTCCTGAAGCATGTAGGATTCGTGTTGGTCGTCGAGGAACTCGATAATGGGCATCCAAGAGTCACGGTTGTTGACATAGTCGCCGAATCCAGGAGTATCAATGACGGTCAGACGGACTAATTCACGGTTAGTCGTCGGGACGTGATGCTGCTTTGCTAGGTTACTGCATACCCTTGAAGAACTTCTCCTCGAGCTCAGCCTTGGTGATCTCAATTTCGACAGTCTTGTCGACTTGCTTTTGGTGTCGGCGCTTGTGGTCGGCATAGTTCTTGATGGTGGTGGAGAAGAGGGTGTTGATGAAGGTGGTCTTGCCCAAGCCAGACTCGCCAGCAACCTACGACTTCCGTCAGTATTCACCCGATCAACAGATGATCGAGAAACTAGTGGGAGCCCCTCTGTTCGTTTGATAAACATACCATAATGGTGAAGCTGGCTCCCCGCTTGGCGACAATTTTGTGTCGCTGGTTGGGGAGGTTGGCAATGCCAATCGGTGAGGCGCTCTCAGCAGCTGGTGCCATCTTGAAGACGCGTGAGAAGGAACGGTGTATGGGAGGAAATCGGCCTTGAAGCTAACAATAAGCACACAGTCTAAGGCAGCTGTGAAAAGAACGAGGAGACACCAGAGGTCAAAGACGGGACCGAATTGAAGGATGGAGTCGGAGGTGGGTGGAGGTTGTAGCTTGATAGATGCAGTCGATGTACTTACTCCGTACTTCAGGGGCATCAAGCCTGACCAGAAGGGGGGGTTGCTGGTCAGAAGTCCTCAAAGTGCCCGCCCCATCTCATCAATCAACCCATCCATTGACAGCCCCCAGTCCAAAATTACGGCCCTTGGTTGGCTGGCTGGAGCCATGGCCACACGGGGGGCAGGTGCTGGTCCCCTTTTCCTTCCCAACGGTGCCCATTACGACGCGGTCGGTGCACCATGCTTGTCCCAACAAGGCTTAGATCTCAGACCAGGAACAATTATCTACCGGACCCTCCATTCTGTGGCCACCCAGGCACGTAGCAAGTTGCAAGTTTTCTAAGAAAAAGTAGGACTGCGTTATCGATAAGGCCAAATGTCGAAATTTTGGTTTCATAGTTCAATGGCATCTTCAATCTCTATGGCCTTGTAGGTAGATGGCAACAATGAAGACTGACTTCAAGGTAAGAAGTATATTTTTCTCTTTTTTCCTTTACGGAATCTCATCCGTTGCAATTTTTTCTTCTTCATCAGGACATGGCCCTAACTTGCGCAGTTCTCGAACTTGCTGGGTACTGTCTACTGCCAGGGCAACTTACTCTTCAGTCCCGATGGCACCCATCTCTTCTCACCAGTCGGCAACCGAGTGACCGTATTTAATCTAGTAGAGTAAGTATTATCCATGCGATCAATACTCATGTCAATTGGCCAATAGTCTAACGCCGTATTGCGCAGAAACAAGTCTCACACGCTACCCTTTGCCCATCGAAAAAACATTTCACGAATCGGTCTCACACCCCGCGGCAACCTCCTCCTCACTGTTGACGAAGATGGCCAGGCCATCTTAACAAACGTCCCTCGCCGAATCCCCATATACCACTTTTCTTTCCGATCAAAGGTCACGGCTCTCTCATTCTCTGCCTCGGGAAGACACTTTGCGGTTGGGCTGGGACGCGTGATCGAAGTTTGGCACGTGCCGTCGACGCCCGATACCAATGCCGACGGCGAGCTCGAGTTTGCACCCTTTGTTAGACATCATAGACATACTGGACATTTTGATGACGTGCGACACATCGAGTGGTCAAGCGACTCTAGATTCTTCCTCACAGCATCCAAGGATCTGACGACGCGGATATGGAGCTTGGATCAAGAGGAAGGCTTTTCTCCTACCGTCTTGTCAGGCCACAAGCAAGCCGTCCTCGGTGCTTGGTTCTCCAAAGATCAGGAAATAATCTATACTGTTAGCAAAGACGGCGCTGTGTTTGAATGGCGCTACGTTAAGCCCATCAATCCCAAGGAAGACGAAGAGATGGGCGAGACGGATGACGATTCGAATATGCGATGGAGAATAGTGCAGAAGCATTACTTCATGCAAGGAAGCGCCCATGTAAGATGCGCCGCCTTCCATCCCGAATCAAACCTCCTGGTGGCCGGGTTCTCCGACGGCATCTTTGCGCTGTACGAAATGCCCGACTTTAACAACATTCACAAACTCAGCATTTCCCAAAACGACATTGACTTTGTCACGATCAACAAGAGCGGAGAGTGGCTGGCATTTGGGGCTTCAAAACTAGGACAACTGTTGGTATGGGAATGGCAATCAGAATCGTATATCCTGAAGCAGCAAGGTCATTTCGACTCTATGAACTCTCTGGTGTACTCACCCGATGGGCAGCGAATCATCACCACGGCAGACGACGGGAAGATCAAGGTTTGGGACATTGAATCCGGATTCTGCATAGTAACATTTACGGAACACACCAGCGGCGTGACAGCGTGCGAGTTCGCCAAGAAGGGAAATGTACTCTTTACGGCCAGTTTGGACGGTTCGATTCGGGCGTGGGATTTGATCAGATACAGAAACTTTCGTACATTCACCGCGCCGACGCGACTCTCATTCTCATGTATGGCTGTCGACCCCAGTGGTGAAGTCGTTGCCGCAGGCTCCCTTGACTCTTTCGACGTCCACATTTGGTCTGTACAGACCGGCCAGCTTCTCGACCAAATGTCGGGTCACGAAGGTCCCGTCTCAGCATTGGCATTCTCACCAAACGGTGATTCTCTGGTCAGTGGCAGCTGGGATCGCACAGCACGAATTTGGTCCATCTTCAACCGGGCCCAGACGAGCGAGCCCCTTCAGCTACAAGCAGATGTGTTGGACATTGCCATACGACCAGACTCATTGCAGCTGGCCATCTCCACACTCGACGGACAGTTGACGTTCTGGTCCATGGCCGATGCCGAGCAGGTTGCTGGCTTGGACGGTCGCCGCGACGTTTCAGGTGGACGCAAATTCAGTGACCGCCGGACGGCAGCCAACGTCCAGGGAACCAAAAGCTTCAATTCCATTCGATACAGCACCGACGGGAGCTGTCTTCTCGCAGGCGGCAACAGCAAGTACATTTGCCTCTACTCGGTAACCACCATGGTGCTTCTCAAGAAGTTTACCGTCAGCGTGAACCTCTCCCTGTCCGGAACCCAAGAATTTCTCAACAGCAAACACCTCACGGAAGCAGGGCCCGTGGACGAGCTAGACGACCAAGGCGAGGCGTCGGACCGCGAGGACCGCGTCGACAGGAGCCTCCCTGGTTCAAAACGTGGCGGTGACCCGTCTGCGCGCAAGAAACTGCCAGCCGTTCGCGTCAACGGCATCGCCTTTTCACCGGCCGGAACCGCCTTTTGCGCCGCGTCAACGGAAGGTCTACTCATTTACAGCCTCGACAACACGGTTCAATTCGATCCGTTTGACCTCAACATGGAAATCACGCCCGCGTCGACACTGCACGTTCTCGAATCCGAAAAAGACTACCTCAAGGCCCTCGTCATGGCATTCCGTCTCAACGAAGCCGGCCTCATTAAGCGTGTGTTCCAGGCCGTGCCCCCGTCAGACATTGCCCTCGTAGTAGGGGATTTGCCGACGGTCTACGTGTCGAGATTATTGCGGTTTGTGGCGGCGCAGACTGAAGAGTCGCCACACATTGAGTTTTGTCTCTTGTGGATAAAGGCACTTGTCGACAAGCACGGCAAGTGGCTAACGGCAAATAGGGGCAAGATGGATGTTGAGCTGCGCGTTGTCTCGCGCGCCGTCTCCAAGATGAGGGACGAGATCAGAAGGTTGGCAGATGAAAACGTCTACATGGTTGACTACTTGTTGGGACAGGCAGGGAAGGAGGTTGCCATGGGCAAGGGCGTCAAGATGGTAACGGGGGGCGAGAGAATGGCCATTGATGCGGCGGACGGGGAGGAGGACACTGACGACGAGGACGAGTGGATAGGATTAGAATAGGCGTTTGTGTAAATACCATTGCAAAAGCTCGCTTGGGGCCATATTTTGTCGAGCCCGGTGCTGCGAATCGCGGCGCTACGTGACGTGTAATATCCATGGACGACAAACGTTGATTGCTCGGGTTACATTCGCAAACGAAGCCGGCAGGAAGTCAGCCTATGCAGCACACGGCAGCGCTCAAGCATGCGGCTGTTGTTCAGCGGATAGCCTACATGTCATGTTCCACGCGGATTCCGGTCGGCTCGCGTCTTGGCCGCAAACGCGAGGGTGTACAGAAACGTGGCCAGCGGAGAAGAGACGAAAAGCCAGCAGGTTGACGGCGGTGTCACCAGACGAGGACTGATGGCCAATACTAGTACTATCCCCGCGGTAGAACGAACATTGAAGCATCGTACCCCACAAACAGGCCCGTCGCCTCCGCATCACGGCTTGTCAAAACCCGGGGCCGCGAACCAATCCGCTCGTCTCGGTTGTCATTCACACCATCCGCAGCAAAAGTGCCAGACGGGCAAAGCACACCTCCCACACGCGACATTTGTCAGCGCCCGCACGTTTGTGCACGCCGTGCCCAACGAAAGGGTCGCATGAGCCGCATCGCAGGGGACACGATCACAACGGCCTCGGGAGCAGGCGTGACAGCCACACGGATTGCCCTCCGCCTGTTCCGAAACCGCGCCATCGCCAGCGGCAACTTGTATAAATCGCGGCGGGATCCGTGGGAGGCCGCGCCGACCCCGACGGGCCACATGCACTCGGTGTCGAGGATCGCGTCCAGGACGACGGCACCTTCACCGTCAGGAATAACCACCCGCGCGTATTCGATCCGGTCTGGGCTCCGCGCCAACATGGCTTCGGCGACGCGCATCGTCATCGGGGCAGGAGACACGGGCTTCTGGAAGGCCAGGCAGGACGAGGAGACGGCGGCAAAGGTGTCTGCGCTACTGCAGGCAGACCTGGAGGCATGTCTGCCCATCACCACCAACCGGCCTTGATATTCCCCAGCAGCCGCGCGAGTGCTTTACTTACGACGAACAGAAACACCACGTCTTCTTCAACGCTGCCGGGTATCACAACCATGTACCGCGCCCCCATTCCCCTCAACCTAATGCCATTGACTCATCTAACAAACCCCAAGCTCGTGCACCAGCTCCTCGCGCTCTACGGCACCGGCGCCCCAGAGTCAGCCATCCAGGCCGCCTTCGACGCCAACGCAGGCTACCAGCTCAAGCACACGCCCGCGCGGCCGCACGTCGTCGCCGAGCTGCAGGCCGACTGGGCCGCCCACGCGCCCAAGTACCTCGGCCGCGGGGCCTACTACTCCGACTTTCTGCGCTTCTTCCAGGACGAGGTAGACCGGCGCGGGTGGCAGGCCGTGGTCACCTCGTTCCTCTGTGCCGCCCCGGGGGACGCGGCCAGCCCCGCGCGGCACATGGTGCAGCGGCTCTTCTCGGGGCTCGTCCACCCCATGATCCAGCTCGGCTTCGGCCTCGAGTGGGAGCAGCCGGCCATCGTGGCGCAGGGCCTCGCCCAGGCCGCCGTGCACCGCAACACCCTGGGCGACTTCTTCGACCGGGTCGACGAGGCCGTGGCGGCGGCGGGCCGGTACGTCGCGGCCAGCGCGGCGTGGAAGCCGCCGCATGTTCCGAAATACGACTTTTTCCTCATGTACGTGTGCGTGCGTGTGTACTTGCAGCTGTGTATATGAAAAGGCGGCTGACCATCCAGACACGCCCTCAACGCGTCCGTGTTCCTGCTCGCCCTCGACAAGCCGTGCTTCCCGGCGGCCGCGCGGGTCCGCATCCTCGAGCACAAGATGCGCTACGACGTGCTGCAGTACGCGGCGCGGGGGGCGCCTCGCCTCTCGCCCGCGCACGCCGCTGCCTACAGGGATACTAATTCGGACGTGCTTGCTGCCCGGGCGGAGGACCTGCTGCCGCGGTACCACGCCGTCGCCGACGACGGGCACGCCATCAAGGCGGCGCGGGCGCTGCTCCTCGCGCAGCGCGTGTCGCGCCGGTGGGCTGGCAGGCCGTGGGTGCGGCTGCGCGACGACGCCGACTGGCGGGGGGCGCACTGCATGCTGCTCCGGGGCGTCGAGGGGGATGAACCCCTCTGGGTGCGCGGCGCGGGCTTCGACCAGGCGTGGGAGGGCGTCCCGCTGTTGTAAACGTCGCCAGTCCGGCATTGTGTATGTATTTTTGCGGCGGTACGGAAGCCAGACATCATTCAGTAGCGAATGCTTGCACATGTGCCAAGCTATCGGCCCGACGTGGCTCGTGTCCGTGTCCGGGGCACTTGATAGTCGCTCAGGACGGGCCTGGCTGTACGGAGTACGGAGTAGTGCCATTGATGTTTTCGGCGGCCTACTTGCCGATGCTGGGGAGCACGAGAACTAGCCGTCGGTCATTGTACATTGTCCATGTAGCTATAATAAATAAAAAAAGCTTGTACTATTTATTAGATGCAAGTTGAACACTGAAAGGAATCCAAATTGATGCGTTGGCAGAGAAGAAGAAAAACCAAATTTATATACCGTCCTTTCTTCCGGCAGACGTCTAAATAAGCTTATACAGAATCAGGCCCAATTTGGCTCTTGCCGCCTCCCCACAGTCACTCTAGCATGGGGCCGACAAGGCCGCCAGCCCAATTTATCTCCCCGGCCAGAGATGGAATTAGAAAAAGGGCGCGGCGCGGGATGCAGCGGCCCCGGCGAATCGGATCTTCGCAGCTTGCGGCTTAGGCGTCTCGCGGGCCAAGGTCGAGCTTGGCGTTTCTGCGCAATGGGAATGGGATTGAGACCCGGTCGGCTTCTTTACCGGCCCTGCGCTATCGGGCCAATGAGACGTGATGCAAAAGGGTCTGGTGCTCACTGCTCGATGCTCATGCCAGCGCAATGGATCCTGTGCATATTGAACGATAGGCCGGGCCGTTGAGCAACGTCTGGCGCCGTGTCTGCTGATTGGAGACAACACTGACGACGATTCGCACATGGCCGGTTTGAGATGCCGCATTCTGGGTTTCAATGTTTGTACAAAACACCCCCCGCGTCTAGATGGGAGGCGAATGGCTACATGTAGGTATCCGCTCATCTCGTTCAGGGCAACTGGAAACTGTGTAGACGGAGAAGCCGCCGGGAACATCTCTCCGAGTCCCAAGTTGTACTGTGATATCGGAATATGCTGTGGAATGGCGGAACATACCCTGTTCCCCGGACTGTATACTATCCCAATACTCATAGGCATCAACAACAACAAAAATATCAAGGCCCAGCAAAGTACATTTCAGCAACCCCGACATCACAGCAGACTGCGTTGTGCACCCAAATCTTGATCAAAGAAACGACAAGATAAAAAATTATTCGCGTGCTCAGCATTGGTGAGCGGGTAATGTGGTTCTATCTCAACGTCAAACACCATTCCGTCGTATAAATAAACCCAACCAGCTCATTTTAGCCGAGCATCTCCACCGACCCCATCGACGTCATTATTCCAGTAGTGCTACTCAAGCCTTGCGTTTCTTGCTGGGCTTTCCCTCGTCCTCATCCTCGTCCATCTCACCGCCCTCGTCGTCTGCACCGTCATCATCAGATTCCGCCGCAGCAAGCTCCGCACCATCCTCTGTGAACATGTTAGCGCACCAGTCCTTCAAAGCGTTGTGGATTCTGAAAAAGGGGTGTAGACCTACGGAAGTAGCGGATGGCCTCGGGCCACAGATCCTCCGCAATGGCGAGGGCGACATTGGCACCGGGAGGGAAGACGTCGTACTTGTACTCGTACTCGTAATCGTCGTCGTCGTCGTCGTTTTCAACGTCGACGTCACCGTCGGCATCCTTATCCATCTTCACTTCGACTTCCTTGCCCTCCTGCCGGGCCTTGCGCTCCTCCTCCACAGTCTTGGCGACCTCGCGGCTCTCCTCTTCCGTGATGTAGTGGCCTCGGAAGCCGAAGAAGTTGAAGAAGCTGTTGCTGTCATCGGTGGCGTTCTCCTTCAGCTTGAGGAGCTTGATCTTGTTCTGCGTATCGCCAGTCTTGCCGGCCTTGTCATCCTCGTGAAGCTCCTTGGCCAGGGTCAGCAGGCCCTTGGTCAAGTCCTTTCCGGGCTTCCATTTGATCTCAACAGGCTCAGACACGAGACCGGTGAAGTCGTCCTTGCCGTGGCGATACCAGAACTTCTTCTCAAGCATCTTGTCTTCAAAGTACTCGTTCTCAGAGAACTCGAACTTGATGGCAAAACTGCGAGGATCGCCGTCAGGAAGCTCAAAGCGCTCGACGGACATGTGCTTGAGAGAAGCCGCAATGAGCTTAGCATCCTCCATCTGAATGTGCTCGTCGATATCGGGCGGGGCTTGCTCCCAAACAAGAGGCCAGAAGTTTGGGATTTGAGAAATGACCTTTTCGCGCTTGGCGTAGAGATCGCGCGTCAGTTTATACTCCACGCGCACTGAGGTCAAGTTAGCCAAAAGTTGCCAAGCATCTGGACTTCGCCTGCTGAATCAGGGCAATCAAGTCTACAATAGACCTTGTGCTCATGTTGTCCCGCTAACCGCAAGACGGAGCTGTGTTGTTGAGGTGATGTGCAAAAAAGAGTGAAGAAAAAAAAACTTACTCAACTCTACGTCAACTTGGTCAAAGTCATCTTGGATGTCCTCGAGTTGTTCGTACATGACAGGGATGTGAATATCCTCAACAGACATTTTGCCGGTAACGGACGTAAATCTGGTGTAAAATTGAAGAACGTGCGACGAGATATATGGAGAGAGGTAGAGGAGGAAAAAGATGGCAGTGGGGGGGGATAGATGGAGAGAAAGAGAGAACAAGGAAAAAAAAAAAGCTGGCGGTGACGGATCACTTATCAAGGGTCTGTTTGTTGACTACTACGGAGTGCGTAGATTCACACCAAACAAACACCACGAACTGCAGGCAGAACCGGAGCTGCAACTAGTCTCCACGAGCGTCCAGCCAACGAGAGGCAGCTCAAAATTGAACCTTGACTCCATCAAACGGTGAAGGAGTTGGAGCCTTCTCGCAGCCGGGGCGCACCAGAGACAGCTTCATCGCACATGCGGCTCGCAGCCACACACCACCACTGCGCAAGCCTGCCAAAATTTTCTTTGTACCAAACGACCCGGCCAGCCTGGTTGCTACAATGGCAGGACTGATGTCATTGGATCCGCCAAATCCCTGCAGGGCCACTTGGAGAGGCGAGAGGGAAAAAGCGAGAGGCAAAACGAGGAGCGAGGGCGTTGACTGGCCAGTTTGGCTACAGCCTTGCTTTGGAACCAGTACGGCCTTCTCCACTACCGCAAAAAGCCGTCGGCCAGCGCTTCTTGTCGGCTTCGAGCTAGGCTTGACGTCCACGGCAACCAGCATGAATGGCGGGGAATCAAACACAATTTGAAAAGTGTGCCTTGTGGGAAGACGTTTTTTTTTTTCGTGCTTGAGATGCTGCCCTACGCGAGCCTATTCTCCCTCTGATTGGCACCTGCACCTTCCTGCATTTCCGAATTTTCTGAGGCACGACTTCCCAGATCGTTCCCTCCCCAACACCTCAGGCTCTGGTGTGATATCAAACAAGTACGGACTACGGAGGACGTCCCTCGACAAACAGCCTTTGGTGGGAGCCAACCTCCCTCCCTAATACTAGAATTTGATGTAAAATAGCATGGATCATGGACCTGTATTTGATCCAAGGCCCTTTTCCCCGACCATCTCAGGGTCCAAGGTGGGGCCAGGATCAGGGTTGGTAGCTCCAAAATCGCACTGTCCAACACAGACGATAGCCGAGCATGCCAGCCTTGCGCGAGCAGCAACAATGTACAATATACCTCATGATAGAGAGGCATGATATGCTGGCGAAGATACGTGCAAGGAAATCCAGCACGCTTGGTACATATTACAGTGCCGTTGTTTCCATGCACAGTGTTTGCCAGCAACAGCTTGCCAGCTTGAAGAGCTTGAGGACTCGATGCCGTCAGGACTCAGGAGAGCAGCCGCCACAAACACAGCTCCGCAAGCTGGGCATCTGTAAACAGCTAACGCTAACAGGAGCACACAGAAGCTTATTCTGCTTCTAAACACCGGGCCCGTCTTGACAAATAGCCGCTGCTTTACCGGGCGTGTGTCTGCCTCTACTAGCAGCTCCCTGTTTTGCCCGGGCTTGAAAATAAAAGTCCATGTATTCACGCGGCCTTTATTACTAGAATACTGTTGCGCCTTGATTAGTAAAAATGTTTTAGAAGAAAAGCTCTGCTCACCTCGAGTTCACATTAAAGCCCTTTGGCCCAGAAGTGGCCCCATGTGCCGATGCCAAGGCCTATTAAACACTGGGAAACAAAGCAAGTCGCCCCACATGACAGCACTCCAACCCTGGAAGCTCCTGGAGCTCCTCCGATTCCGGGGTCCGCTGGTCCCCGATGTCTCCGAACCATGACATCGCGAATATTTCCACCACCCGCAGTGTCCGTTTCTTCCTACAACAACCTCGTTGCCCCTCCTTCTTGTGCAATATATGCGACCCAAGTCTCCGCGCCCGATGGGTTGACAGACAGAGACAGAGAGCGCCCCAGCCTATTCATCCTTGAGCCATTTCCTCCGCCCCATGGCCCATCTCGTCGACCTCGATGTCCCGAAGAATGCAGCCCGCATCGACCTTTATATAAACGCCCCGTCATCGCCTTTCCTTCCTCACACAGCTCGCCGCATCTGCCCTCCCTCGTCCTAGTCCTCCCCGGCGCCTCGATCCCTCCAGCCGCCCGTCCCTCCCGGCACCCGAGCCATGATAGCCCGCGAGACAACCCAGATGCCGCTCGAGGTGGCCGTCTTCTCAGGCGAATCGGCCCTCAAGGCCCAAAGCCAAGGCGCCTCGCGCGTCGAGCTCAACGCCCCCGGGTCGTACCACGTCGGCGGCACCACGCCTCCCATCGCCGAGCTCAAGAGGATCGCGGCAAAGGTCACCATCCCCGTGCGCATCATGATCCGCCCCCGCGGCGCGCCCGGCGACGGATCCCCCGACTTCGTCTACACGCCCAAGGAGGTCGCCGCCATGGCCCAGTCGATACGCGACTTCAAGGCCACGGGGCTCCTCAACCCCTTCCGCGGCGACGGCTTCGTCTTTGGCCTCCTGCAGCCCACGCCTGCCGAGGACCCCCTCTCCCTCCCGGGGGAGCCAGACGCCGCGTGCGGCCTCCGGGTCGACGACGCGTCGTGCCGGGTGCTGCTCGACGCCGCCAGGCCCTTTGGGTGCGTGTTCCACCGCGCCTTCGACCCCATCGCCGCCACTAGGCGCATCGGCGACGGCGTCGAGGCCCTCGTCCGCCTGGGCTTCGAGGGCCTCCTGACCGCCGGCGGCCGCGGGCCCTGCGCCGCCAACGTCGACCGCCTCGACCACGAGTGCCACCGGCAGGCCGGCCGCATCCAGTTCGTCCTCGGCGGCGGCCTGCGCGCCTCCAACGTCGAGCGCGTCGCCGGCCGCTTCAGCACCTACGAGAAGGGCAGCGTGTGGATGCACACGGCCGCCCTGAGCAGCCGTCCCGACCACCCCGCCGAGGAGATTGACTCCAACGAGCTGGTGGGCATGCTGGCAAGCTTGGGTTCCGTCCCGGTGCGGTAGAGAAGCACCGAGATGCTTTTTTTTTTTTTTTTCTTAAAAAGAAGAAAAAAGATGACCGTTACCCCATTCCGTCTTTTGCTCTCGTGGGCCTGAATACGGTATTGGATGTGAAAAGCTGACAAAATATCGTAGGAGAATGAACAGTAGTCACAGCTTCATGCGAGTCGTGACAGGTTTTTATTTGGGGGGGATTTTGATATCGGAAACTGCAGTTTGGGAAAAGTCATTTCCGACACTGGTTTTGTAGCAAAGTGCAATATGGCTGAGGGGATAAAAGTGATTTGGTTTTAAAAATTGGTAAAAAAAAAGGAAGTGGCTATAGATGCTCCCCCCCTTCTACTCTGTGTATTTCGGGGCTATGAATAGAGAGCTAGAACGTACGACAAGACATGACATAGTATATTGCGGTCATAGGCGGGCCTACACTGCTAATATCAACATACTCTGTTTCAACAACTCACGTACATCTTGTTTTGACTAGGCATTCAATTTTGTCTCTTTCGACTACTCTACACCGTATATGCTATGCACTAATCTACAGCTTCTCATCACGTCATTAAGTCTATCCACTAATCCGCTATTTTCCCCACGTCACGCACGTTACTGCTTCTTGGGCTTCTTGCCTTCAGTATTTGGGCGCGCCAGGCCTAAACACGTAGCCATCTTGTAGAAAATGTCCACATTGTTGTAGGTGCCTCCAAAGGTCTCCTGGCAGGGGCCCATGGCAAACACAGGCACATCAGTAAGCGAGTGCACACCCTGAGCCTCGTTGGTAGGCAGAGTGCCGTTGATGACAATACCGTTGGGCGAATCCTTGGCATTGACAATGTAGCTGCCGTCGGCGCCCTTGACCGCAGGCTCACGAGGACCGCTCTTGTGGACCTTGTAGTCCTCTCGGTGGTCGGGGGCAGCGCCGACACCACCGGCGATGGCGTACCGAGGCTCCCAGTTTGAGGGGAAGTTGACGCCGGTGCCATACTGAATGTTCTTGTTCTTCTCGGTGTATTGGGAGAGACCGGACTTTTCGTAGACGCCGATGGCGTTGCGCTTGGTGCGCTCATCGTCGTGCTCGGCAATGTACTCGGTATCAGCGGATCCCCAGACACTAAAAATCGTTGTTAGGGATTTAACACTCCGCATCGTCGTCGTTCAATGGAGGGGCAGGAACTTACTCGAACCCGTGGCCGTGGTCAGCAGAAACAACAACCAGTGTCTCATCCAATATCTTCAGCTCTTTGAGCTTCTTGATGGTCTCACGGACAGTGTCGTCGAGTTCAAGAAGATCGCCGAGGGCACGGTCGTAGTCAAGGGCGTGCATCTGTTTGTCGACAGAGGCAGCCTCGGACATGAGGAAGAAGCCCTTGTCACCGCCACGCTTGTGGAGAACCTCAACAGCCTTGAGAGTCATCTCTTTCAGGCCGGGGAGATCAAGGGCAGAGTCATTTCCGCCCTTGGGGTTATTTTTGAAGTTCTTTAGGTTGTCCTTGTAAACATTACGGTCCAGCCAGACGGGCAAGTTGCTCTGGCAGAAGACACCCAGGGCCTTCTTGCTGGTGTCAATCATCTCCAGCGAGGTCTTGTTCAAGCTGACAGAGTATCCCTTCTTTGAAAACTCTTCATAGTAGTCCTTGCCCTTGTAACTGCCCTTACCGGCGAAGAACTGCTCGGCACCAGCACCGAAGTAGACATCAGGGCCTTCATGGTTAGTCCAGCTGTAGTTGGTCAGGCCGTTGAGAGCCTGGTCTATAAGAGGACCGTACTCAGAACGGCGACGGGTGTGGCCGGTGAGAGCAATGGGGGTGGCATCAGCCAAGAATGCCGTGGAGACGGCGCCCCATGCACCTTTCTGCATTCACAATATTAGCTAGGAATTCAGAATTTAGTTACTAGTTGAGCATACGGTAATTCGGCGGAAGATTTCAACAATGGTCTCGACCTTGGGGTCATCGAAAGGGTCCGGAGACGAATCAGCATGGACTCTACAGGCCTGTTAGCCGAGTATCACAGCAAACAGATCACAAGATTCGCATACCCCATGGCATTGACAGTGCTCTTGTGACCAGAGTATAGAGCAGAGGCTGAGTTGGCAGAGTCGGTGATATAGCTGTCAATCGAGTGAGTCATCTGGTGGCCAAGAACAGGAAACTCGTCCATCTGCATGCGAGTCTGGTATTTGCCGTTGATGCTCTTGTGCCCAAGAAGACGGGCAGCAGTAATCTAACCGTGTTAAGTCTAACTCACTTCACATCTGTAATTCGACTAGGAACGTCAATGCTTCCGGGATGCTTACCATGTTAGTGGTCATGCCGTCACCAATGAAGAAGATGACATTCTTGGCCTTGCGCTTCTTGACAATAGGACGAACAACCCATTCAGCCGTTGTCTTCTCACCCCCATAGTACTGTAGAGTCACGGTGTACTTGCCGGGCTCGTCCAGGGAGAGCTTGCGATAAGCTTTGGAGGCGACGTTGACAATTGACGGAGTCTTCTTGTCCTCGGCAAAGAGATCCTCGTACCACTTGAAAGTCCACTTCTCCAACTCGGGCTCCTTCACTCCGAAGAAGTTGGTGATATCCTTGGCCTCCTTGCCATCTTTTGCAATAGTCACCTTGAATTTCTCATCAGGCTTGCCATCGTGGGCAGCCTCAGAGCCATTGACGGGGGCGTGAACTTCAACTCTCAGGTCAAAAAGCTGACCAGGAAGAAAATCACTCTGATCAGGTGGCAGAAGACACCCTAGGGTTGGGCACGTTCCAAGACGCTGGTAGGTCTGGGCTGAGACAACTGAGAGCGAAGCTGCCAGAACAGCAGCGACGTTGAGCTTTGCAAGCATGATTGCGGTAGTCCTCGTTGATATTAGTATAACGAAGAATAGGCAATTGGCTTTTCGAGCAAGCTTAGCAAGGAGGGAAAAAGGAAGCAAGGAATGGCCAGTTCGGACGTCGGATTGCGGCGTGCTTATATGTCTCGTGGTAATCTCTCTGCGACCCGCGAAAGCTGCTGCAGACCGGCGCATGCAGAAGGCCCTGATCCATGGATCGGAAGCTACCGACTTGGATAGCGTCACCAGGGCCGGATGCTACATGGCGGTTATCAAGCTGTGAGAATTCAGCTTCGACCGGGATGTGTCTTGTCAAGTCATCCGAGCCTGCACTGCCCTTTCTTGACGGAAGGAACCATGAGCAGTAGCTGCATCTAGTGGAGAGATACTGATACCCGATTCGAGCAATCCAGGGGGAAAAGACAGAAGCGATGTTACCGTGAACCCTTCACCTTCAGGAACAAGGGCACGTGTCGGCGCCACTCTTGGTGACAATAGGCTTATCCTATGCTCGTACAGAGTAGAGCTGGTCGAAGAGCTGCTGGAGATGAAGGACCAACTCGGTTGGCGGATGGTGTGGGTAAGCCCTTGTTGTGCGGAGTATGTATTGTATGTACTCCGTACAGACTTTTGGTTCGCAGCTTGATCCTGGGAGAGGTTACTTTTGTGTAGCATGAGCGCGGGATACCGGTTGAATGTGGTGGTCTGAACCAAGCTGGAGCAATAGTGTCAGTGCTATCAAGCCAGGCGAATTCTGATCTAGAGTACTCCGTATCACCACCCTCTCGAGAAGCACTGCTCCATAGAGCAGCTGCACAGAGCAGCCACTTCGCCTGCATTAAGCTTATCCTAGTTAAAGCGCGGCCACGGGGCGCCTGCCGCTACCACGAACCCGCGGGAGCGTTCCCTCGTGCCCAGATTGAAGGCCCTCATTGGCGATGTGGAGGAACAGGGATCCGTGGTCGGGCCAAGGTTCTTTTTAATGTTGTTTCCATGCAACGGTATGGCGTGGGAATTTGATACCGGACGGGGATCAGCGGAGCAGAGAATGCTGCAGAAGTTGCGATCCAAAAATATTCCAGTTGAAATGGAAATTTTGGTCGGATGAGTTGCAGCGGCGTTGGCTCTCAACGCTCAGCTGCCATTTGGAAGGTGCGATCATGTTGTTCCTCCCACTTCAGCATCAAACCAACTTAAACTTCCGCAACCGGGAAGCTATCCGCCTCTTGGCGGGTGGGGCCTGGAAAACATTCTTGAGGAAAATACGTAAAATCTTTCATCCCGTTCAATGGCAGCGACTTGGCACGTGGGGATCAGTGATTGTTAGACACTGCACATGTGCTCTGCGCGTTTGTTTGCTCAAGCGTGTTGGCCACTGTCCACACTTGGAACAGTAGCCAACATCAGGTTGTTTGTTTCCCCCGTGTTCATGGGGTGCAGTCTTCATTCAGCCCTTCGATGCACCATCATTGTGCATGATGTCAACTGGGGGTACCCGTTCAGCTTCCAAACCTCGTGGACTTCGAATTGAGCGGACCTACTACTAGTATGCACTTCCAATAAACCATTTGGCGGGGGTTAACGCCTTGGCACGCACGATTTATACCCGATTGCTCACCGAGTTGGCTGCACAGGCAACCTTGACCGAAGCGATGTTGCAAGAGCCCGCTGACTTGTGAGTCTAGATTCTTACAGTAAGACGCCAAGAGTATTTAACTGGATCAGATACATGGCTATCGCGCTCTGTGTCATAGTATAGTAGAGCATATTACGGTATACTTGCCATTGACCAAATATACTCTGCTGCAGACTGTAGTACGCTGTGGACAAGCTTCGACTTCACGATGGGCTAGGATAGCGCGCAAAGAGAGTCAATAGCTTCAGCCTCTTGGAAATTCCCCAGACATGTAACCACGTGCTGCACGGTACACGCCATCATCCATGGCGTGTCATTGAGTGCGGCAATTGATGCTTCCCTGTTGTTTCCGGACTATCGCAGGAGCTTGTGTGTTTCTCATGTCTCCTTAGTCAAAACTGGCAATGATATCTGTCCATGATACGCTGTTGTTTCTTCTTCTTCTCGTCTATGTAGTCTATATTTTCCCATTGGCTACATTCTCTACAACATGTCCATTCGCTTTTCTGTCCATGTCCATCCACGTTGACTTGTTCATCTTATCCTGCCCAGCCTCACTCTTGAAATGATATCCACGAGCCCTCGGTCGATCGCCCGTGCCCTCTGGCAGCTCAGGCAGGTATGCAGCCAAGAACCTCTTTCTTTGCTCTTCAAAGTTATCCAACCCCTTCTTCAATTCGCCCCTAATGCCCTGGAAGAATGTATCAACAACGTGGTGGTTATGGATTTGAAGAAGATTCCACCCCAACATCTCCTTTGCATTCAGCAAATGTTGCAGATACGCTCTGTGATGATTGGTACAGGCACAGCATTCACAGCCTTCTTGCAGTGGCACTACCGCGACGCTGTGATCCGCAGACCACATGTTGATACCCATCGGCTGCGGCGTCTCTACTTCTGGCGCTGGGAAGGTAAACGCGAGTGCCACTCCAGCATCAGAAACGCCATTCACGAACGGCAGTGCACAAATGTCTACTCCTAGAGATACTTGGCGCAGAACGTCATGAGGGGATTTCGGTTGATCAAAAGACAGCTTGGGCAGCGCTGCCAGGGGCTCATATGATTTGAGTTCCGGCAGAATGTTGACGTCGTATACCGCCAAGCCCGAGACTTCATCTACAATATCTTCGGCGATGTGTCTCAGATAATCCCATTGGAGAGGCAGTTCCACAGGAAGAACCGGCGCAAATACCGAAATGCCCAACTGTTCCAAATGCGCTCTACCTTCGAACTGTCGCAGGAAGTCGTCAACCCATTCCTCTGTCCGTTCTACCATCTTGATGAGTTTTTTCGATGCTGGCGTCGAACTTGTATGGAGTGAATCTGCCAAGGGCACGACTACATCTGGCTGTAGGTTCTTGACTGCTGCCACATACTGCGACACATTGACACTTGCAAAGCCTGTTGATGTAAAGAGTGTGACGGCCTTTGCGCCGTTTCCCATAGGGGTTATAACTGCAGGGCATCTCCTTGCTCCCAGAATGGTGGCTCTGTCTGATGCTAAGGCTGTGAAATTGTGCAGACGGCGGAGTGTATCATGCTCAGGGGTGTTGTAGATGGGTGGTTCCTTTCGTTCGACGACTGCTCATGTTAAATACTCTTCTTGTTTCAGTGTTGAAGAAAATGGGGCTGCTTTGCTCACAATCTTCCAATGCCATGTAGGCAGCACCCCAATTGGTATACCTGGTCACATTATCAGGCGTAAGATGAGGAATGGCGCCACGAGATGTGATGGCAGTGTAGCTCGGAGTCTCAATCGGCCTTCTTCCAGGTATGGACAGTCGTCCGAGACGGGCAGCACAGCCATCTGAAATAGCGACGCCCAGGAGCTCGAATATCTTCCGCGCTGGCATGTTTGAGTCGCCTGGCCGAGAGTCACTCATCTTGCAATAACCAGAAGAAAATTTTGCGCTAGTTGCTGGCGCGGACGGCGACTGATCAAAGACAAAATCTAACAACCAGAAAGAACAAGTCGCTCAATAATGAAAAGACAAGGACGTTGGAAAACAGTCAAGCATCGTTGAGTGAGGGTTGAGGAGGATAGGCGTCATGTGAGTCCATTCCCAGAAGGAATCTCGAAAAGTGAAGATGACCAACTCAGCCAATGAGATATTAGCCAAGGCAGCGAATCTGATACCAGCCCCACCTTTTCTGAAATAACCCTAACCTTTCTTTCTTTGGCGGTGCCGTAACCCCAACCCTAAAATACTCTCGATTGGAATAAAAATGGGAAGGCACGATTAATACTTCCAAACATGTGGTCGCCCTCGTCTCCGCGGGTCTTCGGCTGCCGACGTCGGACATGAAGAATTGCTCGACTCTCCCGGAGTACTCGGTACCCACGCACTGACACGGCGTCGCTGGTGGCTGTCGCAGGCTCGCTAGACCCACTTGCCTTGACAGCCAGAACGTCGACTGGTCAATATATGGGTCTTGAGCCAATAGATGGATGTGCCTCACCACGTTGGCCAAAAGCGGCTCGCCATGTCATGAGTCTGCGCCCGCGCCTGCCTCACACTGGGGTGGCAGACTGACAGACCCGGACAGATGTTTTCTTCTTTGCTTGGTATTCTGTACTCTCGGCGCTGGTTCAAAAACCTCCTTGGCGCTACCCGTAAACTATCGTCAAACCTTGGGGTCAGCATCTTCTTCCAGCCGCCTCGGCCCATCTTTACAGTGTGCTAGACTTTACGTCCCGGAAGAACTACCCCTTGTCCTCAGCAAGCTTACGCATCAATCACTCCGCCATTGACACGGCATTGTAAGAAGTACGAGGCCCAGACAGCCCAGACAGCCAAGCGGCCCAGACCAGCCTCACAAACCCTCCTGACGCTTCGGGCCTTTCAAGCCGGACGCTTTGCGCACGTCGACCCACTTCCGTGTTAGCCGGCTCTGTCTGGGCGAACTGGGCTGTTTCGCAACCAACTCGTCTCGAGACCAAGCCCGTCTCGTATCGCCGTCATTCCAGTTTCCTGCATCATCATGGTCGGCCATCATGAAGACGAAGACCAGCCCCTCATGACCGAATCCGAGCGACGCGAAGCCAACGTCGGCCTCGACGACGTCGTCAACTCGGACCGTCATCAAGACGGCAGCCATCGCCAGCACGGCAGCAATGCCACCACCACAACGGATGCCGGACATCCGGACGCACCTCTTGATAGCAGTGATGGCACTCTCCACGTCGCGGATGAGAGCGACCCCCCTACGCCGCGATTTGTACAGGATGAGAATGCATGGAAGAGATGGAAATGGGTTCCCTACCCTGTGCGCCGAATGATTCGCGCCGTTGGCAAATGGTCAAAGGGCCCTGCCAACCCGCAGCCATATCGCATCAAGCCATTCTTCCCCATGATTCAAGAATACCCGTTATTCCTCGTGGACAAGTTTCTCCCCACGGTAAAGCGACGCTTCTGGGTGCTCTTTTTCTATTTTTCTATTTGGCTTATCACATTCGTGCTTGTCAAGAGACAGGGAACCATTGCCACCGAAGTTGCCGGATGGGGCCAACCCCAGACCATTGGATGCGGCGCGTCATACTGGGGTTCGGGCAATTCATGCGGCGTCGATGGGAACGACTGCCGCCCGTTCGGAGGCAGTGGCTTCGCGTTCCGGTGCTCAGCGAATTGCGCCAGCTATCAAGCACTCAACCCGAGGGCTGTTGGCGACCAGGAAGTTCTCTATCAGCCCTTGATTGTGGGCGGCCCGTCCAACGATGTTGCGCCTGAGAATGCCACCTATCGAGGGGATTCGTACATTTGCGGCGCCGCTATTCATGCCGGTGTCATTTCCAACGCCAATGGGGGCTGCGGTGTCGTCCAGCTTGTTGGCAGGAGCCAGAATTATTTGAGTACACAGAGAAATGGCCTTACCAGCATACATTTTGACTCGTATTTTCCGCTGTCGTTTTCGTTTTCGCCAGATGTCCATTGCGAATCTCAGGACACGAGATGGTCGCTGTTGGCCATCTCTGTCGTTTTCACGGCAGTCCTGTCGGTCTTTACGTCGTCTCCGGCCATGTTCTTCTTTCCAACCTTTATCGGCGTCTTCTGGACCGTGGGCATGGCCACCGATCCGCCAACCAACAGGTCCGTCACAGCACTATTCTCCAACATTATGGGCAAGTTCCTGCCAGCCATGTTTGTCGCTTGGGTCATGTACGACAAGATGGGCGTTCGTCGCACGCTCAGAGGCCTGACTGCGCAAATTGAAAAGACTGTTTTGTGGCTGGGCGCATGCTGGGTCGGCGCCCTGGACAATTACACCCTCAGCTTCATCCCCATTCAGCGTCTCAACGCCCACGACCTGAATCAGCAGCCTGGCGCCAAAGCAGCGCTGTCCATAATCATTATTGTTCTCGTCGTCATCGTCGCAACCCAAGTGTGGTTCTTTCGTCAAGAAGCCCGCTTCATCAAATACATTAAGCTCTACGCCATCATTCTCCTCGGCATCATCATCTCTCTCGTTCTCCCCGGTCTCAACTTGCGCATTCACCACTACATTCTCGCGCTTCTTTTACTCCCGGGAACGAGCCTGCAAATGCGGCCGTCTCTCCTCTACCAAGGGCTCCTCATTGGCCTATTCATCAACGGCATTGCCCGCTGGGGATTCGACTCTGTTCTACAGACCTCGGCCGCGCTTCAAGGTGATGCCCAAAAGGGAACACCTCTGCCTGCAATTCATGCTCCCATCATAGATCTTTCAAATACAACAGCCGTGCAGTCAAATATTACATTCGCTTGGGATAAGTCGGAGTACATGCAGTTTGACGGCATTAGCATTCTCGTCAACGATGTTGAGCGATTGAGATCGTATTTTAACGATGTCGACGCCAAGGAGGAATTTGTTTGGTCAAGAAATAAGACGCTAGGTTTGCCAGAGTACTTTAGATTTGGATTTATGGATGGCAGTGATAGCGGGGATTATACCAAGGCCGGTATCTGGACTGTGGACGGGGAGTGGGTGGAGATGAAGCCGGGCGCGTCAAAGCTCAAGGCCAGGAGTTTAGGGGAAGACGTCGTGAGGGCGTGATGTAGTTTTGAATATACTTGTATAATGGCTATTGCTGGTTGATGTCTCCTGTTGTAAGGCGAGTAGCCGTGGTGAGTAACCGGGATAACCTAATATCCAACAGAACTAATCGTCTTGCCCATGCTCAATCTATACATGATGTATATCCCATTTCCAATAACACTAATTACGTAGTCTCCATTCGTGCTATTCATACTTTATTTGTACCGTTTTCGTCCAGACAACCATACTCCATGTATGCCGTCTCCACTTTGACACTTGCCCACCTCTCACTCTCATCATCTCACACTCAAACATCACCAGTAATTACAAAACCCCCCTTCTTTTTTTTCCGAAAATGCCTCCCCGGATACCAACGCAAGCGGACTTCTCGCCCCTTTCGTCCACCCTCCCCCTGGCCCTGCACTTCCCCTCGCCGCCCGAATCAACGACCGCCCTCCTCATCCTCTTCCACGGCCTGGGCGACTCCGAGACGCCCTTTGCCAGCTTCGCCCGCAACCTCAACCTCCCCGGCGTGCTGGCCATTTCCGTCCGCGGCACGCGCCCGCTCCCGCCGTCGCTCGTCGACGACTCGCCTCTGCCGGCGGGGCATTTCCACTGGGGCGATGACATTGCGCTGGACCAGAGCACGGGGGAGCTGGACCCCGACCCGGGGTTCGCCAGGGCCGCCGGGCTGGTGGTGCGGGAGCTGATTGAGGGCGTGCTTGTTGACAAGTGCGGCTGGGAGATGGGCGACGTGCTGCTGTTTGGCTTCGGGCAGGGCGGCTCGTTGGCTTTGGGGATGGCGGCGCAGCTGGCTGCCGAGCGTGTTGTGGACGTTTCTGCGTCCGGGGAAGGGGGGAGGGCGTTTAAGGGTGTTGTTTCGATTGGCGGCGGCCTGCCTGGGAGTATGGTGTCGGCGAGGCGTGACAGGGACAAGAGCGATACGCACGTGTTGGCATGCCAGGTCGATGGGGATATGGAAGATGGCATCAGGCAAGAGTTTAAGAATGTACAGGTCGTGAGGTGGGGAGGGGGCGAGGTACGAATGCCGAGGGATAGGGGGGAGGTTCTTCCCGTCATGAGGTTTTTCGCGGACAGGCTTAAGAGCGGCTGGCCCTGAGTGCGGGGGCTACAGTGTGTTGGTGAAAACAGTCATCGCATACAAATGTTGATTGCTATGTGGTGGTGTCGACGTCGCCGGCCTGGAGCATGTCCGCCAGAATGTCCCATTTGGCAGACTGGGCGTCGCTTGTGGCGCGCGCAACGCTCCGGAGACCGGACCATATGAAGCGTACTTGTCTATCTACTTCTACTTTGACGTCCGTCAACACCTCTTCATACGATTTGCCGACGTGGGCCTCTTCCTCCGTATCGACGACGCCGCTTCTTATTCGTTCCAGTTTTAGAGAGAGATCAAGCATGTCAAGGATGCTTTCTCTGATAGGTGTTAATCTGCTTCCCAGACAAGCCTGGTCAACCATTGCCTTGAGGGCTTTCTCATGCGTGGAGATAAGGTTGTCCATGTCGTGGGATACCGCGAGATCACGACGTAGCTGTATGTCAATGGGAATGAGGACAAGAGTGGTGAGGTATGTCTGGATAGTAGTGCAGAACCAGAGGAGTTTGCTGCGGGCAGAGTAGAAAGTGGCACTGGCGTTCCAGTTATCGCGGTCTGTCCAGTAGTTATCCAGCATTCTCGGAGACTGAAGCGCGTGCGCGGCACGTTTGAGTTGCAGCAGGAGTGTGAAGAGGGATTGGTAGTGTTGCATGCTTGTGTCGTTGAAGATCATTTGGAGAGGCCAGGAAAGACGGTAGTTGACGGTTATGCCGCTGAGGACGGAGCGGACTGAGTTACGGCATTGGATGGCGGGCAGGTTGAGCATGTTTTCGGAGACGGTGACAGTCAGACGACTAGGATCAATGGTGGCGAAGCCATCTTGGGCCGCCGCCGTTAGCGCATACCGGTCTGACCAGTCTGCTCGTAGGGAGTCGAGCTTGGCGAATATGCTGGCGGAGAAGTTGGAGGATGCTGATCCGTCGGACATGAGATAGATGGCGTGAAGGGTGTCAAGGGTTGATAGGAGTGCCCAGTCGTCAAAAAGGGTACGTTTGAGTGTCGTTGATGTTGCGCGGTACTTGCTTTGGATCCAGCGGTCGAATGCTATGTCGAATAGCTCTGCAAATGGGACAAGTTCTTGTCCGGCTGGGCATATCGTTTCGTAGTCCAGAGGCGGTTCGTTTCTGGCTTTTAGAGAGACTGCTGCGTCATATTTTCCGAGCAATTTCAAAACAATAATGTTCTTTCCGGCATTGTAGATGTTACCTAAAGCAGTTCGAAGAAAAGCCGGTGCGTGCAATGCTCCGTCTGGCGTCCGGCGCAAATGGTATCGATCTTGCCATGTTTTCCTCAACGGTGTGCTGGGTGATACCTCTGCCACGAAAAACAAATCACTGGCTGACAGGAGTTTGCCTTCGTCCATCCACAGACGAATTGGCCGCAGATACACCCTGAAGCATTCAGCAAAAATGCGCGCCAGAAATTCGTACAGTTCTGCCTTTCCGCTGAGCTGCGCGACGCAAGCCTCGTCGAACACCAGCTCCAGATATCGGAATGGTGTGGATTGGGGCTCAGCCTCGATCGTTGACACAATATTAGCTAGGGCATGTAATGGTTGTAGCCAGGGTATTAGCTTGGCCTTGATGCCGACGAGGCTTAGCACGACACCCGCAGAGGGCGCCACTAGACGGTTTTGCAGTTCGGATATGTGTTGGTCTAGCTCACGCAGTCGATCGGAGATGCAATCCTGAAAGGCTTGCAAGTGAGGAACATCTTGTCGTTGCCCCACAAACAACCGAAGCCTTCGAAGGTGGCCGCCGAAATCTGTGAAAGTCTGCATGATGGCTCTGTATGGCTCCCACTCCATGTTGTCCAGCTGGTAAGATGGGACTGCCACGCAATTTCGAGTGAAGAGGGTACAGTCGAGTCCTTGGAGCATGAATAGGACATCCCGTACAACCTGGATCTCTGAAACGGCTACTTTCCGTATCTGTCTTGATAGGTCTTCGGGCGGTAGCTGCATTCTCCATTTCTGTGCAGTCTGCACCTGTTCAAGGGTAGTTACATCTTCAGGGTGCGAAATGTAAGAAGCTGCTGTGCGTATCGCGGAGTCCCCGTCACCATACAACAACGTATCCTCAGGTTCAGTAGTGAATTGTTGATCATAGACGTCATCTTCGGAATCGTCGCTGTAATTTATGTTCTGCCAAAGAGAACCATCTTCGTCCCAGCCGTCTTCCTTTGCAATGTCCTCCCAACGCAAAGCTATCGCAGGTGTGGCCTCGCTGCGCCCTAACAGCTTCAAGTCGCGGAGGTTGGATTTAAACGTAGGTTGATCAGATAGTTCCAAAAAGAGGTGCAAGATTTCAGGATGCCATTTGGATGGATGGCTTGGTAACCTCTCCAGTCGTTGTCGCAAGGCATCCGCTAGATCATCCCGGTCGTTGATGCGAAACCGCTCGTCAAGACCGTCCAAGACCTTTTCTACTTCAAAATGATTAGTTTGTAGAAAGGTATGCGACTTCAATTTCCTCAACGAAGCATCGCTGATTTTATCAAGCTTTGAGGAGTCTGCCTAGTTATCACGTCAGGACAGGTAGTAATAGCATCATCACAGGCAGAATAACGGCGGAGCAACTCGGAAAGGGAAGCGAGTCGTACTTGAACAGACGGAGGTGCCAACACCTCAACCAGCTCGCGTGTTAAAGCGCCTAGCTGTAACGCAAAAGACATGGCGATCGTCCTTGTCCATCTTCCACCGAGAACGTAGCGGTGCCTGGTCGTCGGGAAGCGGCAGTACTTGGACGAGATGGTGGAATGCCCAAGTGCATACTCTGATATTGAGGGTATAGAGTCTGGTGTAACTACCTACTATTAGGTACTTCGTAGACCGGACACTATGGAGTTTGATGTGGCGGGGCACCCAGATTTCTGGCGCGCTTGGCTGGTGGGGTTCCGGATGCGCGTCAAACCAGTAGCTGCAAGCCCCCTTTCTAACCTCTCCAGTGTCAAGTTGGGACCGAAGACCCAACACAGTATCTTGCTATCGCATACTGTACCAGAAAACACTGTAGTATGTTAGTATATACTTGATGCTTGCGACTTCTATCCTACCAAAGACTGGACCTTGCATGTGTACACATTTGATGATTCTCGACATTCACGACCAAGCTGCTGGTCAATCCATCCACGTCTCAGCAACACGAAGCCCAGACGATTCATCTCCCATCAGACAACGCATCCGAATACGATTTATCCGGCGACTACCTATACTACTCTAGCTGTTTCGTGACAAACCAGCTCGGCTGTGGACCGTGTACAAGGCAGAACATTGCGCCCAAGCATCATAGCTCACTCAATCAACACACCATGGCAATCGCACGACCCGTCAGGGTCCTGCTGTTTGCTGCCGCTATTCTCTGGTGCTTTTTTCTCTATCAAGTCTTCCGACCGTCATCGGGTCTCCGTGGGCCGGGCGAGCGCTATGTTAACTTTGAGCGTGATCCCAATCTAGATCGTTCGTATTCCCTTTCGCGCAATCAGGTCCCATCCCAGTCTAATCAAGTTGGTAACTATAGCTACGGGAGAACCAGAAGGGGTTCTTGTACGGACTTCCGACAGATATGCACCCGATGCCGCAGATACTGATCGCGTCAATGCCACATTGCTGGCCTTGGTGCGAAATTCCGAAGTTGACGAAATGGTTTCCTCGATGAATGACTTGGAGCGAACATGGAACAGCAAGTTCAACTATCCATGGACTTTTTTCAACGATGAACCTTTTTCAGAGGAATTCAAGAAGAAGACCCAGGCTGCTACCAAGGCCAAATGCAACTACGGTGAGCTTCAACACGGGCTGCCCACTGTCGAAGCTAGACTTGTCTAACTTGATGCAGAAATCATCCCAAAGGAGCATTGGTCCGTCCCCTCATGGATTGATCAACAACTATACGACGAATCTACTGCGATACTTGAGAAGGGAGGTGTTCAGTACGCGAAAATGGTATCATATCATCAAATGTGCCGATGGAACAGTGGTCTCTTCTACAAGCATCCTGCTCTTCAAAACACCAAGTGGTATTGGCGCGTTGAGCCCAAAGTTCATTTCTTTTGCGATATCGACTACGATATTTTTCGATACATGCAAGATAACAACAAGACGTATGGCTTCACCATTACGCTGTACGATGAGCCCAAAACACTGCCCACTCTGTGGCCTGAAACGGTCCGGTTCCTCGCTGATCACCCTGAGCACCTCCATACCAACAATGCTCTCAACTGGCTTACCGACTCTGAGAGACGCCCAGCGCATAACAAGGGGGCTCAGGGCTACTCTACATGCCATTTCTGGAGCAACTTTGAGGTTGCGGATATGGACTTTTGGAGAAGCAAACCGTACGAGGACTACTTCAATCACTTGGATCGAGCGGGCGGCTTCTTCTACGAGCGATGGGGCGATGCTCCCGTCCACAGTATCGGTCTTGGCCTGTTTGAGGACAAGAGCAAAATTCATTGGTATGCCATCGTCAAGAATCGTTCAAGGAAATTGGGTTACATTGCTAATTGTCAAATAGGTTCCGCGACATTGGTTATCAGCACATTCCATTCTTCAACTGCCCCAACTCGCCCAAGTGCAGTGGCTGCGTTACTGGACGCCTAACCGATGGGGAAGCTTTCTTGCACCACGAAGATTGCAGGCCGAACTGGTTCAAGTATGTCGGCTTGGGATAAGCATGCATTGACAACGAGGGAGATGGAGACTGGGCTTGTTTTCTTTTGAAGGGCGACTTTGCCCATCGCGTAATGACACATAAACCGGTTGGGAAATTTGGAATAGTAATACTGGGACAACAAAGCTTGGGATCCGCAACTGGAGCATTTGATTTGGGATCTAGGTGTTCATGGCGCTTGGTAGGCTGAGATCATTTTGTCTCTGACCATGTCAATTCTTGTTGTCACAAGAAAACAAGACCTTGCGATGCGAGGATACGTGGCGCCCCTTGCACCATGCGTCGATATAAATGACTTGATGAAAGAGACTTTGAACTTCGTTGAAAGCATTTACATAGTTTTCCTCATTTGCATGTAACTGTTTAAATTGTATTATACATTGAAAACTGCAACGACGCCAGAGGAGCCTCCTACACAAAACTGATCTCCCCAGCCATCTTCTTTCCACGCCAGACAGCTAATCACATTACTGCGAGTTTTTTCTTTGCCGTCTCTGCCAATAGCTTTCTTCTTTTGCTCATAACCATGCGGGCCCCAAGGGACATTTACTTTGGCAACAACTTTACCCGTGAGCAGATCCCACGCCCATACTCTACCCTCGCCATTGCCCCCGGGCTCCACGGCCATTTCGTCGCCTGCAATCACGTACTTCTCTCGGTGGCCTAGGAGTGACTGCACTCGGATTTCTTCGTTCTTCCATAGAGGATCGCAATATGCTCGAAGGCAACTGCCGTTCTCGCGATCCATCAGTCGCACTTTGCTGTCCAGTGTGCCCACCAACATTGACCGGCCATCCTTTGTGAGAGTTAGACTGGTGACGCTTGCTCCCATAACATCAGTCGTGCATCGGCCCATCCTTATGTCATAGCTTCTCACTCTCCCGTCCACACTGCCGGTCACGATCTCGGGGCCTCGAACAACCAGCGACGTGATTGCGTCTCGGGCGTCGTTCAACACCTGAATAGGTTTGACACTGCCGCTCTTCACGTCCCATATTCGCGCGGTGGTGTCAAAGCCACCACTCACAATCAAAGAATCGCCATCCCCTGCGAAGCTGACACAATTGATTCGTGCTGAATGTCCGTAAACGTTGCCTCCAAACCGTCTCGTTGTGACTGCCGTAGCGACGTCCCACAAGAAAACAGAGCGGTCGCCACCGCCCGAGATAAATTTCTCATTGTCTGCTGCGACATCTAGACTGAGCACTTCATATCCATGCGCCGAGTACGTTTGAATCAGACGGCCTTGCGGCACCGCTGGCTTTGGTCCAGACTGAGCCTCCGGCACGCTAATGTTAGAAAATGGGTTGTACAGGCGTATGGAGCGATCCCCGGAGCCCGTCAAGATGTAGGATCCGGGAGACGCTGAGTACTTGACGGCATGGACGGGGCCTATGGTTCTGGGTGTCAAAATGGCCACCAAGATAGTTTTCGACTTCAAGCTTGCTGAAAGGCCGACGTACCATTAGAACCAAGCAGATAAGCCGCTGGTTTATCTGGGAAACTCATTTTGACGAGAAATACCCATCATTTCCGTATCTTCGAATGGGTTGGTGTGTTGTTAGCAGTTTCCCATTTGAGGTCGACAGTGCGTTGGATGCGCCTTCCTAGAGGCTCGGCGGTGGTCAGCTAAGCGATTTATAGACGGAAGGCACCAAATCTCTTTAATTTGATTGGCTGCTTTAGCGGAACACCACCAGTTGTCAACAAAGAGGCTCCTCTTTGCTCTTCTCCCCGACTTCGACTTCTGGACACTTTCACTTCACTCTCTTTGACATTGAAATGAGTCGCATACAATCGATCCAAAAGCACATTGTTTCATTTGTACCGGTATGTACGGGTATTCAGTGTATGTGCATCCCTCATACATGCTTCCTTCGTTTCTATTTCAGTACAGGCCGAGTTTGTCGTGACTCTCCAGTCCTATCTATTATCATAAATCCGTGAGGATCCGCCTTGGCCGCCGTTCTTTGCTTCCCAATACGAATGTTTGAATACATAAGGTGAATAATAATCCTGACCAGTACTGTTAAACTTGACTTGTCAACCTAACAGTCACCCAAAAACTAAGAAAACGCCGGCTCATGCAAAATTACCAGACAAAGAAAAAAGAACAGGGTATGGGTTTTAATTTGGTGAACAATAGACCACATCCATATCAATGGGATATGTCCGCTCTAAAGGACGGAGGATCTGCCAGTGAGGTTGCTCAGTTCCATTGCTAGCGAAGTTGCTGACACAAACGTCATCAAAGGACCTTTCTCTAGAGCCCTGGTCCCGAATTCTATACAGCTTTTGGAGTCGCTGGTCCAGTGCCATCTGAGAAGTTCGGGCGTGCTCCCAAATGTTTGCACAGCTATCCACTGTCGTTGTGGCAATTCGCATGCTGCCGATCACTTCGTGCATGGCGCTCAGAGGTCCACTTGAAGTCAAAACATCCATGGCAGTGATCACGGCGATGTCCATTGCTGGTGGAGGCGTACTTAGAATAGTTGGTCGAATACGCAAGAGGCGATCCAGGCAACCCACAACTTCAATAATACTTCTCGCGTTGTCCCGGCACTCCTGAAAGTGGCTTGAACGATATTCAGCAGACAGTTTACCAACGGACAGATGATATCGGTTTAGTTGGATAAGAGCATGATGGCAAAGAAGATGCATAGTCAGAAATGATCCGACCTTTCCGGAAAATGCAGCCGACTCTAGATTAGAGGCACCAAAAGACAGTCGCGATGGGAGCGCGGAGTGCCAGTCGTGAACTGTCTTGGTAAGAGTGCGGACCCGTAAGCCTTCGGCGTCGGACCCATTGGGTCTGCTGGCTAATCTGTGAATTGTCGATTGGCAAGATGACCAAATGTGGACTATCTCGACTAGATGGCTTGTGATATCGGAAGGCTTCTCGCTGAAATCGTTGAAGCTGCTTTCATACGGGTTGAACATGGGCATCCGCGCATCTAGTTGCTTCTCAAAACTCTCTGAATCAGATGGAAGTCGAATGTAAATATCTTCAGCGTGCATCATCGTCGGCCTCTCGGGGAACAGCGGACTTAGTCGTTCCAGCATAAACAACGACCACAAAGTTCGCCGTCTTGTCTCTGCATAGCATGTTCGAGTCATGCCAAAGGGATACACGACCAGGTTAGCGTCTTTTGATTTATCAATTTCTTCACTGAGTTGCAAGCAAGCGCCTGTGGCAGCTGCAGAGGAGACGAGTTCGTTGGCCTCCCAGAATCGAGAAGCAGCCACATTGTACAGGGCTAAGAGGATTCTGGATTGAACCAAATGAAGAGAGGGCGTTGTTGAAGTCTTTTGAGCATAATAAGCGACCTGTGCATACTCAAAAGCAATATGCCTAGGACCGCCAGACAAGGCGACGCCAATGGCCAAGACACTGTATAAGAGCATCATGTCGTCTGGCGACTTTCGATGGACAGAGCTGGCTACCCACGACTTGAAGATGTCCTCGGGGAGGAACCGAATAACAATAGCATTGTCGATGTGGCCAAAGAATTGCGACAGAACCGTGCTAATAGACTGGGGGTCGGACACATAGGGATCCGTCCTCCATGCCTTATGCAGCACATCATCAGGTATTCGAGGCAGCTCCGAGGATGATTGTTGAGTGGACAGCGAAGACTTTGAGTGATCCATCGGCTTGGTCGTTGCCACTGATGGCTCGCCATTTGTTGAATATGCATCAGAACCAATCTTAAGCCTCTTGTTGCTGTGGCCCGTTTCTGGAGAAGGTTGCTGCAGAACAACACGTGGTGAAACTGGAGACGTCGGTCCACTGATTGAGAGTGTCCCGTCATTCTGTCTCGACGATCCCACCATCTTTCGCTTATCATCGAGTTCAGCAGGCGGAGTAGAAGGCGATGTATTGTGCCCGCCCCTTGGCCTATGAGTTGTCAGCATATGTAAACCGACTTGGCAAATGATGGGGTAAATCATCACTCACGCATTTTTGAATTTGCAGATACGCCCAAATTTCTCGCACTGAACGCATCTCGGATAATCGGGGTCACATTTAATCTTCTTCTCGCGGCAGGTAATGCAGGCTATTGCCAACCTCTTTCGAGGTTTGCCGGCTTTGGTCACACCCCAGTGGGCGTTCACGGCCTCACCATCGATCACGGTCTTGCAGTGGCTTCCGTCGTCATAGAAATAGCACATGCCTTCTCCCGGAACATCACCGGCCCGAACAAACCGAGGTAGGAAGTGCGTTCCCGTCCAAATCTTCGGGCCAAGGCCATCCTTCGTTGGCACCCCTTCTGAAGCGGCAGAGCCTTCCGGAGTAGGCGGCGCACTGGAGCTAGATTGTGTTGTTCGTTGAGCAGAATAATCTCTGGCAGAATCTTTTGATCCGGGCAGTTGAGTCCGTGCACGGCCCTCTGGTGACTGGAATGTGGCATCCCTTGATCCTAAGGAATACTCATGTCGGCTGACATCTTGATGGACTGACCACTTGCTGCTCTCAGACTCGGCTCTAGAGTCAGACCTGCTGCGGTGTTGCTCATAATATTTTGGAGATCGTGGTCCAGAGTAAGAGCGAGCCAGAGAGTGGGCATCTAGACGTGAATCATATGTGGTTCGAGGTTGTGAAACTGGAGGAGAGGCCGTCGGGGGGAAATATGAAGCACTACTGTTTCCGGCAGCTGGCGATATCCGGGATCGGTCAACTGGTGACTGAGCAAGATACGGTGTATCTCTTTCGGACGGAGAATGAAGAGAACGGATGGAAGACGGTGGCCCGAAAAGACTGTGTAAGGATGGCAGTTGCTGCCGTGAAGAGGAAACGTTGCTCGACTCCGATCGGTCTTTACTGGTATCCTTCTCACCAGTGGCCGTCGATGTGTCGGCACTAATAGCCTTGTCATAATTGGACATGGGGAGGGAAGCTATATTCCGGTGAATCCAGGCCTGCTCTGTTGATGGTGAAGACCGAGAAGATAGTGACGAAGCGCCCGGGCTCGCCAGCTCAGGCGGAGTATCCGGGAGATCCAAACGCTGACGAGGCTCTAAACTTGATAGGCTACCCATTGAGAAACTCTTCGTCGTCTTGGTAATAGATTCCGGTCAATCCAAGGTAGTTATCCGCCTTCCACTCTCAACCGACCGGTGGCTGATCCACCAAAAAGTTTTGACTTGACCAAGTATCTGATGAGTACGACCGATATATACAACACTCGAACTGTCTTGCGAGATTCGAGAGAGTCGATCAAAAAGTTAGTTCAACCGTCGTTAATGCGGATTTAATATGGGAATGTCGTTTCTTGGTGGGGAACTGAGTGTCTTGTTCAATATCGCCTGGAGTCTTGCTTCTCTGATCGCCGTGTATAGGAAAGACCGACGATGGAAAGCTCAAACGATCCAACAGGAAGCAAGAAACAAGATAGAATAGCTGAAGAGGAATGGGGGGTGGGTTGCTTTTGAGGTGTGAGATGGCATGGGGAAAGAGTAATAACTAACAGACTCGGCAGAGTACAATGGACGTAAAATGGGCCTCAACGAGGGAGGGCCCAAAAGTACCACGAAACTGGGCTGAGCTTGGCTTGTCAGAACCCAGCCCAGATTGCACACCAAGAAGTACCACAGAATAGCGCCCGGCTGCAGCAACATGGGGGAGTTCGCCGCACGTGTCTTGCCCCTTCTGGTCATGACCCCACGAGAACGACTTTCTGCACTGCATGACAAACGAGTGTTCTCAAAGATGATCGCTGTCAGTAGGGACGGGATTGCGGGTAATCGCACTGAAGGGACAACTGCTAGCGTCAGTTTTCGCAACGGCTGTCGCTATTTCGGCTAGGATCTTGAGGGCGTGTGGCGAGATGGATTCCTCTGGCATCCTGGTCACCTGGAGAACGAAAACTCCGCCTTCCATGGCCAGGGGGGGTGTCATAGATTGGAGGTGTGGCTACGGAGTACTTCGAGGCTTTAGAGGGGTGGCTTGGAATTGGCCAGCCGCAATGGCTCCAACATGTTAGGGGCCATGTCGTCAACGAGGACGAGATGCAGCAGACAAGGACGACCATGGACCACGGAACCATCCCGCTCGAAAACGTCTCTTTCTTCTCCCAACTGAACACCAGCCCAACCACTCGGAGAGGACGGGACAGGATGGAGCGTTCAGATCCAAGATACGAAATTATTTACCTTGGCAGGAATGCGTCGCGTGCCAACTTTTGTCAGTCCTACGGATATTAAAAGCAAAGCAAGAACCGCCACATGTGCTGCACTTTCATTCTCGTCTTGACAACGGCCGATTGTAGTGAAATTTGCACTCGGCGACCAAGGACTATCAACAGTGATGCTAAGATTTCATAGATGCTGCTCACGTGGCATTGATGATCCAATGAAGACATAGTCAATCGACATGTTTGGAGATATGGAATCGGATGGCGGAAGGAAACCAATACGGTTAAAGCAGACGTCGTTTGTAAAGGCTTGTGGTTGGTTGAACGTGTTGGTCGGCTTCGTTGGCTCCAGATTTATTAATCGTCACCACACCCCGCGCATTCGCACGGGGTCAAAAGTGCCCGTCGGGCCTGCCTTTGGTGACAACAACTGAGTTTGTCGACACAGCTTAGTTGGATGCAAGGGTCCAGCCTCTTACAATAAGCTCACGCCGAGCAGGGTATTCGGAGAACCACCAAAATGTGTTTGGTAGGGTCATCCGGTCCCTTGGTATTGGTGTGACGTTCGAGTAAAGCATTATTCCGGGCGATATGGATGGAGTTGATGTCTCCTCTGTGGTTGACTTTGTTACAGGTGATGGTTCTACGGGGAGCAATAAGCTAACGTTTTGACCAAGAGGCTTCCAATTTTGATCAAGGATATGATTCGGATCTACTACTGGTTTAGTGGTGGCACCATGTGCTCTGACATCCGAAATCGAGCTTGTATTCAGCCGCCACGTAGCCTTGAGCACGGTGGAAAGGCTATTTTCATGGTCATTTGCACCCGTCCGTGCCTCCACTTCTCGATGCTCTTGGGCTCCTTTGGGGGAAATGTTAAATCACGACAGTGGAGTAATCACTACGGCATTGGTGGCATTTCATTCAGTCTCGGATTAGGGAGTAGTCTGGGCAGCTGGACAGTTAAGGAGTACCAGTACTACGGAAAAGTCGAAACCGGCTTTTCGGGGGGCTTGCCCATTTCTCCAGAAGTGCTCCGTACTTGTCGGCTCAGGCTGAATTTCGCTTAATGCTTGCGTGGACGAATCCGGCCGCATGCATCAAACTATCTGCCACGGGTGGTCGGGGGTAGGAAATCGTGGGCAAGAGCAGGGAGATGATGGCGCAGTTCTCCATGCCCAACAGAGAACGAGCGCAAAGGGGACTCAATGTATGCCGCTGCAACATCGTGTCCTGGATAATGTTACGAATCGTTGCATAATTGCAACAACACGATGTTGTGGGCGAGGAATTTGAAAGCCATGAGGGATGACTGGATACGCCACAAGTACACCTCCCCCAGCCACGGCGACTGCGACGGGAGAAATCGCCAACTCAAGTTGTCTTAAACTGGTCTCGGTGAATGAATATACCGACGCAGCTTCTCGCTACCGACGGCACCTCTGAGAAAGGTCTCTGTAGTCAACGCCTCGCATTTTCCCTTTCAGTACTCGGTATGCTCTGCCTGCCAGGGCACGACATAAAATGGAGTATCAGCTCAGTCAGAGAAAGGTAACAATTCAGCATAATTTGTGGGTAATGCCGTGGGGTGATGGCAGTGGCGGGCAAGTCTTGAGTCCATATGAGTCTGTGTGGTGCGGCTCAGATGCGACGGCACGCAGAAGCATGGAAGAAAGTGACAGCCAGTCGGTCACTACCGACACGTTACGTCAGGAGACGGCGACCTCATGCCGGCCGGGATTGACTCCCACGAACCGTGGCAGCACATCCCTCGCCTCTGTTGATGGGGTGAACCCATCAAGTTTCTACCGGTGGGGGTAGGACAGACCAACTTTTCATCTGAGAGCCCCGATAAGGAGAGAGCTCACTCCATCAGGTTCCTAGCATGAGTACTCCGTAGGAGAAGATGGCCAAATACTGACTCGAGACAGTCACTCCTTGTTCCCAGTCGTTACCGGATTCTCCATACTGGCGTAATTTTGGAGCCAAAGACCATGCCGCCGACACGACCGGCAGACCGCGATATGTGGCGCATAATAGCTGTCCCTCTGATAATCTGGGGCCGGTCCCTGCGCCATCTCTGTCTCCTCACTGCCGGCATACCAAAAGCCGTTTCCACTGGATCACACATCCAATGTCTGACGGGTATTATACCGGCTCGAATTTCACGCTCCCTGCCGGCGAAGAAAAGGCCTGTGTCATTAAGTAGAGGGATGCCTACTGCCATTTTTCAGTACCATTGTCCGTCAACATCACGAGGCCGCTCGGATGACATTTCCACCGGCATGAATGCACCCAACTATCCTATCTGGCGCAGACGTCTTAAAATCGGAATATCGCAGTTATGTAGAAGCACCTACTGCGTACTCTGGCAGGGGAGCTCGTCATGCCCTTGCAACCTGGCGCCCAGATTGGATTCATCTCGAACGACGAGTAGGAATTCGCCGCCTCCCTTTTCGCAGTGGCACACCCCGTGGCGTATGTACATAGTTTGCCCGCGCTTGCGAAAGCCGCAGATCCACTCGGGTTGGCATGGAATTGGTCAGTTGTGAGACCTACCCGGCCGTTGATTTCCTGATATAGAACCATCTCCGATTCCTTGCCGTGCTTTGCCGGCCAAGCGTAGCCATATTTGGTGTGATTTGGCGACGACTAAGCAAAGCTGTCACTCGGCAACATAGGGCCGATGAACCGCCCACAACACTCTAGCGAATTTTGCTCAAGCCACGGAAACCACATCGGCCAACAAACCGCCAAGTGTCCCGGGTAATATGTGTCTGACGCAGTCAGGGTTAGGGTCGGCTTCATCAGAGAAGGTACGTCATGTTAGACCCAATGGCTGTGGCCCCTTGGGACTATGCAACATCCAAGACAAATGGCCATGATGCCTCATCACCACTGCCAGCGGTGTCCTATTGATTCTATCTGACCTTGACATTTTTATGGCGCCGGTCAGAGTTTGTCTTGGCCCTCTCTCAGTGTGTCTGACCACAGGGAGTTTCCTTTTGCAATGGACTTATTTTTAGTTGACCCGGACAAAAATTACACTCGGACTACTCCCTATGTACGCTGTGCAACTAATGGATCTTCTATTAGACTATGAAGTGCTGTGTAACGTGTCTCCTCTAACAGGGGTTGAGGAGGAGGGGAACTTCTGTCGAGGGCCTACGGGGGAAAGGTACAGTAAGCTGTTGCTTTGGCTTCACAAGACCAGCAGCCATGCTCGTCGCCTTGAAGAAAAGCAGCAAATACTAACATCTGCGTAAAAGCCATTCCAATTTTGTTCGATAAATCTCTTCTCAAGCGAATATAGCGAGTTACTTCGGCCCTGGGCGAGGTATTTGGGCCTGCGACGCTCTGTTGAAGTCTTAATAGTGGGCATTTAGTTGGTGGGTGGTTTCAGAAAATATCGGCACGCACCACTCACTTCTATCCAGTCTCCGATGTTTTCTGCTATCTACCCCCTGTTGCTGGTAAATTCCGAAGACAACCATGACTGCGGAAGAGAGGGACTCGGATGTCGGACGATGGTGTCATCAAAAGCGATGCCCAATACTAGGTTAATTGCTCAGGGCTGACATTGCTGTGATAGTAGTACTACTGGTGCTATCGAGATCAGTCTACTCCGTAGCGCATGCACGAATTTCCGGGGAGCCCCCTACCCGTTTCAGGATCGGACGACTCACTGCAGTCAAAGTTCAGTCCAAAAACACCGAACCGCTGGGAAATGGCTTGAGCACTGCTTGTTCAGTGCTCAGTGCTGAGCGCTTTCGCTTACTCGTGGCCTTGAATAATGCTTACGCCGTGATGAAGCGAAGCGCGGTCAAGTCAAAAGACGACTCGGCAGCCTATCTGATACAGACTCGCCATTGTCAATTATCGTGTTCTTACGCTATCCACAACGGA